GTGATGTTAGGGTATAAAGCTGTAATTTATCCGTCTAAAGAAAATGTTGCTTTGCAAATGATCAAACTTTAAACCGAAAGTTCTAGCATCCATTTGGCTGGGATTAAATCGGTATATCAAGAAAAACTGAATGGGTTTTTTCACGTATGAGAACATGTTGATAATAAATTTATAATAATATGACAAAAAGAACTATATATTCCATGAAATTTTTTAAAGATTTTATATACAAAATCATTATAATGAATGTAGACGTCGCAAAATGCTGACTTTAAGGGTATAAACCCACCAACGTCAATTTTTTGGTCAGTAGTCCCTGATCTCAATTTAAAGATTGATCATACCTGATTAAAGTATGTGGTCGGAGACATAAAGTCCATATGCAAGTGATTGTGCAAATTTTCTACAATAATGGAGAATGATCACGAAGGAAAGGCTATTTGTTTTCACATAACTTATAGTTACCAGGTATTAGTGGACCATATAAACGTCTATGGCCAGCAATATATCCAATTAAGAGGAAGATATAAGAGATTCCATGTGATCTTTTAATTCGAGATCAATACATATGTTTAATCCATTTTCCTGAAATGTATCGTTTAAAGATTTTTTTAGATCGATCAAACAATAATAAGTCCATTCAGATCTACATCTACGGAATTATTCTAAACACTATTCTTTCTGTCGGTGTGTATTATTATTAAAATTTAATTTTGAGTTAGGAAAATCAATAGATTGTAATAAATTCTAATAGCAAGGGTCCTTCACATCGATATTAGAAGTTCTAAATTTAACATACAATAGGACACACAGATATGGATTCTTATATATTTTTATCATGAAAGATTTTAATTTGGATACATGGGATGAATTTTCCTCATAATGATATGTATTATATTGACAGATTCTCGATGACATGTATGAATGGTTGTGTTTTTATACAAGCTGCAATTACTCTGTGCTGAGATTCTATAGTTCGTCTTCAGTAAAAATTACCTGGTATTTGGTCGGCAAACTTTGGTACCATTGGCATACCAATAGTAAGAAATGCCACTAACGGTAACTTTACTTAAAAGAAGTACATGTATATATTTATGTGAAATATGAAAGATAAGAATTCACCCAATCAAAAGATATGGCCGAGATCAAAGTTCAAGGAATTTTTGCATAAGTGAATCAAACTCAATCGAACTTTTCTTAGATGCAAATTTAATACATTGGTACCCAAAGTAGGGTCTCCTAACTGGAAATACAATTGTAAAACATGAAAGTCCTTTTACCATCTGTTCCAAAGTTATGGCCAGGCTAAAGTTTTTTCATAAGTGCAGAAATATTCAAGATCAAGGTCAAGGTTATTGGTATCCAATGAAAGGTCTTTCAACAAAGATCACATGTTTAAAGTATGGAAGCCCTAGCCCTTGCCATTCAAATGTTATGACCAAGGTAAAAAAGATTTTAATAGTACGTTAAACTTCAAGATCAAGGTCAGAAGGTCAAGGTTATTGGTATTAAATGAAAGGTCTTGTCACAAGAATTACATTTGTGAAGTACGAAAGCCCTAGCTCTTACTCTTCAAAAGTTATTGCCAAGGTTAATTTTTTTTCATAAGTTCGGAAATTTCCAAGGTCAAGGTCAAAAAGTCAAGGTTATTTGTATGCAATAAATGCTCTTGCTACAAAGAATACATATGTGAAGGATAGAAGCTGTAGCCCTAACCTTTCAAAAGTTATGGCCAAGGTTAAGATTTTTTAAAAGTAGGTCAAACTCTAAGGTCAAGTTCAAAGGGTCAAAGGTCTTGATATCAAATGAAAGGTCTTTTCACAAGGATTAAATATGTAAAGTATGAAAGCACTAGCTCTTACCCTTTAAAAGATATGGTTAGTGTTTATTTTTTTAAAGTAGGTCAAACTCCAAGGTCAAGGTCAAAGGGTCAAAGCTCTTTGTATCCAATGAAGCGTCTTCTTACAAGGATTAAATATGTGAAGTATGAAAGATCTTAACCTTACCGTTCAAAAGTTATTGCCAAGGTTAAAGTTTTTTCATTAGTACGTAAATCTCCAAGGTCAAGGTCAAAAGGTCAAGGTTGGTGTAATTCAGTAAAAGGTCTTGCCACAAAAAATATATATGTGAAGTATAAATGTCCTAGTATCTTCTATATAAAAGTTATGGCCAAAGTAAAAATTTGATTTTTTTTTTGTGTTAAAGTGGGTCAAATTCAAAGGTCAAGGTCAAAGATCAAATTTGGTGGTACCCAAAGAAAGGTCTTGTCACAAGGCATACACTTGTGATATATGAAAGTCACAGCTCCACTAAATCAAAAGTTATGGACAAGGTAAAAGTTTTTGCGGAAAACAGACAAACAGAGAGACAGACAGACAAACGGACACGACAAAAACTATATACCCCCGAAACTTCGTTTACGGGGGCATAAAAAACACACACACAGATCGAAATTTTTCTAGCTATACTGTGATCCGAGTGTTTGCGGTTTATCTCTCTTTGTCCGAATCCTGTTATTTATAGATTGCTCAAGATTCTATACATGAAATCGAATCCAATTTACTGTAGCTCTCTTAGTGATCCTTTTTATGAATCTGTCTGTCTTGCTGTTTGTCCGCAAAAAACTTTAACCTTGCCCATTATTTTGAATGAGCGGAGCTATACCTGTCGTATTATACTGAAACGCAACATCCTATTTTAGAGGGGGAAACCATATATATGATGACCATGTAATTTGGTATTTAAAAAAAAAATACGGATATCTTCAACTTTTTAAGTATCGATAATTTAACGGTTGAATAATTTTAAATTGCCTTGCCATAACCGGAAGTTGTTTGAGTCCGATTTAACAGAAAACAAAAATTGCATGTTTATGAACAAACGTTTGACAAAATATGGTGCTTTAAGGGTTTGTATTTGTTAATCATAAGTAATGCAGCAATATTCTTCAAAATACTTTTTTTTTCGTTTTCGAAAGAGATACCAAGGCTTCCTGAAAATTTCCATTGCTCTGGTTGAAAAAATCTTAAAATAAAGGTGATGAAGAGTTGCAGATAAGAGGAAATGGGGCTAGCTGGATAGGTCACATTTTACGCAAACCCTCAAACAACATCACAAAACAAGCTCGGATTGGAATCCACAAGGAAAGAGGAGGGTTGGGAGACCTTTTTTGGGAGACCGAGGCAAACCTGGAGCAGGTTTGTTGAGAGGCTGGTTTTACCTGGACCCAGTTAAGAAGCATAGCCCAAAACAGAGTCCGATGGCGCGGTGTGGTTGCAGTTCTATCAGTATGCTCCCTAAGAAGTGAACAGGAGTAAGTCAAGTAAGTCAAAAGTTACAGATGGAAAAATGCACAACACATCTCTATGGCACGCCAAATTCACAAAAATGAGTTAAACATAGTTTCACAGTCGATAAACTAGGTTTATCGGTTGTAAACTATAGTTTACAGTCTGTAAACAATAGTTAACAACGTTAATCTTAATTTTACATCTGTAAACCATAGTTAACGCGATAATCTATTTTTCAAAGTCGTAAACTATACTTAACACTGAAAACAATCATTTCCGATAGCAAAACATAGATTATCTGATAAATACAGTTTCACGATTTATAAACTATGGTTTACAACTCTTAACTATAGTTAACGATCTGAAAAATATAGTTTCACGATTTGTGAAACTATGATTAACAACTCTTTACTAGGCCCTATGGTTCACGATTGTAAATTATAGTTAACAGACGCGAATCTATGTTTACCAACAAAATCTACTGTTAACGTTTTATTACAGACAGATAAACGATAAACTTAGATTAGAATTCGTAAACTATACTTAACAAATTGTTGACTATGGTTTACGGTTTGTAAACTATAGTTTACAGTCGATAAACCTACTTTATCAACTGTGAAACTATGTTTAGCTCATTTTTGTGAATTTGGCGTGCCAAACTATGGACCTCAACTGATTCATACCATCATAAGCATGAATGACATTCTCTTTCCAGAGTTATCTTCTGCTACGCTCACAACATGTGGGAGAGAAGCGGGAATGACAATACAGGAATGATAGATAGTGGACCGTAAGTCCGGGTGTTTTTACACTATGCTAGGTTAGAGAAAATTTTGCTTCATCATCTGAAAAACGGACATTTAAAAACGGCAAAGAGTATTTCTGTCGCTCAGATCTCGAGATTGATGAACCTACTGCATCATGAAAATCAAGCTGCAATTGTTGTGCATGGCAGCCGTGCAGGCTGTAATTGAATGGCTGAGAGGGGGTGTTTTAACAGTCATGGATTACTTTCTGAAGTTGAAATAGAATCATTTGATATTGTTTTTAAATCTCTGCTGTTTTAAATCGAGTTTAATCTGTGTTCCTTTTTGCAAATCATCACATAAAATGTTCAGTTCCTGACTGCTGTGTTTCTTTTGTGTTTCAGTATAGTATGACTATCTTGGTGACAAGACCTTTCTTCGGGTATATGTACCACCAAATATGGTCCTATTGATCTTGAAGTTTTGTCCTTTTTTTATTAAGAAACATTACCAAGCTCGTACTTGTTCATATGATAACTTTTAAATACTGTAGTTGGTGGTAATTCTTCCTAATTCATACTTCACATTTATATTTATTGTGAAAAATGTAATCTTTCAATGGTTATAAATATTATTTACCTTTTGACCTTGACCCTAGAACTTGGTCCACCTTTAAAAAAGGAACTTTTACATTAGCCATAACTTTGAAAAGTTGGTATTAGGGCTACAATATTTCATTTTTTCCTTGCGACAAGATCAACAATTTTGACCTAATTGACCTTAGAGTTTGACTTGCAGTTGAGAAACTTCAACCATCGCCATATGCTGTCATACGGTGACATAAGTGTTTCACAAACCATCTTGTTTATTTTACCGTTTCTCCCAAACCTTTGCTGAAGCTTTTTTTTGCAAAGAGGCCCAGATATTAAAAAAAATCTCGAAGGGAAAGTTAAACAACATGCAATAAATATATCTATGATTTACTGGTGATGAGCAAGTTTACAAAATTCCAGTGTATGATAACAATATTCGTAGAAAACATATGCCGAGTCTCATTATACATATTTATGTGATGTAAAGAAGAAGATTGTCAAAAAATAACAATAATGTTGATTGAAAGAGAATAATATGCGTCTACAATAAAGTAGTCAATATGGCCACAAATGCAGGAGTTAAATGGTACAGCAAAATTTTAAACTGAATTCTACTTTTTTTCTGGAAGAGGTCCGGCCTCTTCAGGTTTCTCCACTGCGCTTATCAGTGGCACTTTTAACCCGACAGTAGCAGTATAACCAGGGGGCGCAATGGTTGTGTAAGCATGCTGGGAAAAGATACCCTGGTTTGTTCCTTTGTGAATATGGTAGACTTGTATGTCGTCGTTTGTCTTGTTTCTGGACAGGATGCACAAGTGCGCAACTGCGGAAACAAGGACGAAGATTCCTCCCACGCCTCCAAGGATAAGGGCCCACGGACAGTGGAGGTGTAGAAGTGTCGACTTGTACATGTACTGAAATAGGACTTTGTAACCGTGAGCCACGGTGGCCGTCTTTACAGCAGCCGCAATATAGGTTCCACCTAAAGAAGAAATATTATGTATATAAGGAACCTCGTATATATACCGGGGTATATAATACATATAAGGAAAAATACAACATATTATACGCGTATATAGTTTACGTAATTTTTCTTTCTTATCGATTCAAAGGTTCAAAACAGAAAAAACTATATCCGATGTACTTTGGCTATTTTATGCGCGTACCTGAGACGATGAGACTGATACAGGCCAGTAATCCTGCACACCTTGACCTCGCCAGACTACGGGTGTAAGCAATACTGCCGATGAAACCAAGAACCCCAAAAAACATTCCTAAAGACGAGATAATCTGGAATTCCAACAGTCCCTTCAGACCCAATCCTGAAAAAAATATAAAAAATTTCAGACATTTATCACTGCATCAAGATTATCCGTTATGGCATAGTTTTTCATTTGATATATCTTGTGCATTTAAAAATTCTTGGATTTTGTCTTCTTTCACTGGTATTTTGTTTTAATTTCAATTAATATCAATGATAGATTAAGTCACCCAAGAAAACATTCGTATTTTGGTAACCGATACAGATTGACGATAATCAATAGAAGGAAACATCCGATCTAAGGTACTCAGTAATCTTAAAACGAATTTTTCCCGCGTATTATTGGAAAAAGGTGTCCGTCCCCTCTAATCTGCGTAAACCCGGGTGGTAAATTATTAAATGTTATAAAGCATGGGGTGCACAGACTGAAGAAATGTATGAAAAACCCCGTACTAGAAACATCTTTTAAAGTATCTGAACTTTTAATTATACTTAAAATTCATTGTTTCTTACTAAAAACAAAACATGATCTGTAATGAAAGATAAAACTACATAGACTGTACTTGTCGAAATTAAATCAAAACATTACCTTTCACTTCCGTATACACAGAGCTGGGGAATGAATACATAAAAGGCGATTCTCTGTGACTGTGATAGGTGGACACATGACATTTCTTCTCTCTCCCAGAATCTTCTCTCCTCTGTTCAAGCATCCAGCTATCATCTTCAAAGTTGGCATCAGGCATGTAACGCGGGTAAGCATTCTTAGATCTATGGAAACAGATAGTAAAATACCACAGTCCGACCGATAAGTGAACGTGTTCCTGTCCATTCTCCGGACTCCAGTGGGAAAAGGGGGAAAAGTATTGTGGTTTTTCCGTGACGGAAACATTTGCCCATCCTGGACTGACGAACGAAACAGTCATCAACATCACCCCTATGAAAGTAATGACTGCAAAAATCTTTAACTTTCTACCCAAATTCATCGTTGTTTGTAGCCTGAAACCTCTTGAAAGATATCTACTTCGGACGAAACAGAAAATGGCTACCCGGATATATTTTGATGTTTTGTGTCGTCTTCTTTATTCAGGTGCATCAAAACAAAACACTACGCATGCGTCAGGTGTTGAATTTCTGAAAATCAATACATTACCTGTCTGCATGTGTTGCAAAATAGAATAATTAACGAGGCATGACGATGTACATATAAAAGTGTGCAAATTGTACATGACATAACAAATGACTTCAAATGATTCACACTTTCAAACCACTTAGCTTTTAAAGGTTATTTCAGGGACTGTTAAAAAAAGAAAAACTATTTTCTCAAAAGTTGTATTGATTTCAGTGTTATTAGCCTTTGATGAACAGTATTGATAAAGGGGAAAAAAAATGTTTTTTTAATATTATTGAAATGTTTGTTAACTTAATTTCAAAACATAAGAAAACGATTTAATTAAATAAAATGCAAAATTTTGCTTTTCCCGTTTAAATCTGTTTCATAATTTCAGATATGAACATTTGTAGATGTGAATAAAATTCAAGAAACTTGATGAAACAAGAACATTATCTTTTTTATTGGAAACGGAGTCATTGTACTCTGACGAAGAATGTAGATGTTAGTTTTAGTTTATTTCAGACTTATTTAATAATTATGTAGGTTAGTCAATATCAGTACTTTGCCTGTAACAACTATAGTTGTTTAGGTTATAAAAGAACATTGTGAATTTTGTTCTCTGCAGCGAATTGCCTTAACTGAAGGCAATCAACTGCAATCAACTGAAAACTCGAAGAAACATATCTACAAGTATTTAAAACCCCGATGCCATCTTAAAGTGAACATTGATTCATTTGTGGTTTGGTGAATAAGCAACTGAAAGACATGGTTGGGATACATCTTCCTGCAAGTCCAGTTAGTCCTATAGTTGTGAAACATATACATGTACCAGAACGTCTTTAAAATAATGTTTGCTTGTCCAATTCCAACTCGGGGTAAACTTACTGGGTCGATAGGTAAGTCGGAAAATCTTTTTCCAGAAAATTTCAACATATTTGTTGACGGGATAAGAGGAATAAAAATAAAAATCGTGTCATGGAATGTAAAAAAAGGTTTTCAGTCGAGCCATTTTAGTCAGTTGATCGGGAGGGGAAATCAAACATTTTTTTTTAAAGATGACCCAGTATATCTTTAGTATGACCCGATCGTATTAGAAGTTTCCCCTATAGGAAAAATAAAATTATTTTATAAAATTAAACTTTTATAAAACTGATTTATTTATCTTGTTGTAAACATATTTCAAACTTGAATTATGTGATTATTTAAAAAAAAACTATGAAATAAAAATATTAATAGTTATAGTATTCCCTACATAAGAATTATCTTAACAAACCCGTTACAAAACTAACAAAATATTTAAAACAATCTGAAAGAAAACAGTTCAGAGTTTTTGCTTTGTTGGAAGGGGAAGTGCTGTCCCGATGTCCTCGTTGGTGTTGGCCTCAAATGGCGGGAGGTCGGTCCTTTCAATTGGATAAAATTCTGTTGTCACGACGGGGATAGCGGTGGTGCTCTTTTCCGAAGTCGTTGAAAATACCGCGGGTTTCTTCTTGTCGTCCTTATCACGTGATACGATGAAGAGATGCACAACTGCCACCGCCAGGAAAGTAGAGGAGGTGATGGCTCCCAAAACGAGGCACCAGGGGATCGGGACGTAAATACCGTACATATTACCTCCGTAATACATATTTATCATTTCGTGAAGGTGTAGCAAACTCATGGAAATTTTACCAACAGCGATCCAGAAGAAGACTCCTGTGAGAAGAAAGAAATATCGTTTGTTTTAACAAAAACCATGTTATACAAAAAGATGATACAATTCGTTCTTATGATTCAAAAGCTCTTTTTACGCCCCTCCCTCTTTCAAAGAAGGGAGGGCATATTACTTTGCTACTGTCCGTCGGTCGTCTGTCTATCCGTCTGTCCACCATTAGTTTCCATTTATTTTCTTTGCAGAGGTTGCACATATTGAAATGAAATTTGGTATACAGATTTATCATAAGAATATCTAGGTCAAATTCTGTTTTGGGTATACGATCTGGCCATTTTGGACAGCGTTATGCTCCTTGGACTTTGAAAAATTCCAATTATTTGGGGGAGGGGGGCATAAGTGTTTTACAAACATCTCTCTCTTATTCTCTTGTTTTAAAAATCGTTCACATCATTTATAATTGATAAACAACATATATACCGGTCAACAGACAGGAGACACACGCCGCCAGTCCCACGTGACGTTTATTCCCCTCCGTCCGGTAGTACAGAGCCGTGGTGATCAGCCCAATAACACTGCATATAATACCCAGACCTGTCTCGATCTGGAACTCCAGCAGACCAAACTTCGTCACATCTGTAAAAATAACAAATACTAGTATACAGGTTTACTCAGAATTAAATGAATGGATGATTTTCACGTGAGTGCTGGTCAACGAGAACTGTCGCCCTCTTATTCTCACTCCCAATGACGAAGAAATGTATACTAAGGTCAGGAAAAAAACCGAAAGATTGTAAGGAAGCATCAAAAATGGGTGAGCTTGTTACCTCTTTAACAGTAGACCCGGTAAAACACTAACTTGGTCAGTAGTGTTTTTGATGAGGACGTTATCATCATGGGACCCAAAGAGAAAGAGAAAAATCAGAAAAAAGATTTTTCTCTACTAAGTTAAAATTCTTTTTTTATCTTGTTACTTGTATGGTGAGATAGCGAGCTACAGGCCTGGGGGCCATAAAACTTAGACGAGCTCACTTTTGATCTCAGTCTCACTTTTCCATTATATATTCCTTTAGTAAAAGTGAGACTGAGATCAAAAGTGAGCTCGTCTAAGTTTTATGGCCCCCAGGCCAGATCTAATGATATACAGTCTACCTCTGAGAAAATTCTAGAAATCTGTTTAATGGTTTTTGTTTTAGGCTGTGGAATTCTCTGATTTTACAAGGAAAATCGACTTCTCACAGTTTTGTTCAAAGCTAGGTAGCTGAAGTGATTGCAAAGACGGAAGACAGTACTAAATTTTACATGCATTAGTAAAAATCGAATTTACAGATGAGGAAGTAATTCTTCTTATACACAGGCACCTGACGTTACTTATTTTTCTTTTAATAAAAAAAATATACACATACCTAATAATTAGGTATGTGTATATTTTTTTTTTATTAAAAGAAAAATAAGTAACGTCAGGTGCCTGTGTTCTTATCGTAGATTCCATTATGAGGACATTCAACTGTGTAAAAACAACGGCTTATCAAAGACGGTAAACGAAGCAGAGAAGAAAATTTATGATGATTACCCTTGCTTTAAAGACATTTTAATCATAATAATTCCGATAGGAAATAAAATATTGTAGCAATTACAAGTTGTTCATTCTCAAGCTCTAACCTACGTACTAGCACTGGGTAGACAGAACAGTTCAATCAATAAAAAGATGGGAAGAAGAATTGAAAACTTGCTGAGATTTTAACATTTTATTTAGCAAGACAAACACAATCCATCGTTTTATGCAACTCTTCATTTTAAATTCATGTCTTCTGGCAAGTCATCTAGAGAGAAACAGAGAAAATATTTTCACAGCTGAATACTTAAGAGGCCGTGTCAGTAACCATTGAGATTTACATGGAAAGTCAAAAATTTTGAATTGGGCAAAAACCACCCTAAAATATTTGAACAACAACAAAAAACACATTTGAGACAAATTTTACAAATTTATTCATCATCATTGGTTTCCATGGCAACAAATGTGATTTGCATAGTAAATTCTCAACGAAACATTGTAAAATAATACAAATTTAGACATATTTAAATGCAGAGGGGGGAACAATTGGAAGGTCTAAATTTGTTTTCTTATACTGAAATAATGAAAGATGCATCAGAAGAAAATATTTTTATGTCTGTAAGTATTTTTTAAAATTTTGATATGGTTGCTATGGCAACCGAAAAATGACAAGATTTTCATGATGGGAATATCCGTGGAAAATTAAGTTTTTCAAAAGTTGAATACTTAAAAACGCAACAACCGTAGATATTGTATGTCATACAAAGTTAAAGATATATCCCAATACTATGAAATTATAAAATAAAAATTGGTAGTCGGATGTCCAAATTTTTTTTTTCAGAAATCAAAATTTGCATTTTTTTCAAAACACTTTCAATGGATTTTAGCAAGTTTTGGCAATTTTTTTTTAATATTACAACAGATATTTAACAGTTAGATGCCATATCTACAGAAACATAGTACTTTAGAAAAATCTCCATAAAATGTACGACTTTTTTATAAAACAATAGGAAAAGAAATCTCCATAGCAACGGAAATTATACCCTAGCAACTGACTTGACTAGGATCGGCAAAACATGAAACATACACCCAAGAAATTAAAGCCTCTCAAGTGGAATATTTGGGTCATGGCATCCTGATCAACTGTCAACCCTGTTGTACTTACCCCATCATATAAGTAATAATAAGTACCATTGCTCCACAATGTCTAATAGTTATACAATATAGTCAGAATGTGGACCAAATATGCAAAAACTTGACCATATATGACATAACAAAAGTCGAAGTTATATGTCAAAATGACGCAATGTTCAACCCAAAGGGACGCCAATGCTCTGTCTACTGGCTAATTTACATTGCTGTACCATGTTTATTATTCAAGTTATAAACCTAAAAACAACTAGAACTGTCCAAATGGGACAAAATACCCCCCGCTGGGTTTTTCAGAAGTGCTAAATCATGAATATTTTATGGATCTAAGAGAAGAGAGAAAAGCTGAAACATTTTAGTGCAAATGTAATTGCTCATTAATTTTTTTTTATAAATGAAACGAAGGTGCAGCCTAAAAAATAGACTGAATGTATGGATCACACATGAATTATGAATTTTTTTTGTCAGTGACCTTGAACTTGCATAAATGACCTTGGTTTAAAGTCATGACAAGTTCTCAGGTCAAAGCAATGTTTGTGTAAAATGGGAACCTTTCAAGTTTATCCTTAAGAAAGATATGGACCAGACATGAATTATAATTTTTTTACTGTCTGTGCACTTGAACTTGGACAATTGACCTTGGGTCAAAGTCATGACACACCCTTATGTCATAAGTGATCTTTGTGTAAACAAGAAAGTATCCAAGTTTATCAATAAGAAAGATATGGACCAGGCACAAATTATGAAGTTTTTCCTTTCAGTGACATTAAACTTACACAAAGAACCTTGGGTCAAGGTCATGACACATCCACAAGACAATAAGCGATTTTTGTGTAAAACAGGAACTTACCAAGTTTTTCCATAAGATAGATATGTACAAAACATGAATTAGGAACTTGTTGCTTTTATAACCTTGAACTTGCATAGATAACCTTGCATCAAGGTAATGATACATCCTAAGGTTATAAGGAATCTTTGTGTGAAATAGGAACTAACCAGTTTATCCATAAGCAATATATGGACCATGCACATATTAAGAAATTTTCCTTTCAGTGCCCTTGAACTTAAATAACCTTTGCTGAAGGTCATAAACCCTCTTTGTGCGAAGTAGTAGATTCAAGTTTATCCAAAATAAAGATATGTACCAAACATGAATTTTACAATTTTTCTTTTAGTGACCTTGAACATGCACAGATGACCTTGGGTCAAGGTCATGACACACCCTTAGGTCATGAGGAATCTTTTTGTAAAATGGGAACTTACCAAGTTAATCCATAAGAAAGATATGGAATGGACACAAATAATGAAATTTTTCTTCCAGTGACCTTGAACTTCCCCAAATGACCTTGAGTCAAGGTCATGACACACTCTTAGGTCATGAGCAATCTTTGTATTGAGTAGTAGATTCTAATGTTCCTCCGTAAGAAAGATATGGACCGTACATGTTTGCACAGCTAGACAGATGGACGGACGGATAGACAGACAGACAGACAAGCTGATTCCTATATACACCCCCCCAAACTTCGTTTACAGGGGGTATAATGAGAAGTCGTGTCTGTTAAACACAAGACGACCTTATACTTATTCAAATGAAAATAAACCTTAACATCAGCAAGGCTTGTGAAAATGTAGTTTACAGCAATTTTATATTTCAAGTTTTATCTTCTTTTACTATCAAAGACCAATCAACTGGTCAAATATCAATGCTCACTAAAAGTATCACAGATATGAACGTAAAACAAGAGTTTTCCATTGAAAATGTGTGTCTCAGGAATGACATATCAAATTGTGACAGACAGATAGACTGAGGGTCAGCTAGTCAGACTGACAAACAATGGAGAAGTGATCCCTAAGAGTCCCCTTGCTATGCAGGCGACACAACTAGGCACCATTACAGCATATCTTGTACCTGATTCTGAGACTGAATTTTTTCTGAAGTGTACAGTCAAATATTTTTCAGAAATATTTTGCTAGAAATAATAATATATCGTATAAGTGGAAATTTTAGCGAGATGCAAATTTAGCGATTTCTACCAAAGTCTGGTATTTTATTTTTAGCCAGAAGTAATTTTAGCGATTTTAAAATGTTTATTAAAGAAGCTATTACAAATAATAAGACATTAAATTTTAGCAATATTCAATTTTAGCGATGTCAGCACCCTCTCTAATAATGCCAAAATGAAATCCTTGCTAAAAATTCTACTTATACAGTATGTTCTTCAAAGTACATTTATGCACAGTAAACAAGAAGTATGACACATTTGATTTTAGATATTATCTATTTTAACCAACTAGAGCTAGAGCAGTATAATCCAAGTGTTGTCCACAGACAGATGGACAAACAAACAGGGTGATTCCTATATCCCCCTTCCAAAAACTTTGATATCAAAATCTTAAACTTAGTAAGAAAATGTTTTTAGTTCACTGCTTTAAGAGCCATATCAGAAATCTGATTCAAATTGTTCATGTTCCCTTCAGCTGTCAAGTCATTTTCTTCACTTCAGTGTTAGACCTCTGCCTTTTCACCAATGGCATCAAGATACATAATCAAGGTCTTCCTTCTATGTAATGGACTATCTTCATGCTCTTGAGAATCCTGGCATTCAGATGACTTTCACAAGGTGTTTGGAAAAGTTGTCGTCTGAAGTTGAATCCACCTACAAAAGAAAGATACAAAATCAATCCAACTAACAACTTCATTTAAAACAAGTTCATTTTGACACAAATGTTACTCATGCTGAGACAGTGTTTCACAGCCCTGAACCAAAGTCACACCTTCAATGTCAAGGTCAAGGTAAAATTTGATGGAGTTTTCAGGTCTGTATTTCTATATGCCTCATGGAACAGCTTCATACTTGGCATACAATGCTCCTAATGATAAGGTGGTGTGCATGACCCTAACTCAATGTCAAACTTCAATGCTAAGGTCACAGTAGACTTCAATGAAATTGTCTTATCTGAAATGCATTTCATACCTGCCTCAAAAGCACAGCTTACATGACACAAATGTGCCTCATGATATCAGTCTTTAACAACCTTTGACAGAAGACAGGGTGAGCAATATGGGCCCATTTTATGCTTCTTGTCTGGGTTTAAAATATGAAGTTCATAGGTCAAATGGATTTAAGTTATTGAGTCACAATCCTTTCAAGTTTGAAGTTTCCAGGACATATAGCATTTGAGTTATCTCTCGACAAAGAAATGGATGAACAAAGTGATTACTGGTACTCTTTGAGGCTGGGCTCTTATGAACAAGCTGATGGTCAAAGTAGTTCTAAACAATTCAGTACATGTAAAAAAATTCAGTACAAACCTCTATCTGTTCCATATGCTTTGAATCTGGTTGTACTTCATGGTTATTTGGTAGTTCACATAGCAACTCATCATCATCATGATTCTCCTGAAAGTATTTCATATCTGTTTACAAATTTACATGACCCTACTGCATATAGTTGCTGATTCTTTATAATAAACAAGCTGATGCTAAAAGTAATATAAAGCAAGATAAGTTTGTGAAACAGTATGCCCCCAGCGTCAACAAATATAGAAAAGCTAGTTTTAGCAAAAAGATCAAGATCTAAAGGTTACTAACGTTGGTGTAATTTAAAAAAACTTAATTAGTGGATTATGTATACAAAATATGATCTCACAGTTCAAAAGTCATGGTAAAGGTTAAAGCTGACAACAGATAGACAGAAAGGACAAACAAAAATATGTTCATGCTCTTTGGGCATAATAATTCAGTACATGTAAAAATTTCAATACAAACCTTTATTTGTTCCACATTAATTGGATCTGCTTGTACTTTATGGTTATTTGTTAGTTCACATTGCAACTGATTATCATCATGATTCTCCTGAAAATATTTTAGACCTGTTTACAAACTTACTTGAGCCTATAGCATATAGTGACTGGGATATTATATAAGACATTAAACTGGACAAAGGGGATACTCCAATTTAGTCTCACATTTTCAGAATTATCGTATTCAGAAATTGTGCCCAACCTGATCAAGGGCTTAGGAGGAATAGCACCCCACCCACGCCTTACTTTTTTGGGAAGTCAAAATTTCCTGTAGTTAAAATTCATAAATCCTGGATCCCCTCCCCTCCACTTTAAGGGTCAGGAGCAAATTTTGAAACCAGAATTGAGTCTGTTATCCTTGTTTCCCTTCCCCTTTTCAAATCAATATTAGCAACCTCAAGTTTTGTCATCTTGTTTTAGTGTAGCTGCAGAACTGTAGCTCTCCAAAAAAATATATATTGATATACCTGAGATAATGAGGTATAGCGGGTATGGCTATGAATTTTTTATGAAATATTGTTTGAAATATTACTTATCAAAAGAACACTAATATGCAGACATACACGATTGGAAATCTACCAATTTGACCTTATCAGTGATTGATGAATATGCTCTAAATAATAAAGTCTGAAATATCTGGCATTTTTCAGTTTTGTTTTTTTTTTAATATTTTCTGTGCCAGGAAAACGTCAGAACCAGCGCCATTACGAAAACTGGAAATTTCGCCATTTCCAGTCAGAGTTGATTTCCCATACCTGGGAACCGCATTAAATGCCGTTGTTACAATTTATCAATGGCACAATGCTTTTAGTACTTGACAATAACAATGAAAAGAAAATAATCACTCATCATTTCGATACAGGACTTGTATATTTTTTTTAATTTGTAAACGCACGAAATGAAAACAAATCTCGACAGTCAGAGAAAATGTTTCCATCGGATCATGGATCATATATTTGCAAACAAACCATAAAAACTATATTGGTAAGTACTAGAGGCATTGTACTATTGATAAATTGTGAGTTTGACAAGTAATTGCAAGTATCGAAAATACACCCGAGAATGCCGCCTCTGCTTGGAATTCCAAGTTTTCGTAAAAGCGCCGGTTATGGCGTTTTCCTCGCACATAAAATATAGAAATAGTTAAAAAGCCAGGAAAACGTCAGATATTTCGGACTATAAATAGTACTTTTCAGTCACCTACAAACTCTTGATGCTGTCATGTCCTCTGTAACCGCACAAGACCTGCTTTATACGTCTTTACATGTTGTTTTTCTTCTCCGACTTCTGCTGCAACAGCAACTTTCTGTTCTTTATCAGCAGGAGAGTTCCACAAAAGGGAGATAATCGTTCACGCGTTTTCATATTTGTGGTACATTCTAAATCAAATTATTTGCTATAGAGTACCCAACTACCATTTTTTATTATTGGATTTATAACTTCAAAGCTCGTAGTTTCTATTGCATGTATGATTATGATAGAGTTTGGTTGCGTTTTCGTGTAAAATATTTATAAAAATCATGTTGATTTTACAGCATTTGGTAGAAACAAAGCAAAGTAGGCCCCAATGCTTTAAAATAAACATGGGAAAAATTAAATCTCCCATTTATATTGAAATTAAGAAAAACATAGTTTGATTCTGTAATTAATTTTGACAGGGTTATCAATAATCAAATTTCACACTTTTCAAGCATTAAAATCACCGTTGCTATGGTAACAAGGAAGATGTGACCCAAATAACTCATGTTTGAAAGGACATTCATCTATACTTCCATGCACCCAAATATTAAAGCAAAATATTTTTTTCCACATTCCACTCACTTTATATACAATACTCAATGGTTACTGACACGGCCTCTTAATTCTATTATGGTACTTCTAAAACAAGGCAAAGCCTAAGGGGGTAATATTGCAATTTCAAGGGTAAAAACTCACATTTCGTAAATGATGGCACACAATGTTCTTGGTTACTTTATGGGTCTTTTATAATTGAGGTACTATAGTACTCCGTTCCTCAGGTTCTGAAATTTTACAGTTTTGTTTGACAAGTTACATAAGTTGACAAAGTAATGTTTATTCAATAAGTCTATTTCTTCATTTTATTCCTTCAAGGTTCGCCTTTATTAAAGCAAGATTTGGCCTAAAGGAAATCCTATTTCACTAATAAAAAAATGATTTAAATACTTTTACTGGGTTTCAGCCATATACTCTTAACAAAACCTTAGTCTCTTCAAAATTAATATTACATTTTATTCACATTTAAATAAAGTTTGAACAGAATATGAGATACACACACTGTAACATTTCTTTAACTGTGTCGTCTTGGTTACAAGAAAAAGACATTTCTGTGCGATTCTTTTGAAGGCTATATATTACCCCTCAGAATTGGTTCGATTTGTATGAAACACGTGACTACACGTGACGTGCAATTTAAGAATTCGATATTCAACATGAATGTTGCTTTGGTTACAAAAAAAAAAAAAAAAGAATGTGTGCATTATTCTTTCAAAACTCTACACCTTTTTTTCAATTATACACTATAATATTGCAGTAGTTTTAATTTTTGGTACATTTACATTGATTTGATTTCACACCGAGGCGCTTCGACTCTTCTAAAATCGGATACAACACTTTTTAAAAAATCTTTAGTCTAAAGGCCTTACAAATAAGAAACCATTACCCAGTACAGGGTGTTTCAGAAAACATGCAATCATTTTGATTGATTATAGATTTTACTGGTGTTTTGACTAATACCATGCACCAACATATCTAATTAAAAGTCACAACTTCATGATTTATTCTTATTAAAATGAAGTTTATACGTCAATTAGATAATGAATTACAAAAGAAAAAAGAAACTTGTAAAATTTCACTTAGTTAAAAAATATGCTGTAAATGGCGTCATTTTTGCTGAAAGAATGAAATCTATCCGATGCAAGAAAGTTCTCATTACTATATTGCAAAGAGTCTCTTGGAAATGAATTAGGTTTCATTTTTTAAACTATTTTTGAGTCCTTTTCGTTTTTGTATGTAACTTTTTAACTTTGGATCTTTATCTTATGTAGACACTTTCTCGACAAAGGTTGTTGAAATCGGTAAATGAAAATTTCTTACACGTAAGAAAACCAATAGAGATACAAGCTCATTTAAGATTCGGGTTCTTAGAAAACATTAACTACATATATCATAAATGTATTATTCAAAAAGTTTACTAGGAAAGACAATATCAACGGTAAGGAAGTAAAATAATTAATCATGGACCATCTTTTGATTTTTTCAAAGGAGAGAGCGCATTTGTCTCCAAAAACGGAAACGTATTGGTTCTGTTTGTCTTTCGATGTATCGTTGCTCGTCTGCTACAAAAATTCTATTCATTAATAACTCGAGAACAGTAAGTTGGAATGGGATCAAATTTGTTGTAAATGATTTATAAAGATTTTTAATACTCTGCTCACAATATGTATTGTTTTGAGATTACTGCTATTTTCCATCTTCTTATTTTATTCCTATACCCAATGAAATATGAAGATAACAAGAGTAGTAATTAAACTCATAAGTCCAGTGAAAAATCACGGCAGAGCAAACACGTACCCACCTCCAGAACAGATATGGGACCATGTGCCTTAAAAGAGTAACCATACCTTGTTGAGCGCGGTTTACCAGTTACCAGTTATGTACTTCATGTCATGATCGGACAAGCGGTATAATCCGTAGACAATTCAGTCTGACAATAAATTTGTATGAAAAGAAAACAGTAAACATTCCATTGACAAACTTGCTTACAAGGTCATCGTATCGATCATAGAATTTTCGAAATGTTGGCTTCAGATGAAGGGGTTCATATCTGTGTATCATCATTTTGTTTGTTAATAGCTTCCCTCGTTAAAGGAATTGTTTAAATTAAAACTCAAAATCATGTCTTAGAAGTCAATTTTTACGGGAAAATAGAAGGAAATTCCGCGGACTTATTATTAGAAATCGTTCTTGCTTATAAACTTCTCGCTGTTACGGTTTTAAGGTCATACACAGGCAATTAAATTACAATACTATCTAGGAATCAATTATATATCTTCATAAAGAAGAAAAAACGTTTGAAAAAAATATATGATTTTGTTCATTTGTTAAAACCACAATGTAACTTGAAATTCATAATACTTGTAGTATGAGAAATCTTGGAATGAAGCTCTTTTCTCGGTTGTGAAATTTATATGACTGACTTTTGACGTACAAGATAGGTTCTGATTTGATTATATGGTGTATTGGCATGGAATCGGAAATAGAAAATACGCAGTCTTATCGATTGGATCTGGAACAATGAATTATTAAGAAATATACGTTAATTAATCAAACCAACAAAGAAAAGGGGTCATAGTTTGGAAACACTGTACAGTATCAGATTTTAATGATGTTCAGGGGTGTTAGGGGTAACATTTGTTGTTACATTGATTTTACTTCCTGTATTTCATTATTAAATCACTGCTTTCCCCACTGATTTCCGTCAGTCTAAATTCTTAAAATTACCTACTAATAACAAGGGGATGAATAAACAGATAAAATAAGTACAAATAAATTAACACTACTCCTACATCACAGAGAAAATACAATAATTTTATCTCAGTTTTTTGCAAAATTACGATAAAAATAATTCCTGAAAGCGAACAAAGAACAGTAAAATAGCACTTAATATGATGCTCATTTCAAACCGACCAAAATTAGTATAGGAAGATTTTTTATTCTGTCCAAAAAAAAAAACCTATCCCAAAAATGACAAGCAAAAAAAAAAAACCAAAAAAAAAAAAAAAAAACCAAAAATTTAAACAACTCGCCCAAACGTCAAAAACCTATTTCGGGGGGGGGGGGGGGGGGGGGGGAGATCAAATCTTTCTTTTCATACCCATTTTTTTTAATTAAGAAAACACTATATGCATTTTTTTAATTAAGAAAACACATGACGATGCTTTTAAATTTTTACATGTATCACACATTGAAATTGACTAAAATATAGTTCGCTCTTTAGCAACTGGCTGGAGTTACAGATGATATGGGTGGGAGTCCAACGATATTTTTCTATAAATTCCAAGATTTCAGGAAGCAGCGCTTTATTATTTGTTAATTTTTATAAAATGATTTTTTTAGGTATGACACTATAAATCATTTCTGAAAATATAAGCACTGCTACATACCTCATGCTTTTTTTTTCATTTGAATCTCGTGCTTGATTAAAATCAAGATTGTGAGTTTTTTTTTATGTGAAATTTAAAGCAAAGAGATATTGCTCCTTAAAATTATTTGATAATTCCGAAATCCAAATAAAGACATGTTATAGCATTCATATGGGTATATTTGTGCGAGGCTTTTTTCACCAAATTCAGACTAAAAATGCGACTAAAATTATCGCAATGCTGAAATGAAATTGTTCATTTTGACTTGGCATTTTAATTAAAAGAAAGAGAGAATTTATAAATTCGGAGGCTACTTACAGTGGATTTTTTCGTAGGTTCCTCTGACGAATGGCGTGCTGTCGGGGAGTCGGTTGATCTCCTCCTGGGCTGAGGAGTAGGTGGAGTGGAAACACTCCTTACTGTAGAACATGGTGTGTGGCTGCTTGTTGTAGAGACAGGTCACAAAGTACCAAAGACCCATAGAGATGGACAGTCGGTGACCCTCGGCTATCCCGTCCTTGTCGTACGGCATGGCGACCGGCTCCCTGGGGCCGGGGTGACCAGAATTAATCTGCTCCATGGATTCCTCCATCAGGTCCCCCGCAATCCTCTCCGGGAAGTGAATATTCACTATTGCCCATCCAGGACTGAAGAATATAACTACCTTAAGTACAAATGCAATCGACAGGGCAACGAGAGTGAATTTCAATCTGGTTACCACACCCATTTTTTCTCAATACACGGATCTCTTGGTATGTTTTCGCTGTTTCTTTTCCAACTAAGTGTGTAGTTAGCCAGCTAAGTTTATAAGGATACCCAAGATGATGCTCACAGACACTGCCAGGTAAAGAAAAAATCGATGTAATGGACCAAAACAATTCTTTATGGTAGAGCAATGTGCCGAGGTTTGGTGTGGAGGTATTAATATTTCATGACTATTGGAAGGTTATAATGAAAATAAGCCAGGTGGCAATCGAGAGAGTAACTATACAATGTATCCTCCAAATAAAAGACTCGCCTTCATATAGTTTAGAAAAAATAGAAATAAATGGAATATTGTTTGCATACATAGAAAATACACCCGTTCACCTATTGAATAATTCATGGCGTAAAATGAGAACAAAATACCTTTTTTTTCAAAGAATTAATTTATTGGTAACAAGATGGTATAAATAAAATATAATTTTTTACAAATAAATCTCATTAGATTTTACCACAACAGTTCAGTTTGTTAAATAAAACGTAATCAACAAATTAAATGCAGTACCACTGTTTGACTCAGTACATTGTATTCGAGATAACGATGTTCAATTTATTGTAAAGCACTCTGATGTATAAAAACAGCATCACAGCAAGTTATGTTTTCATTTGGAAGTCTTGGCAAAAGTTATGATATTGATTTTATTCTTGTCTTTGTCTTTCTCAAACATGATATATAGCTTCCCTACAGTGTTATAATGGTGGTAAAATTTTGCTTTGGCTTTTAGCTGCATCATAATGGAGTTCCAGAGCAAAAAACGGCATCATTAATCTTTCTTCTGGTCCGATTCCTAAAAATAAAGATTATCTCAATGTTAAATCAATAAAATGATTAATCCTCTTAAATCTGATTGTTAATCATTATCAGCATTATTTCTTACTGATTAGTATCATTGTCTATATATATCAAATATATCTCCGATACCATGAATATGTTGAAGTGATTGAGTGTTCATGACCTTATCTTTGATTTGAGTGTAAAGTTTGAAATCTCAAACACCAGAATTTCTTAATATTAATATTCTTTTACTTTCTGAGTCACATTATGTTTGAGATATCAAACTTTATCATCACCATATAACAAGTGTTGAAACAGTGAAACTGGCAACTGCCAGTAAAATCTCAAGAATATAAAGTAAAACTCATACACCATTATCATAACAGGATGAAGAAAATGCTATAAAAATATTTTGAGATATTTTCTTCTTTTAATTTAACAAATATTTATTTATTCAAATTTATGAAAAAATTAATTAATACAGTGAAATTTATATATTTCTTCATCTCTGCATTCAATTATTTATATACTGCATCAACTTTTATTGTAAATGAAACTGAATCCCATTCACCCAACTCAAAAACTCAATTTTACCAGTTTTAGTATCTTTACTGAAATGTGACAATTGTTTAATTAAAACAACTATTTCCTGAACTATCAAAATTTCATTATGATTAACGTACAGTATCTAAAATAAATTTAAGATGAACCAAAACAAGTGTTAAGTAGAAGAAATAATCCCCTCCAAACCAGTCACACCAGCTATGAGTATGAATCCTATGTTTTGATATGATTAATTGAGTAATCTACAGTATATAAATAATGGTAAATAAACAAGAAAAAAAAATGTTTCAAGTAAATTAAAATGGCTAAATGATAGGCTGTGTTTGCAAATAGAAATATTATAATGACCCAGGAATTTGCACATTGTTGATTTCATTTTGTAAGTTTAAAAATAAAACTGTAAAAAAACTTTTTTTTCCTTGTGCTTAATTTTAAACCCCACCCCACCCCGCCTTGGTTTGGCATCAACAAAAATCATTTTATTAATTTCTAAAGAAAGAAAATCCTTATCAATTCATGGAAGAGGTTATTTTTACTTAAGGACTTACAGGATTTCCATTTGTTTTCTCTTCTTCATCTCCTTCTGCAATTGGTGATTGCTACAAAAGTAATTCATGTCAAATGTACATGTATATATACTTATATACTAAAGAAGGGAAGCAACTCCTTAACAACCTGAGAGGAACATTGTTGATACTTTATGTATATATTTTTGTTAAATATTTTTTCAGATCAGTATTCACTTCACATTATTGATTAATACTTTTCTGAAAAATTGTTTAAAGTAAACGCCCCACCCCCTGTATATCAGTCTATTCTGAAATAAGGACTTACTTTTCCTGTGTCTGTTTTGTCGGGGTCGCTGATCATCTGTTGTTTTTTCTCCAGCTGTTTCTTCTCCTGCTCTATGATGCTGTAGAACTCCTTCTCAGCCTTGGTGTACAGATCTTCCTCCTCCAGACGCCCCTCCTCTGGCTCCTCCTCCTATCAAAGCACCACATCAATCACTTAACTAATAACTCACTCAACTTATCAAACTGATTATTTAAAAAAAAAATTAAATTGAAGCATATGATTTTTTTCTGCAGGAGTAAAAAAGCAGGTGTATGTATGGTGCCAACTGATTTATTTTAACAATGGATTTGGATTTTTTGTTTCTTTTCACTTTAATGCTCAATATACAAAATTGTTGCAACATTTTAACCCACACAGCTACAAAATGCCACAGTTTTTTGTCTTTAAAGCAGTGATAGTTTAAGAAAAGCATGATATGCAATTCACACTTAAATACCTATCAAATAAAGAAAATGCATCCAATCAAACAGAAATTTTGTGAAATAAAGTTTTTTTTTATTTTTTTTTTTTTTTATTTGGCTTTATTATTTTTTGGATAAGCTATTTTCGCAACTGTAAATTTTCTCAATGTGCTGAAACACAAAATTGTTCCATTCACTGTGCATGCATTCAATCCATTGTGAATTTGTTACTTACTTCTTCTGTCTGTATAAGCAAATATCAAGAAATAATAGAAATAATGATGATGTTTTAGGTTTAGTTTTTTCAAGGCTAAACAACAGAATTCTTCTAAATCACTTATATTTTCAAGACAACTTCTTAATTTTCTATCCTAATCAAATGCATGAAGGTGACATTGCCATTAAAACTTAAATGAATCTTCATTTTGCCTCATAGAGTATATGCTCTTGCATGCATATACTGGACAATAAACCTAGTGGAAATAGATAGCAATGTAAATATTAATTTTCTTTCAAAATATACTCTAATTACCTTTGCACCATCTGCTGAACTCTTCGACCTTTCCTTTAATTTCATTTCTCTGTGTCGAGAATCTAAGATCTTCTCTCTCCTTGTTTCTCTTTCAAACATCTGCAATGACATACAGTACATGTAAATCTGAGTTAGGAGTTAGCTCCCTTTATAAATGCAAACTTATTTTGGTATAAATTCTGTGTAGAAATTTCAAACTTTAAAAAATATCAAACCATCTTTCTTGTCAGATTTGTGGCATACTTACAGCTGTGACTAAGTTCTTCTCGTTCCTCTGAAGTGTGTACAAACTGTCCGATAGTTCTAATAAGGTGGTGGTACCAGAATGTGACCCACAGGCGATTAATCGGCCCTGTTCCTGCACCCTCAGACTGTGTAATGGCTCATCACAAACCTAAATGATAGGTTCATTCAAAATTTCAAGTGAGCATAAAAAGCAAGACTCAAAACTTCATTTTAAAAAGCAAAACACTTGTTGATTTTCTGTGGAACATTGCATAAAAAAATACTTACTACTATAAAAATAATCCAATATTAGATTTTTGGGGGTAGATAATACATTTTTATTTACAGGTATTCCTAATTTCTCCTAAACTTTTTCAAAATAGCTTTTTCAAAAAAATACAAGGCCTCTCTCTAGTTAAGATAAATACCTGTAAACTAAGAGTTGGGTCATTTTGTTTAAAGATAATATCCCAGACATCCAGGGTGCCGTCCATTTTAGTAACGAGGAACACAGAGGGTCTAACAGGACTCCAACATCCGTCTGTAAGGTAGGACTTGTATTGTCTGTAAAAACATGTCAAGATCAAGAAGATGCTTTGTTGTGCCTAAAACATTGCTTCCAACATTATTTCAAAAGCAATTAAAGTTATTGTGATAATGATGTGTATATTCCACTGAAAGACATGTAATACAAATTTTACCTTGACCACATGATAGAGGATTCCCTAATATCTTCTGACCAGATCTGAAGATTAAAAAAAAGTAATTAAGTAATGGAAATACAACGTATTGTTGTCAGTAAATGCTTCTTCATTGAAGAAATAAGTGAATATCTTCTCACCCTAGCCTTCCAGTCACCCACACTGAGAAAGTTCTTAGGGAAGAATGGATTTCGTTGAAGTGAATACACAGGACCTAAGTGACCGTTATATTGGGCTACAATCTTTTCTGCTGGTGTCTTGGCTTTTCTGTTACATGACAATATTGAGCCTTGTTCACATCCTACCATAAATTTTGTGGGCTGAAATATAGAGGATAGTCAGAGTTATCTACCTTGACATCAAATTTTGTGCATATATACATGAAAAAAAAAATCCCAATATGTAGTTTTGTAATTTAGAACTTGAATTTTGCATTGCATAAGTACTTTAGCCTTGATGAAAGTTAAGAACAAATTACCATAGTTGGTTCATATTCCAGTGCCATGGCTCCCAGGGCTTTAGTTGGGTCCTGTTTCTTGGTCGGGTCTAGGTAGAGTTTTTCTGTGGGTTCTCCCATTTTTCTGATATCCCACCATAGCACCTGTCCATCTGAGGAGGCAGAGAAGCACTCAGTTCCAGTTTTGGATTGAATCCATATGGCCTTGTAGGCTGGGTCTCTGTGACTGTGTTCTATAGGGGACATTTCCACCGGCTGGGATCCCTTCCTTGTGTCCCAATAAGCTATAAAACAAAAGTTCTTATTTAGTCTCAAGAAAATACAATTGAACTTCAGTGTCTCAAACAGATATATTGAACTGATTTGAAAGTCTCAGCCACTTATTCTTTACAATGGATATCATGTATCCTCGAATATTTGGGTTTTTTTCTTTCAGACCCATCAAGATTACAATAGAGGTTTGACTGTATCTGAATTTCAATTCATTTCATTTTCAGAATTTTTTTAGAAAGTCATACAGTATTGGTAACTTACCAATTTGACCATTGTAGCAGCCTCCCAGTAGAATATGTGAGTCTTTAGGGTTGTATTCTAAACACACTAGAGGAGACACAGGTTTTAATACTGTCTCTGGTTTGTTTGGGTTTTCTGTACAAGAGAAAATAAATATATATGCATTTGGAATGAAAATTTGATATATATTAATTTTGAATTCTCCAACTATTTCTTGTGATTGCAATATTCCGGTACTGAGATTTATCAAACATTCACTGACCCACATCCCAGATATATGACTCCATGCTTGTGTCAGGTGTGGATCCCTGGAACTCCAGGTTACAGTAAGCTACTGCCAGCTTCCTGGGACCGTCTGGGAACCAGGAAATGTGTGTGGAGGTTCTCTTGATTTCATTTGGATCTCTACAAAAGAATTTAGGGAAAACTAATTTTTCTGCCATTTGATAATTTATCTTTATCACATATAATTAGAAAAAAGGTAAGAATAGCTTGAACAAAATTACTTTTCTTAAATAAGATGCAATTATAATTCATTTCTTTAGGTTGGAAAAAAGAAAGAAATCACATATTCTTATGAAATGTTACCAATATTTTATCCATACCTAAATACATTAATTGTTTTTGCTGAAGGAGCCTCATCAACTGTGTCAAGTTCAATGTCTTCAAAGTATTCTTGATAAATATCTATGGCATTGTTTTGTCTGATGGTATGTTCCATGATCTGTTTAAATGAAATAATGTATAATTAATAAACCTGTGTACGAGACTTTTATCTCTCATAAAGAAGGTACTAAATATAACACAAAGAATGTCTTAATTATTAAATGAGAAGAAAAGTTTTCCTTACAGTTCCTAATTGTTGGATAGCAGCGATGTACATTTCATCTTTCTCGACCTTCTTCCTGTATCTTGTGACGTGCTCCACCTCCTGTGGGTTGACGTCTTTTGGCCATCCTCCTTCTGTGTGATTTATTCCCCGTGAACTTGTTTCAAATCTTTCTGTATTGATCTACAAACAGTGAAAAAATGCATTTAAATTTCAAAAATTTAATTTCCATGATGGCATATAAAATTGAATTGACACGTTTTTTTCTGTAAATTTCATACTGGAGTGTTTATCAAATATCTAAAAATGCAAATCACAAATTATACATACCTCATGTTCTGACATTTCCTGGACACATTGTATCCCTGTGTCAACTGGGTTTCTTTCAATGAAATTATCTGCCAGAGATGGGTCTGGTGTTATGTCCACATGCAACTCTGCTTGTCTGTCTGAGAAGTTGCATTGTCGGCCAAATTCCTGGCGCTTCTTTGTGTAAACATACACAATCTCCATGTTGAGTTTTTTTAGTTCTTGTCACAACTTTCTGTAAGATTTAATTGATAAAGGCTTAGTGAAAAAAGTGTGTATTGGAAACTTGCTTTCTTGTGCGCTCTGTGAGCCTTATGAACTCTCTCTCTCTCTGTACGTGTTTGTGCAATGCATTGGTGATACTGTAAGGAAATGGAATAATTTTGATATTCTCAATCAAATCCATGATCTTGACTTGATGCTGTTTCAGAAAAGAGATGTTTTTAGTAAACTCCAGCAAAACATTTTGGTTGGCATTAATTTGCATGGTGGGTAGCAATGTACATGTCTCAATTATGTTTGATTATAGCACCTGGCAGTTTCAATATTGTAAAAAAGAAACGTTTCCATGGAACTGCAAGTTTCCCATTCAATCAAACATATTTATTACTGAGAAAAATAAATCTAAGAAGACACATTATGCCTATTTTTTGAATTGGTTTTGATGCAAGATTTATTGCTTGTACATTTATTGTAGTGTCTTTAAAATTTGAATATTTCTCAACAAACTGTCAATGAAATATTTATAACACACATTTACTTACGATTACAATTTCCACAAGGTCTCAATAAACAAACAAAAATCCCCTCTAACTTGGCATGGAGTACTTGCAGGTGTTGTCAAGAGTAACAGTAATCAAGCCATGCGCACTTGTTTCTTCCGAGTTTTAAAATTAAACAGAGCAAATATCGACGAAACGATCATAGAAACATTATTATAACAAAAAAATACAATAAAAATTATAATTTCTTTTCATATTGTAAAACTTTTCTTTTCTTTTAACCTTCAAATTAAATAGCACGATTTTTGTTGTTGAAAAGTTGAAAATTACGTATCTTAGCCTATTTGTTGATAGAATTCTGTAAAATTAAAACATGGCGCTCTCCATGATCGACAATCTCTTTTCTCAAGCAAGGTATTTATATTCTAAATCTTCAAAGCTCTGTTGTATTTTGTTGTATTGAATTAGTCTCCTTGCATATGAAATGTAAAATCATATGGATTTATACCTCTTCTTTCAGTACTTATTGAACACCCACGTACACAACCCGAATTTTCTCTATTTACGTTTAGTTTGCGAAAGGGAAAGTTTAATGTTAAATTTCCTACACAAGTTTTGATGATTTAAAATGTTAATCAGTTTGTTTAAGTTTTGAAATCTAAATATGGTTATTCTGTGTAGGACCTCAGACCACCTGTTCAAATTATTTGTAGCATGATAGTGGGGGGAGGGGCCAGTGGCACATTTTAAGCAGTGTTTGAAACTCAACTGTAAATTAGCCAGACTTGCAGGTCTGACTGCTAGTTCAAGTTCTCACAAGTTTTCAGCTCTGCCAAATATCTACTAGCATGAGAAAATAGTTGCCAATTCAAAATTTGTGTTATCAAAATTTTTAACATAGTCTAAATCATAATGTCAATAAGCTGGGCATTTATTTGTGCAGATTTGCTCACTTGCGGCAAAATTTGTGAGCCTGGCCATTGGGCACATGGTAACATATCATACATTGAACATAACAATGTATTTGTGTTTTATATACATATCATTTCACTGTTTCCACAACAAAACATTTCTTATAATTGTTGTTAATAGCCGTCCTGGCCCTGAAATCTTTATGCACCAGAGAAATCTACAGAATGTATGAACCAGCTGCGGCAACTTTATTTCATTCTGCAGTCCTCTAGCACTGAGCCATGGTATGTGAAGTGAAGAATATTAGTTATAGCGAGCGCAGCGAGCTCAATAGACTAACGTGTAAGAACAGAGGAAATTTGGAATGAAATCTGTACATAAGTCAGGCAAATTTCTCTGTGAAACATTCCCAGAATTCTTTTACTACCCAATGTCCTTTGCGCGAATAAATAAATAAATAATAATATAAAGCATAAAAGGTTTTCAGTTTGAAGAAATCTTTCAAAGAAACAAAATATAACTCTGCAATGTTATTCGACCAAAATTGCACTAGGTCTATAGTTTCAACCAGACGCTCGGCTGTCTCCTTAACCGATGAGCTACGTGACGTCGTGTGACGTCACTGCTAGTCGAGATGCCTCGTGCGGCTTGATGTTTGAAGTGGCTTATCAATTTTCAAGTGTTTAATTAACTTTTTGATGGTACAACTGCGCTCGCCCCAACGGTCACACCGTTAAACATATTACATTATATATATATGGCCTTGCATTATTTAGTTAGGAATAACCAACATCTGAGCAGTATGAGAGCAGATTTATTTTTTATACATTTTATCTTTTTAGTTTGCCAAGAAACATGATCTCAACTTTGGTGAATATGGTCAGTTCCATGGATCGTGACAAAACAAAAGAATGTCTTCTATGTGAGCAGATTTTGGCGGAGCTTTTGCCTCGGGATGAGGGTGATCTAGGCTCTGATTTCTATCCCAGCCCTGGCTATCAATCATCCGAGGCCACAGCTAACTGCTTCTCTCTCTATCTAATACAGGTCAGATGACAGTGAAACTATCATGTAATATTGTAAATGTACTGAACTTAAAACTTTTATTATTTGATATTGAATGTAGGAATAATATGTGCACACAGTTTTTTTTCTTAGAAACATGTACATTTTACATGTTCAAATCTGAATTCTGTTGCTAATTGAAACACAGTTGAGTGTGATTGATAAAATAATAAATACCATTAAATTCAATGTTTTTTTCTCGTTCACATGCATTAATTTTTTTAAAAAAAATACAGTCGTGTGCCAAAAGTGAAGATAATTTTATTTTTTCTCTATATATTTCATTGAAAACAACATTTTTTTAAATCGCTGGTATGACATCATTTCTTGACAGATTTTATCACAAATTTCTTGGTAATCCAATAAATTGTTGTAGTTGATATAAACAATAGTTTTTATCTGATCAGTATTGATATTTTAAACATATTGTTATTTTACTTCGACATGAATTTTTAAGTTACATACTCACAATGAATTATATAGTCAACGTTGATCTTGAATTTTAGAACTGATGTCAATTGATGAACTATCTTTTTAGTAAAAACTAAATACATATTGATCTTTTAAAGAAAGAAAACTACACATTTTCTGATTTAAGTTCTGAAATAAATAATGAAATTGCACAAAAATTGACCATTTGCCAATGATTTAAAAAAAATGTTGTTTTCAATGAAATATATAGAGAAAAAATATAATTATCTTCACTTTTGGCACACGACTGTACCTCTTATAATTATACCTCTCCCCATGAAACAAATCAAATGTTTTATAAACTAGTTATGTAATTGAATGTATCCTTTGTAAAATAAAGTATACTTGGGATATGCAAAATGGAGAAAGTAAGGAGTAATTTTATTTTAAAAAATTATTAAAATTTCATTTCAGGGAAACAGGAATTTTTGTTTTACTAAAATCATTCCGCAAGCTGTACGGTAATTTTTTGCTTCCATTCTATTATTTTAATATACATATATAATATATGTATATTATCAAGACTTGTCTTATGATACACTTACCGATAATAAAAAAAAGTTTTCCTTTACACTGAAATTCATGCATATTATGTAAACTAATTAAACAACAGATAACACTTATGTGTGCCCTTTGATAACATAGAGTCACCTGTTATAATAAAGTCAAACATGAGTTTTTATATTTTAAAGGTGGATGTCTTCAGGAAAGGAAGATTTTAATGTACAAAGACAGGCCTTCTCTTTCCTGGTATCACTACAGGTCCTACACAATAAACTTCTGTCTGAGGGTAAACTGTCATTTATATATTGTAGTACATTTATAGTGCTTTATGTTGTATATATTTTTTGTTTTGACAATACATGTATATTACTTTAATTTTTTACTCAGAGACCCTGACAGAAGTAAATAGTACAGTGAGTGATTGGTTGATGAATGCCTCTCTGTATCAACTCCCCAATCCTTACACCATTAACCCCTTCAAGAAAGACCAGGCCATTGTTGTTAATGAAGTGGATGGAACTCCCAGCAGAAATTTCTTTACTGTCCTCAATATTGGTATGACATCTATCTGAAACAAAACTACATTGTATCTGAAACATCTTTTATACAGTGCATTATTATATCATATAATATATTTTTATATAGTTGTATCAGATAAAAGACTTCAAAATTACTTTTATGTATGTGCAATGACAATGTTTTACTGTTGATATATCTGATAATGACAATTTATATTTCACCTCTTGCAGGCCAGTATTACACAAATGACCAGTTCCTGAACATCTACAGTTTCTCAATGTTGTTCAAATGGCTGTACCACTCCCACGTAACTAGTGATGATAACCAGGAACCAGCTAATAAATGTACCCATGTGTTCCACTCGTTAGTGGATAAATCCATCGATTACTGCTTTAGAATACTGGACCAGTGTGAGAGAAGTAAGACTTGTGTTCACATTTCTTTTTATATTCTTTATTAGCTTACGTAATTTATTAAGATAAGCTGTTCTGTAAATAATGTTTGTTTCCTTCTTTTTTTTTTCAGAGCCAAAAGTTGCATCAGATGTAGACCTCCAAAACTGTGTAGGTATTTTTCATGCATTCCTGACCATTTCATAAATAGCATTAGATACATTCCTGAATCATCATCTATAACTCTGTTTATACCTTTTTACCAGTGTTTGTTGGAGGTGGTAAATGTACTGGACATCATTTGTAAGATAGAACCGGGCCGGGTTGCTCGAGTTTTCCAGGAGGTGCGGCGATTGTACAACAGATTGGCAGCAGAACCAGATAAAGCCAGACTTCTCATTCCTGTTCTACAGTTCTTCCTTAATCATGGTATTACTCAATGATTTAGTTATTTGCATCTTAAATACTGTATGGTACTTTCAACACAATTCTTTGTGTCACACCCTTGATATTGTCTACAGTTTGTATCTGTATAGGTATTATTCCTACATGTATTTTTCATTTTCTCCCTTTACAGGTAAAAGTGTAGAGCATGACCCACAAGAGGCCTATACTTTGTTTTTCCACAAGTTGCTAACACAGTGGTACCTGGACCCAGCCTTCAGTTTTGACACAGTCACCTTTATCCGAGATAACCTTGAAACTCTCTGCCACAACACATCCATACTGTCTACTTACTTCCCCAACATCCTCAAGGTCTGTGAGAAAAGCATTATTTATTAATTAAATTTGAAATAAACGGATCTACATGTATATAGTATAATTTTGGTGTATGTATTTTCAGATCCTGGCCTGGAATCCCAGGACATATTTGACAGATTTTGAAGACATACTGCCAGCATTGATGTCTCCGTCCACAGCCACTGAAGTGAGTGATAAAATAAAAGTGTTATTTTGATAAAAATAATACTTAGCATGATTTTAAAAATCTAAGTTAATTTAAATATATTAACAGTCTTTACTGTTTCTACCATGGCATTCTAGGTTTTCCATATGTTGTTGGATTTGCCCTGTGTAACAGTTGCCTTAGAGGTAACCGAGCAATGTAAGAAACGTGAGGCTCAGACTTTGTCTACTGAGACAGAACCAATCAGCTCACTGTCTGCATTCCAGAGCGCCCTCTACAGGCCAATGTTTAACTTCTTCACACGAGTGGAGGGAGGACATGGAGATACTATAAATAGGTCAGTGGTTTACTTCATGTATAAAACAGGTTAATTCTCACATTTACAAATGTATACATACTTTGTGGATTCTTTATAAGATACAATGAAATTAGTTTTTCTAACCATCACTTTATATAAGAGTATTACCATCATAACATTTCATTAGTCATGTTCTCTCTACAGATTGTCTTCCTTCCACAATATCCTGAGGGATATGAACCAGCATCCTCGTGTGGTTGTCTGCTCTCAGATTGTGCCTGTGTTGTTAAGGTTGGAATTCCCTCTTGTTCTTTAAAATTCCATTATGCTTTCTAAAGAGGAGCATGAAGTTACTCCATGAATGCTTATAATTCAATTATAATCAGTGTTCAACTGTACAGGTAATTTAAACAATCCTATGGGTATTGACCTATGCTAGCAACTTTAAAAACATTTTTGACTTTGATTTTGACTTTAAATAAGTTTTTTCTTATCATTGATCATATTGTACATAAGTATTTGTCTTAGATTATGTAGTACTAAACCTTACTCTAATTCAAGATTCCTCTGACATTTACCCCTGCTTTTATATTTGATATAGGCTATAAGCAGGGTTTACATATTTGAGCGCTAGGAGAATGATAGATGTTTACGTTTCAGGATTTGGTTTGATGTTGTATTGGACGATGCCTCACCAGAGTTTGGTTCTCAGTTAATCCCAGTCCTACTAGAGCGGACAGCTTCATTGTACAGCATTCCAGGCTATCAGGCGGATGTCAAAAAGTCAGTCTATTTATAACCCTGTAGTTCTGTAAACATGTATCACCAAGTTCTATTTCTGGCATTTTTCACAAGTAAATACTGGTACTTTAATTTGTAGGGTTTTGGCAGAAAACTTAGTACATTTATTGAAGAAACATCCAGGAATAATTTTGGATCAGGCCTCAGAAATTAAAGACTTCCTAATAAGTCCAAGGAATATTTCAGAACGAGAGGAATTCTTTGCAAATCTGGTGAGAATTCTCTTGTAGTGCTTCTAATCTTTTAGCACCCTAGGCACACATATACTTTTTAATAAAATGGGAGTTACAGTGACTTATCAAACTAAACTTGATCAAAAGAAACTTTTTTTATTTGTCTAAATATGACAAAATCTCAGTGGTCACAATATTTCTTTTACCATATTTGATGCAGAAAGTCATGAAATATTCTTTTCAATTTATATCTAGGTTTGGTGTGTCGGTGAGTTAAGTTCAGTGAAGCATGACAAAAGATGTTCTGCTGAAACAATTACAAGATTTCTTGATACACTTGAGGTGTTGACCTATGAACTCTCAGGAATGACTTCTACAGATGAACAATTTGCAGATTCCTCCAAAATAATTTGCATGTTAATGTCAGCAATATCAAAGGTTTGTTATCAAAGGTGAAGAGGGTAGCTAAATGATGCATAAACAATCTTTTATCTAATGTGTCAAACTCAATATATGTGATTAATTCAAGATTGAGATTTGTGTAACTGTTTCCTTGAACTGTTTTACCCAAGATGTCTCTTTCTCAGCAAATTGAGTATGCCTTACATGATACATGTATGCAATGTCTATTCTATTAAATTTATTGCAATTCTTTTTTTATATACAATCATGTAGTTAGCTTCCAAATGTCAAGACCTGATTCCTCGATCAATTCTTCTCCTGACTAAGGTTGCTAAGCAACATCAAGCTAGTTACTTGGATACAGAAGTAAAGGATGCATTGGTTGGAAGGGCACAGGAGCTCATCAACCTCCTTAAACTTCCAAAGTTTGTATATTGTCAAGAATTCAAGCTTTGAAAAAGTTGTAAACTCAGCTAAAAAAAAAAAACAACTAGAAGTGACCCACTAACTACAATACATGTCGACTCATTACTGAAAAGATTTAAAACATTGAATTTGTTGTTGTTTCTTAAAGACTTGTAAGGCTTTACATACTGTAGATCACTAAATTTTCGCGACATCTGAAAAGATTGATAAAACAAAATTTTCACGAATTGTGTTGCTCTATATAATCCTAAGGAATACTAATATATCGAGAATTAAACAGACGTAATTACGTAAGGCGAATAAAAAGTGATTTACAGTATACTAGAACATTCCATAGTAAATTTCATCACCATTTTAATTTTTTTACTGGCAACTTTTTTTCTCTGCAGCAACTATGTATTGTAGCAGTCTGTATTTATATTGTAGTTTTGCCAATGTTGTGTTTAACCCTGATGATGATATAGAGACTGGGAGGTGGCACAGAGACAACACCAGTTTACCTGTCACCCTGAGGGGAATCCAGCATGTACTCTCATAGCTTAAACTGAATATCAACTCTATTTTTAGGTCACCTGAGTAAACTCAGGTGACCTATTGCTATCCGTTTTCGTCTGTCGTCGTTCGTCGTGCGTCGTGCGTCGTGCGTTAACATTTGAACATTTTCAGCTTCTTCTCTGCAACCACTGAACCAATTTCAACCAAATTTGGCACAAAGCATCTATGGGTGAAGGGGAACAAAAATTGTGAATTTCATGATCCCTGCCCCCCTGGGGCCTGAGGGGTGGGGCCAAAACCACTAAAATTAATGCAATCTTTAAAAATTTTTCTTTACTCCTGGACATCAAGCAATCAAACTGTTTGCATGATTGTAATACTTTTACCAAAATTTGAAATTCATTTTTATATTAAAATGTAGTGAAAATGCATTATTTCTTTGAAAATCTTCTTCTCTGCTTGGGTATTAAATAAACCAACAAAGTACATAGTTATGATGAGCAAGAGTGCCTCTACCTAAATTGTGAATTTTATTCAGGGGTTTGTTTCGGGGCTCTATTAATTATATAGTGAAAATACATTATTTCTTTGAAAATCTTCTTCTCTGCTCCTGGGTATTAAATAAATTTTGTTATGATGAGCAGAGTGCCAAAATTGTGAATTTTATGGCCCCAGGTGTGTGTTAGGGCGGGGTTCTATTGATTATAAAGTGAAAATATGAATTCTCTGAAAATCTTCTTCTCTGCTCCTAGGTATTAAATTAACTTACTGGATAGTTTGATGAGCAAGAGTGCCTCTACCAAAATTGTGAATTTTATGGCCCCAGGGTCAGGGGCAGTCATGACAAATTATATAGTGAAAATATAATTCTTTGAAAATCATCTTTTCTGCTCCTGGGTATTAAATTTAAGTGCATAGTTATGATGAGCATAAATTACAAAATTGTGAATTTTATGGCCCCAGGGACATAAGGGCGGGGCTCTATAGATTATATAGTGAAAATACATAAATTCTTTGAAAATCTTCTCCTCTGCTCATAGGAAATAAATAAACTTACTAAGTGCATAGTTATGATGAGCAAGAGTGCTTCTACCAAAATAATGAATTTTATTGCCCCAGGATCAGGGGTTCTGGTGTTAGGGTGGGACTGTATTGATTATATGGACTAAGTGAAAATACATGAATTCTTTGAAAATCTTCTCCTCTGCTCCTAGGAAATAAATAAACTAACTAAGTATATAGTTATGATGAGCAAGAATGCCTCTTCCATAATTGTGAATTTTATAGCCCCAGGGTCAGGGGTTCCGGTGTTAGGGCGGGGCTCTATTGATTATATAGTGAAAATACATTAAATCTTTGAAAATTTTCTTCTCTACTCCAGGGTATTAAGCAGTTGAACTACCAATATAGTTATGATGGACAAGGGCCCACACAATTGTGAATTTCAAGGCCCCAGGGTCAGGGGTACCATCATAACTTATATACTGAAAATGAATGAATGGTTTGAAATCTGCTCCTTAATATTAATCAAATATCAAGGCCTAAGGGTCAGGGGTTCATGTATGGTAGGGGCACTACTGATTATTGCTGAATATTACTGATTAGTTGAAATGCATTTTGTGTTCCAAACCCTTATGGGTATCAAGTAAACAAACTAAGCAACTGCTAAGTGTATTGTTATGATGATCAATGGTGCCTCTTTCAAAAAAAATGCCATAGCATCTGGCTTAAAACATGAATCAAATTCAATCACTGGAAAGTTGTTGCATAATGCTCAGGTGACCTATAAGGCCCATGGGCCTCTTGTTATAAAGGAATTGTCTACATATTACTGTTTAAGGTCCAAGCCAGAAGACATAGACAAACTATTAGAACAATTATACGGGAACAGTGCAATTTTTTTTATGAATGTACATTAATTTACTTTTATTTTATTTTTATATTAAAATGTAATTGAACATTTTTTTTTTGTTCTGTCTTTTTTATAGGCCAAAACAATTAGAATCTTGCCACTTATTTTTCTTTGTTTCACTCTGTGAGGAAACATGCTGACACGCGGAATTCTTTTTGTTGGCACGGCCAGGTGTGTTATAGGACCGAAGACATCCAAAAATATGAATTCAGTGCTTAATTAGAAGTAATGGATTTTGTAAGACACGAATCTAAAATGCAGTCATGACAAAATATAGAATATAACAAAACTTTATGCTTCATATAATTACAATTGTTCATAAATACATTCTTATTCATGAACTTACACATCATTGTCCTTGCAAAAGCCGCCAATATAAGAAACCTGCTTATGAAGTACATCATACTTGCAACTGAATGTAAAGTTTGGGGTTTAAAAGTTTCTGAGCCAAAGGAGTGAGCTTTTTGATCACATTTATCCGTCCGTCCATATATTTTTTCATCAAGAACCACTGGGCCAATTTTGAACAAACTTGGTTCAAAGCATCCTTGGATGAAGGGGAAATTAAATTGTTAAAATGAAGGGCCAAGTCCCGTCACAAGGGGAGATAATCAAGAAAAGACAAAAATAGGGTGGGGTCATTAAAAAATCTTATCAAGAACCACTGGGCCAATAAAGCTGAAACTTCTGTGGAAGCACCCTGGGGTGTAAACAATGACCCCTGGGGGTTGGGCGGGGCCACAATGGGGAATCAAAGTTTTACATAGAAATATATAGGAAAAATCTTTGAAAATCCTCTTCTCAAGAACCACTAGGCCAGAAAATCTGAAACTTATGTGGAAGCATCCTGGGGTAGTGTAGATTTCAAATTGTTTAAATTATGATCATTGGGGTAGGATGGGGTCACAATATCATTATGTATTACAAGGGGGAAATCTGGTAAACAACAGAATGGTCAAAGATTCTCAGGTGAGCGATGTGGCCCATGGGCCTCTTGTTATGCCCAGATAATCAAAGATTTCGGGGTATGTAGTTTTTGCCATCTGTCTGTCCACACTTTAACCTTACTCATAACTTCTGAGTGGGTTGGGCTATGGCTGTCATATTTCATAGGTGTATTCCCTGAGACAAGACCACCAAATTTGATCTTATAACCTTGGAGTTTGACCCTCTTTTACAAAAGTTACTCTTTAACCTTGATCATAACTTTTAAACAATTACTGCTAGGGCTGTTATATTTCACATGTGTACTCATTGTGACAAGACCTTTCCTAGGGTATAAATATTTTGACCTTGACCTAAGTGTTTGACCCACTTTTTAAAAACTTTAACCTTGGCCATAACTTTTGATCATCTAGAACAAGGTCTTTCATATTTCACAAGTGCATTCCATGTGACAATATAGACCTTCCTTTGGGTACCAACAGCTTTAACCTTGATCTTTGGAGTTTGACATGCACTTGAGAAAATTCTACCCTCACCATAAGCTCTCATACTCAACACACTTTATATGTCTGTGATTTATAAATGCTTGCTTCTTTGTCATAAGGATCTTGAAATAATTTTAGAACACACAAGTGGTATAAATTAGAAATTTATTCACGTTCACATAAAAAGTATACATGGACATATTATAAGATGCACATTTGTAATATTATTACACCTCATAATTTAAGCCCACTGATTCTTACATAATGAGTATACACATATTTTCTTATTCATGTAATACAATTTTCAGTAACATGAATACCTGGAGTATGTTTTAATTTTTAAGTTTCAAAAAATATGTGAAGGTTGCATAAAAATTATTAGCTGGTATACTGTACTACAAGTATATACACAGAAAACTTTAATCAACATCAGTATCTGAGGCTTATGTGGCAGTTGACTTCGGAATGAAATTATATAAAGTGGTTCATTTTTAAAATCTCTTGTAGGAATCGCAATGAATGCAGATTAAAATAAAATGCAGACTAAAGAGATTTTCTTGCTGTATGTGGAAACATAAATGAACAAGCTCTAATTAAAAACAAACACCAGAACTTCTTTATACATGTATACTGTTGTAACTTGGAGAAAAATATTCAAAACATTAATATTACAGGAAAAAAGATGACAATGCCCCCTATCAGTAATTAATGTCCAAATTTTGTTCCCCATTTTCATCTATAAAATTTTTACAGGGTATTCTACCAAACAACATATTTAATTGCCCTATGAATTTAACGCACACTAGCACCACACTGATATTCAGTACACTGTAAATGAAACGTTCAATCTACTTCAGAAGTTTTATCTCTAAATTATAATCGTGATTTTTTTGTGATTAACAAGGATATGACACATATCAATCCTATTCAACAATTTTCTATGATGGAATGTTGATAATTTTTGTATGAAATAATACTTTGTAAAAATACTCGATATGGATTGTAGACTGAAATGCTAGATCTTCACATTTCAGGTAAGGTTTTTAGGGGTAAACCAAGTTCATTTTAGGAAGCTTTAAAGTGCTTCAATCTCAATGTACCTAAATATAATATTACCTATCAGGTCTAATAGAAGTAGTTTTATGTACAATGTGCAAGTTTCAGTAATTTCATCCAATAAAAACACCCTCTAAATTATTATCCAATACCACAGGTATTTATTTTTAAGAAAAGATACAACAAATACTTGTACAGCATACTGTCCAATTAAATATCAGGTGTACAGTTTTATTCTGTTCTAAAATGATAGAGAAAACATTTTTCAACAATTGTGCAGTTGCAAACTAATAGAATTAGGCACCAAGCAATCATAAAACACTAACAAGCACCTTTTGTTCTTAAAGAATTAGAGTAACATTCACTATTCACATGCATAACATTCATACTTGCACTTTCCCCATCACAATTTGAAAAATATATTTGTTCTAGTATTATAACACCGTAAAACTGTCCACTTCTCCCACATCCGATAGATTCTCTCCATTTACATTGTAAGATATCTTGAATTTTAACCGCACTTTTTCCTGAAATGACAAGGTCAACTATGAGTGCCAAAATTATCAAGATACTGGTATTAAAGGTGTAGATTATAGTTTTAATATTTAATGGTAATAATTAGATATACATTTGGGCTGTAGTAAGGGATAACATGCTAACTATGTTTACCTTTTGTGGGTTGGCCAGCAACATAACTTGAGTAATGGCAGCGGGTGGGAGAATAGGATTGTATGCAGGTAGATCAGTGGCTGAAGGGGGCTGTAATTTTACTTTCATCACCTGACAAGCAAAAGCTTCCTGTTTATATCACTTATGCTGCATCTTGTTATTATATACAAAATTAAGAACCAGGAACAAATCTTTGTTGCATAATTTTTGGTAAATAAGGTAAGCAAATCTTATTAAAGGAATACAGTAAAACTTGGTTATAGCGAAGTCCTGGGGACCTGTGAATTTAATTCGCTATATCTGTAATTCGTTATATCTGTATAACAAATTCGTATAACCATTATAGCGAATTCGCAATATGCATGTTTTCCTTCAAGTATTACTACCAATTATGTTAGGAAAGCAAATATTAAAAAACATATCTTCAATAACTAAGGTTATATTATGAATTGGATTTTAAATACAAATGCTAAACAGAAACAGAGTCAGTATAATTTATTATTTTTATTATAATCTTTAAGAGTTCATTATAAAGGATGTAAATTTCATTATATTTAACCTCAACGGGACTCAAAATCAGTTCGCTATATCCGTAAATTCGTTATATCAGAGTTCGTTATAACCATACATGTTAACCGATTGTGATGAAAAATAGGGAGATTCAGACCTCAAAAGCGGTAGCATTGCGCGTGCGTTGTTTTACGCTTGGATTACCGACATATTTCAAGTAATATATACATGTATGTAGCCTTAAATGAAACCTACAAAGCCTTAAATGAAACCTACAATAAATAAAAATATCAACTGCAAAGAAGACGACAGAAATACCTTAAGTTTGACAAAAATTGTACAAATTCAAATATTTTTCATGCTCATCATTTTGCTTGGATTGGTGTTTAACTTAGCCTTTTGAAGAGTGATCTTTGCCAATATAGCCTAGAAGCAATAATTCTGAATGTTCATTCAGTTGTAAAACAAAACAAATGATGGCATGGTTTAAACTATATCTAAAACAAGTTCCTATCTTTCGTTATATAAATCAGATTTCCCACGATGATCGAAAACGAAAGTAGAGATGTGCCACATGGCTTGGTCAATCGAGTGATTTCTATTGACTTTATTGATAAAATTGTGATCTTCTGTGCTTTTATAGACGATGCCAAACGTTTTCATCTAATTATTAAAAGCTGTATCTCCTTTTTCATGGCAGTGATGTTGACTAAATTTATCGTAACCAATGTAATCACTGGTAATCTTGTGCTGTTGTCGTTGTCAAATTCGTGCTTGAAATCTATGTACACATTGATACAAAAAAGCGTTTGTATGCTTCTGAGTCAAATCACGCGATATCTAACGAGATTTTATGAGAGTGGCTTCAAAAATGGATACCCAAGCGAACCAAAAATACTTTAGACGCAACTTTTGTAGCAAAGCGGTAGATTTCTGAATTAAATCGGTAGGCGGGAGATGGAGTGAAAAAGCGGTAGACTCCCGCCTAAATCGGTAGAGTTAACATGTATGGTTATAACCGTAAAATTTTACAAAGATTTGTTAAGAATTTTGCCAGGTGCCCAGAAAAACTTTGCTATATCCATGAATTCACTATATCTATGTTCGTACTAAACGAGTTTTATTGTATAAGATAAACATAATATTTAGACTTTGTTCTACATTATCATTCCTCTACTTGGTCTACATACCTTTGGAACAGCGGCTTGAAAGACAAAATTTTTGACAGGATTCGTGTTTGTACTAATTGTAGATACAACCATGACTGTGACATCCTCCCGGGGTTTATTCTTGGCTAAATGTATCACAATTTTAAGTCCATTCTTATCATATGCGTTCACTGGAGCTGTGCTTTCTGCAAAAAGATTTTATAAATTTCCATGTAAATCCACTTGTTTGACATGGTTATTCTTCATGGTTAAATTTTTTTTCATTTTGAAATTCAGAAACTTCTGTAAATTTTGCAATTTAAAACAAACACATTTAATCAAAGATTACACAGCTCAATCAACTCAACGAATATCATCTTTAAGTTAGGCAAAGTCTCAAATTTAACAAGATATTCTGGTGGGGGTGAGAACACAGGCACTTGTTTTGTATGTATCCAGGGCACCCCCAATATTAGAGATCATGTGACACTTCAATACTTACCTGGTTGTATGGATTCCAGTGGAACATTAACATCCGTGAGGGCTAGGACTTGTGTACCCTGTTTGACTGGCGTTGAGGACACAGGGGATGGCTGAGAAACGGGCAGCTGAGCGGGGGCAGGATTATCCAGCAAGTTTGTCCCCGGGGAGGGCTGGGGAGAGGCTGTCTTAGACATCATCTGATTCATAGGTACTTTTTGACTGAAAATAGAAATGATAAACATTATATATATTATCAGTAGTACATGTAACTACCTTTTTTCATTCACCTCATCTGAATAACAGCAGTCTGAAATTTTATAAATATTCATTTGTATAAGAAAATGTAGGTGTGTCAAACAGATATGTTTTTACATTACATTCACACTGTAAACTGTTACCCTGTGTTTTGTGGTTTGATAGGTAAATTCTTGGGTAGATTTTGCTGTAGTAGATTTTGTCCCAGCATGTCTAGCTCCTTCATTGCCAGGGTCTGCTGTTCTGTGGGAGGAGCTTTAGGTTTTTGACTGAACACAGATGTATCTGCAAAAAAGGATGACATTACATGTACATGAATTTGTTCTTCAAGACAATACAGTTCCTCACCATTATCATTTTCTTCATGTCTTTTTTAAAAATATTTTTAAAAATTCAGCAACTAAATTGACTGCATGAAATGATTTGTTAAACTTTTGAAAGTGCTGTGATATGCTTCAGAAAACGACACACAAATATTTACATGTATTATTATATCCTTGAAATATAAAAGGTAAAATGCTTAAAGTCTTTATTCAAATGATCTTGAGTCAGGTCCATACTCTGGTTAAATAACCTTTGTGTTAATATCAAGTACAAGCTTTCAATGATTTCCTGTAACAAAGTGATGACCAGTGACTAGTTTTGTCTAAATCACCTTGTTCTGAAGTCAAATAAGACTCATATCTATAACACTTATCACCAATGATTCCACATTGAGTTTCCTGCGTAACTTACTGTTATAAATGTATTGCTCCTTTTTTAACTAATTACATGTATATGTACAAGTTAACCTGATACAAATCATGATATTTTGAGAATACTGTAGATTCCTTATTTTTCGTGAGTACTTATTATAGCAAATGGGCTCTTCAACAGCAAATCGCGAGAATAATAATTCACGAATGGACAGTTGGTGGAGACTTTTTACATAGATTTAAGTGCCATAAAATTAAAGGCGAGTAATTTTATTTTGCTTGTGGTGCTTCTCGCGAAATTACATGATAATTAATTCCACACGATTATTTAGGAATCTACTGTAGTTTTGTCAAGTTCACATGTCTGGTATAAAAACATTGATATGTAAAATGTTGAACGAGAGGAAACATATTATCTCAATATAGCAGGTAAAAACATGCTTTCCTGACACTCTAAAAGTAACTTTTTAGCTTACCAGAATCTGAACTCATTAGTAATGAAGTAGTTGGTTGTGATGTCTGAGATGGAAATTGTGAGAAATTGCCTGTCATTGGCTGTGGCATAGAATAAGTTGGAACATGTGCTCCCATTGGCTGATTGAATGCCTGGAATGCTGGCTGTCCTCCACTCACTGAGAATGCATTGTTCATTGCTGGTGCTGTTGTTAAACTTTTTCCATGGGTCTAAAATGATAAATTCAAATGCAAAAATTCCAAATACAGAAGCCAAATACATATATTCTGTTTTAGTGTTAGTCTTTTCATTAAATTTATAATGCATGAAGTGCAAATTTCTAATGATCCCCCAATCCCTTAGGATTTTTTCCTATTTTGGATGCTAACCTGTACAATAGGTAGTTTTCTTTAGCGAGAGTTATTTCCTCTCATTTACCATATTAAAGATCATTCAACATCCTTAGTATTTAAACATTTTCAAATTGTCATACTAATCTTCAAGGTGCAGAAAACTCTTTTCTAAAGAATTTACATTCATTTCACTTTGATCTACATAATTTTCATATTAATATATAAATTCTCTCAAATATTTATCTGTCAAACATTTAAACCAGAAGTCTCTGTCAAGACTGTAGCTCTACTGGTTTGTACTTATAACAAAGGATGAGAAAAGAAGCCATTGTTATCAGACCAAAAGCGTAGAAGGAGTAGCGTTTTAAACAAAATTCTAAGGCATTTCTTTTTTTAGTAACCATGGCAACGCTGTTCATCAAAATCAAAACCCGATGCATTATTTTATGTACCTTAGTGTAGTCTACTTGTGTGCCAAGTAATATTGAAATCAGACCAAAACTGTAGGAGGAGTAGCGTTTTAAAGGATATTCACACAAAATTCTATTTTTAGTAACCATGGCAACACCGTTCACCAAAATAAAAAACCGATGCACTATTTTATGTACCTTAGTGTAGTCTACTTGTGTGCCAAGTTATATTGAAATCAGATTAAAACTGTAGGAGGAGTAGCATTTTAAAGAAATTTCACAGAAAATTCTATTTTTAGTAACCATGGCAACACCATTTAACGAAATCAAAAACTGATGCACTATTTTATGTATCTTAGTGTAGTCTACTTGTGTGCCAAATTATATTGAAATCAGATTAAAACTGTAGGAGGAGTAGCATTTTGAAAAATTGTTTACAGACAGCTAGACAGACGGACGGACGACGGACACCTTACTATTGCATAAGCTCTTCTGGTCTCTGACCAGTAGAGCTAAAAATGAATAAACAAAAAAAAAACAATAGAACTAACTACTTTCACTGTAATGTGCAACCTAGGGGAATAACTCATATACACAAATTTTGAATTTCAAACAATCTGATACTGAGGAACATCCACATGCTATTCACTTACAGATACGGTACTAGAAGAGGAAGCTGCAAAAATGTCATCCAGGTCACCGAGCAGAGATTCTGATTTTGTGCTACTGTCACCTAAACCTGAAGAAGAGATGTATCCTGTAATAAAATCCTTACTTGCAGAGGGATTAACACAGTATCTACAGTAAAACATGGCAGAGGTTATCTCTTTCCTCTTCTCAGTCAATTAAATGAGAACTTGAAAATGTGAAAAGTTTACTTAAGAAATAAGGTATCATTTTTAAACATCTATCGGGATATAAATACAGGTTGGTCACGAGATTAAATTCCATAAAGCCTGAAGGGCTTTATGATGAATTTAATCTCGTACCAACCCGTATTTATTGCCCGATAGATGTTTTAAAATGATACCTTATTACTTATATTTACATTTGTGACTTATTCATACTTTAAATTTGCCTGATTGTGACTTCTAACGTGTGAAATGCATTATTTTTCAAACCCAACGGCATGTATGTTATCCACTGAACACGCGTCGATCCTATATGACGTCACTGAGAGATTACGTCGAACGATTATCCATAGGCAAATCTATGACCTCTTGACCCCGTACCTGTATTTATACAGTTATAGATACGCATTGCTTTCAGTGGTGTTATATAAAGGAAAACATTTGCAAATGTAAATATTTGCAGACAGGCCTCAAACAGTATGTAATCAGAAAACCTCACTTGAACCTTTGGCTCAGGTGAGCTGAAAATATTAGTTCATTGATAGCAAGTAAGCATAAATTCACAATACCAGCATTTACAATGAGTGTTTTTAGTTTTTAATACTGTATAGCGGGTATTTTTTGCGGGGTCCTAACTTTGGCTAATTTTAGCAGTTTTGTAGGAAGCCCCTTAAATTTTAATTGCCAAATTTGCACCTTTCATTATCACTACCAAATACATGAAAAATCAAAGACTTCAATTAGTCTTTTCAGTAAGCAATGTAACTTTCACATGGTATTGTATTTACTCAAACTTTTGTGTTAATTAGTATTCAAACATTTATACCTATTGAAACTTATATAAAAGACGAAATTCCTCTCTTCTGCAATGTCACCAACTCTGTGTCTTCCAAAAATATTTGCGCCAAAATTATTGGCATACCTTTGAGTGAGCAAAACGCCAAATTTTACACCCACTAAAGAAACCGGCTATACAGTATGTTCAACTAAAGATATATGATATGAATGCTGCCCTAATGTTATGTATGCTTTTGCTCTGAAACAAGAAAGAGATTCCTTTCATCAGTCTGGGTGAATAGAAACAAATGGTGAAAGAACCTACATGTATTTATCATAAGAACTTACAAAGACTTAGACTGAAATTTTATTTTGTGAGTAACTTTCCTGACATTTATTTTTAAAAAAAATGGTTTTTATCATTTTTATAAGGAGTTTCAAGATATTTTCCAGTGCAAATAATTTTTTAATAAATTTTTGATTTGGGAAGATTTTACATTAATTAAATACCTAATTTCTAGGGTAAGTATTGTTGAAATATTCTCATAAGAAATTTATCTGTTTAGGGAGTGCTTGAAAATTTCTTGTACAGTTTCTTCGAAAATGTTAAGTAGGACTGATGGACAGACAGAAGAATGGACATGACCAACACTATATGCCCAAGCCATGTACATGCCTGTAAAGATAATTGCTTCATTTGAACAGAAAACTACAGCTACTAAGTTGACTTGATATCTAGTATAGTGTTTGTACCTAGGGCTAGGAGCTCCTCGTCAAGGATTTCTGTGCTGGGGTCTTTGGTCTGTGAAGTGGGGTGGGAGGGAGCAGATTGGTCTGCCAGGTCAAGTAGGGAGGAAGCAGGACCTAGGGGATAGCAGCAAATCTTTAACATAGTGGTACATATAAGCAATGTATGTTCTATTGGATTACCTGCACCAAGTACACAATAAGATCATACATGAAAATATTTAGCATATAAAAATTCAATTGTCTGAGCTAGTTTTAAAGGGAAAAGTTGAAAATAATTTTTCTTCCTTTACATGTACATGTATTTCTTTTTTTTAATTGTTGAGTGAAGTCAAAGAACAGTTGGATTTGTTAATATTAGAGAATTAATAATGCATTGATTATAAACTTGCAAAGTGTCTACAAAACAAGTTCTGCAACTTTTCATAATGAATATCCTCATAATTTCAATACACATCAGCTAAAAAGCACTTTTCAAAAGTGAGTAATTCTAAATCAGGTAATTTTGTGTTTAGATAAGCCAAGGTTGAATTATACAGTTTCTACTTATGAGTGTATAGGTATTGCGTTTTTCCAACTCACCAGAGGCGTGGCCATTGTGATTGGATTTCTCTGCCACCTTCCTCTTATACTGAGCCATCACCTGTGTCACCTCGTCATTACTCTTCAGTATATCATCTGAAGATATAGCCAAAAAGGTAATCAAACTGCCACCGAATACCTACACAAATTCTACATGTTGTATTATGTCTTTTGTCTCATGTCTAACAAAACATCCACTTTTGATACAAATGTCTAATACAGTAACCCAACCTTTAAAAAATCTTCTTTAATACTTTTTATGTATATTTAAACCTTAATCTGACAAAAAAAAAAGACAACTCTGATTTGTATGACATTTTGTGTCTTTTCTACGATGTACAGTGAACAGTTACCATACTCAAGACAGATGAAATCTGACTGGGCAATTTAATCTTTAAAGATAAAACTTAACTATTTGCTCCAAAATTTAGAAGAGCATGAACATTTAAAGACCTACTTATTGCATCATTTTCTTTATCATCTGCATCGCTGGCAAGACGAAACAAATTTGGTCTCAGTCTCTCCAAACTATCATACAACTCCTGAAAAGAAATCAAATTCTCTTACGCCTGTCAACTAATTTAAATATTAACACATGTAATGTATAATAAGGCAAACTTTAGTTTAATGCTACAACCTTCATCATATCTAAATCTGCCTCAGAAGAGGTCTCTGGTGAATAGTGTTCCAACATCTCCATCAACAATTTGCTGTTGTTGTTAATCTGCTCCAGCTCATTTATCCTCCGAGAAACCCTTTCCATCTTGTCAGCATCCTTTGATACAAAATTAATATTTTAATTGAATCTTGGCAAATTTAAGGACTGCAAAACACACCATTATAATTTACTGAATATCTGATTTAAAAATCTTGAAATTAAATTAAGTACAAACCTGTTTGACCATGTTCTTGATCAACCTATTAGCAGCCTGTAGGTCTTGAGGATTTTTACTTTTCAACAACTTTGCCAGTAGCTACAGACATAAAAGTATTTCACTGAGGAACTGATAGAAATTAACTACAAGACTTCATGGACATTAAATTACACAAGTCTCACCTTGGATTTTTCTTCATCTTCAAAAGAAGCTGTTCTAGGCTTGGGAGGTGGAAATACATCTATTTTCTGTCACAAAATAAATAAACACTTAAACACACGTTAGTTTAACAAACTTTTACATAATACTTGTACAAGTATATTGTTTTATAATGTACAACTAAACATTCCAATAATAAATTTTCTAGTTTGTACTTTATGGCAATATCTCCCTGAAAATAAGAAAGTGGTTGGTCATCCAAACATGTATCCTAGCCAGCACATTACACAATCACAAGATTTAAGGGAGCAACAGAGATAGGACCAAAGAAATGATTTAAAATTACAGTATTTTTTCATGAAAGCTGGATTCAAATTATATCAATATTGTAGCGTCTTTTTACTATTCATATTGTTCATCCTTCTAAAATTGTAATATAAAAGTTCTTTTCCAGATATTAAAATTAATTTACAACTTCATTTTTTGTAATTACAATTACATATGTATAATTTCTAAGCATATATATACAGTGTAAGGTTAGATTCCCCATTTCATTAAATATAAATGAAAGATATGAACTTTATTATATATGTGTAAATTGATAACTACTGATACATGTATTAGTACTCGTTCTACTTGATATATTTTATTACTCACTTTCCCTGAATCCTAAAATCAAATAGACTCACTTCATTATATCAACACTTACACAAAAAGTGGCATTTAGTATCAATGAAGTAAAACAATTCTGTATACAATACACATCACATGCAATATTCTTCTGCCAATCAGTTTGTAAACCGTAACTGAAACAAGTTGCCATTGTGCATTTTGTAGGAGGCTATATCACTTTAACAGTAGTCATTGCAACCCCATCAATTCTGGATTTAATAATAATTATGTATTTATCTTCAAAATTGACAGCTAAGAATATCTATGCAGTCTTCAGAATGATGAACACAGAACAGCCAAATGGAATATTAGATAGCTAGGTCATTCTACAAACAATATTTGGAAGAACTTGATATAAATTAGTAAATCACACACAGATGAAGCTTTCTACAATTTTGAATCAAGATTTCTTAATTTATTAGCAGGCACACACATGCATTTATTTTCATTTAATGCACAGAACTGTGTTGACAAATTCTTTATAAAACCCTACCTTATCAATGTAGTCTGGATCTACTTTTACAATGCCCTGCTGTTTCAACATTTGGTAGGCTTCTAAGATTTTGTTTTCATGTGGTAGTCCTTTACTCCAGCTGTAGATAAGTTCTATACATTTTTTCTTCACTTTTTCACTAGTTTTGTTCCCTAGATACTAATGGAAATAATAAAGATACTTAACACAAAGTATATATAATGAAATCTAATTCAAACATATCCATGACCTTCCTAGTAAACAAACCACATTACATAGAGTCTTGAAAACTATATAAACAACTGGTTTATCTAAGATATTGTCAACATATTATCAAGAACTTTTGTTGAATTTGTTCACAGATCAAAATAACACATGTATATTTTGAGTGTAACTGAAAAGTTTCTACATACCTTAGGTGAAACAACTTTAATCATTTCATTCAGAAACCTGAACTTTCCAACTTCAACATGAAAGCGTCGGCCACAATTTTTCACACATGCCTCTAAAGTCTACAATTTATATTTCATTTTTGTATAGACATTTTTTTCAAATTATGACATATAAAGCAAAATTTCAACAATCAGCAAAATCAGTTTTGGAAAGTATGCAAATAAAGTGTATAAAACAATTAATACCGCTAAAGCATATACTGCCTCTCTCTCCTGTGGTGACTGTATTTTGTGGGCCAGGAGTCGGACAGCAGTCTGTGGCCCTTCTAAATCTTTGTTAACTTGTTCACAGAATTTTGTAATGGTCTCCCAGTCCTCATCCCTATTAGCTGGATTAGTTGCAGTATCTATACATAAAAATATTCATAGGGTGAATTCACCATGCATCGGATACCCTTGTTTTTCAGCAAGTTCTAGCGATATCGCTACCGACAGAAAATTATCAAAATGGAGTTTAACATTTAGTTTGTGATTAAAATATCAATTTGGGACACAATTATATGCCCTTTATTGAGAAAATATCCTCAACCAGAAGTCTCTGTCGAGACTGTAGCTCTACTGGTTTGTACTTATAACAAAGGATGAGAAAAGAAGACATTGCCATCAGACCAAAACTCTAGAAGGAGTAGCGTTTTAAAGGAATTTCACAGACATTTCTATTTTTATTAACATGGCAACACTGTTCATCGAAATCAAAATCCGATGCACTATTTTATGTATCTTAGTGTAGTCTACTTGTGTGCCAAGTAATACTGAAATCAGACCAAAACTGTAGGAGGAGTAGCATTTTAAAAGACTTTCACAGAAAATTCTATTTTTAGTAACCATGGCAACACCGTTTATCGAAATCAAAAACCGATGCACTGTTTTATGTATCTTGGTGTAGTCTACTTGTGTGCCAACTTATATTGAAATCAGATCAAAACTGTAGGATGAGTAGCATTTTAAAGGAATTTCACAGAAAATTCTATTTTTAGTAACCATGGCAACACCGTTCATCGAAATCAAAAACTGATGCACTATTTTATGTATCTTAGTGTATTCTACTTGTGTGCCATGTTATATTAAAATCAGACCAAAACTGTAGGAGGAGTAGCGTTTTGAAAAATTGTTTACAGACAGACGGACAGACAGCTAGACAGACGGACGGACGACGACACCTTACTATCTCATAAGCTCTTCTGGTCTCTGACCAGTAGAGCTAAAAATCGAGTTTTTAGTGATAACCCAAAATTCACCATGGATCGAACATTGTTTACCATGCATCGGACAGACAGTATTTTAACCAGAAAAATATCATACCTTTGTCAAAGGGCTTTAAAATGCTTGATATGGATATATTTTTATCTTTTATCTAAGAAATAACCCTCAACTTAAATTCAATTGACGATATCGTTGCACAAATGTAGAACGATACAAGTCTGCCTTAGAACTGCTTTAAAATGCTTATAATGTGGTAATTCGCACCCTTTTTTCATGGTTTATCATACTCTGCTTTGTAGAAATAAATTGAGTCAAATTCCGGACGTCATACATTGATAACTTGTATTTTGACTGAAAATATAGAGTTTTTATTTTCCTTCTCCGCAAAAAACAGCTATCAGCTGGGTTCTGTATGAAAATGGTAGTACTTACCATTGCATCGGAAAGTGTTCGATTCATGGTTAATTTGTGTCCAATGTACGGAGAAATGAACATACTAGTGAAAACCAGCTCTATAAAGAATTATACGAACATTGAAGTGAAATTTCTTTAAAATTTATGTAAAATTACCAATCTCTGACTTTATTTACCAAAGTCTGACTAGTTCCGCTGAAGTCGAATTTTAAGAACGATAACTCTAAAAATCGCAAAATCATAAATTTCTGGTTATTCCCCTTTGATGATGTAAAATATGACGTAACTTCAAGGCCATTCTCGGGGTATTTTTATCACATGATAAAAACAATCGGTATCATTAAAAAATTTAAATCTTCAGCTTCTAGACAGAAACAAATAAATACAGGGGACTCTTAAGTTGAAAGAGAATTTATTGTCTCAAGTTGTCCGAAGCAAAGAACGTGTCCGATGCATGGTTAATTCACCCTGTAAGAATTTCATATTCATCAAAGCCATCCTCTTAATGCCCTTTTCAACATTGTTTAAACTCCCAGTACATCACTTTGTACGGTTACCTCACTTGTATACAGCTGATATCAACATCCCTCTAACTCTATTTTAAGAGCAAGAATAAACAGGTGCTAGTCTTAGTAGATATCTCTGTTTGGTTTTTTCTTGAACATGTTTGGTATAAATACAGTGAAATATCAGTATCTTGAAGTTGAGGGGACCTGGACACGACTTCGAGATATCCGGGGGTTCGAGATATCCGAAGTTATCTTCCAAAGTCGAATCAACGATACCCTGTTTTTTCGTATATCTTCATGCGTAACACTATCCTGTATTACAAAACATGCAGTCTTTATGGTAAAGTCTCAGGCATATTCGCAATAAATATTAAGAAAAACAATGCTGTTGTTTTCTTTGTCGTGTATAATTGTAAAACAATTTAATATACATGCCTTATTGCATATTCAGCGAATTTACATTTTCCAGGCCATGCTTACGTGGTCAAACGGGATGTATCATTAGCGTTATAGTTGATGAAGCTTCTCCGTAAGAAAAGAAAAAGACGAATTTTTTAAAAACATAATTTGATGAAATTTAGTGCAAAATGTTTTTAAAAATATAATCAGTATTCAAACTGTGTACTTGATATTAATGGCTTACATGTATTACATTACGAAGTACTACTAAGGAACACATAGTTTACGAAACTAACAATGCAAATGGCGGTCAAGGTTATCTATTTATACGCAGATAAACATGAATGTAATCAATCACTGTGCATTATGCACTGCATCTTAACTGTTTAAGTTTATTGTGAAATATATTTGTTTTATGAATTTAGGAATTTAATTATACAGAGCATATTATTAAATGCAATATCGGTCATTTAATTTCTGAGTTGCTATGAAGTGGTTTGTTTTATCGGTCGTAGACTACACCAAACACCCAATTAAGCTGTCAAACCAACTAACCTGTCACAGATGGGTGTTGCTAAAACGCGGAACGGAAAACGGAACGGAAAGCGGAACGGAACGGAAAACGGAATATATTATTTTGGATTAAATCACTCAAAATACACAAAATTTATCATAAACGATATATTTTGTACATATTCAATCCCCCACTATTAAATACAAGTTGAATTTATAATGCTCAGTCTCTTTTTTTACGAAAATCGCTAACATATAGCAGTCACCTAGAATCGAATTTGAAAAGGGGGTATAAACGAACTTGACAAGTATTTGACAAGCAAAAACACAAAAAGAAACAACTGTTTGATTCGGGAGGGGAGGGGTTAAGATCCAATACCAACATCTTTCAGTACTATTTTTTTCACTAACTTACTACATTATTTACATTCACAAAAAGTGTGAGGATGTCAACTTAAACGAACATTTCCGTGGTAAAAAGGTTATGACTGGGGGATCAAATATTTATTATCTAAATGAACCATGAAAGAGAAATAAAATGTAAAAAAAAAAAAAAAAAATTATTAAGATAATACGTTTAGGGCAAACCTTTACGGCAAGCTCGAAGAAACATCTCTTGTACACACTGGTTGTTAAAATTTTATTAAAAATAGAGACATTTTCTATATATTTAAATTCTGGAAAGACAAAGTTGGAAAACTGTCATGTCATTCAATGAAGTTAAATTTTGTTTGCGGTACATATGTGTATATGTTTGGGGGGGGGTGTATATGAATGACCCCGTAAAAAATGAGTTTGTTTTCCAACTCATCGGAAAGGTCTGAGAAGTTGTAATAGGTATGTCCCCCTTTTTGTGTCAAAAATATACATAAGGTTTAATAAATCAATTTTTAATGTGACTGTGGGCCCCTACATAGACCCGAAACTGCCACTCCCCCTTTCATGATTCGCGAATTCGACACTGCGCGTGCATAATCTGAATATCATAAATAGTTATTTTTGTCTTTACAGACATTGACATTGGAAACAAATTGAAAGAAGGGGGGGGGGGTCAGTAGAAATTTTCCAACATACAACAAATTTGACAAACCAAAAAAAGGGGATATGTCCTTTGCCCAAACACGAAAATCCTTTTTCGTGTGTGTGTGATTGATTGTATACTGTTTAACGTCCCTCTCCAGAATATTTCACTGAAATGGAGACGTCACCATTGCCGGTGAAGGGCTGCAAATTTAGGCCTATGCTAGGCACTTACGACCTTTGAGCGGTGTCACCTGCGGTGACACGGGGCCTCGGTTTATACGGTCTCATCCGAAGGACCGCCCCCATTTAGTCGCCTTTTACGACAAGCAAAGGGGTACTGAGGACCTATTCTAACCCGGATCCCCACAGGCTTCGTGTGTGTGTGTGTGTGGGGGGGGGGGGGGGGAATTTCTTTCAGTACCATTTTTTCCACGGAAGTTGTGTATGACTCATGGATATATAGTTTACAATAAATTTTTATCAGAAATGATTTTTACAACAAGAATATTGCTCTTTTATCTGATTTATATCGAATCTATGTTATGTGTTTGACAAAAATTTTCCGTTCCGTTCCGCTTTCCGTTCCGTTTTCCGTTCCGTGTTTTAGCAACACCCGTCACAGATACCCGACATCAACATGAGCTTGGGATTAATTAATAAGATTCCCCAAGTTTGAAGGTGTTCATTAATAGCCACTGGCGAGAGTGTGTGAATTCACGACGCCAGGTGTGTTCAGTAGACCGAAAAATTCACTGCACTTCGAGATAAGCCAGGTAAAAAAGGGCTTGGGACTTTGAATATACTTCGACATAAGCGGGGTATTCGAGATTACCGTGTTCGAGATATCAGGTGTTTTTCAAATCATATATATAGAGATAACGGCCGGGACCGGCGATCGACTTCGACATAAGCGGGGTATTCGAGATATCCCATGTTCGAGATACTGATATTTACCTGTATGTTTTTTTTTTATTTGAACATGTTGGGTAAATATGGCGAGACTAGGCTAACTCATCATTGCAGAATATAACTCTACGTCATACTACATCTGATCATTGTAAAAATCTTATATACAACCAGAAATCGAGTGTATTCATTTCGATCTATCATCTATACTTTGAACATATCACAGTATCAGATAAACAATCAACGTTATTACTAACTAGCACACTTTACACACCTTACAAATCCGACAGGTATTAATTTTAGACTGAGTGAACAAAAAATCTAAAATTGTGGGCCATTGAGATGACAATTAAGAATTTACATAGGTAATATTGTGTACTTCCACGTCCAGCATCGAGTTCAGAGATTCTCAAGATTTGGAATAAAATGACACGTATCTACGATAACACACAGTAGTTCGGTTTTGTAAGGAAAACAACTACAGCAGCTAAAAATGAATTTCTGCAAAATGTGTTTATAAGAAAACACAAACAAAAGTGAAATATGACAATTACTTAAAATTATTTCCAGACTCTCCTCTTCTTCAGCCATTTTCACTTTCAATCACGTGATAGCAAATCAACTTCCGGTGTCGTCTGCTTGTATAGTCCGTTCCCTTTTTTTTTTTCTCAGAAAATCAAACTAAACGGGACAAAGAATGGAGCTAGGCGAGGACAATCCCCCTCTCTGAAAAAAGACATTTCTCAATTCTAAAAGTTATATTTTTCAAAGTTATATGGTTTATATCATCCTTTACACATTTAATTCTGTATTTCATTGTTTTAATATTTTATTAATAATTTATTTTTCACTCATCATGCTCATGATTTTAAGATATGTGAAAACAAAATAGAAAAAGATTCACATATGATTCGAACTCTCTCCATAGCGCAGGGTTTGGTCCGTCAGTATGATTCAAATGAACAGGTTTGTTGAAGCGTATATTTTTTCCAGAAATTTTCGATTTTCATATAGAGTGGGTTCAGATTCCATTTTTGGACAAATGAAATAGGTTTTACATATACGTTTCCATCATTTAAGCGTTCACGAAGAATGGAGACTTGACCCATTTATACTTTGAAATAAAGATTATCAAATGATAAGTCGTTCAGTAAAATAAAATAATAAAACTTTTTGAAGATGACATTATTGAGAACAGGATTTTAGAAAAATAACTTTTCTGTAAATTTTGAAAATTGAGAAACATCTGTCTCTGAGCGGGGGCCTTATACGCCCTCTTTCTTTATGCCGCGTTGAACGTTTAAGGTTTAACGAGACACGTGAGCTCGCCAGGGAGAGGCGGGGAAAGTGTTAGAGAAAGCTTTTTGCATCCTCCAGGGCTTCCGAGGCAGTTTCTTGTGTATAAATATAGTAGATTCTGACCATAATATCCTAAACTGAGAACAAATAGTGTCAAAATTGCAATTGGTTTTATATATACAGTTTATACATGCTATATGCAATTTCAAAGAATTGTGGTCCCCCGTTTCGGTGTCTTAGTGTGTAAGATGCTTTTATATGTAGCAAGTTGGATAAAATGAATTTTCTAAAAATAGATCAACCTTCATGTCAAGGTCATGGATACAAACAACATAGTATATTTAGAAAGGTCTTGTCACAGTTAGGTAATATGCATGTGTAATATGAAAGTCCTATCTTTTCTCTTTCAAAAGGTATGATCAATTTTAAAGTTCATGTTATTTTTTTTTTAAACGTTGGCCAAACTTTTTGTGTTTGTCCCCTGCTTTCGCGAAAGAGAGGCATTAAATCTCATTCTTCTGTCCGTTTTTCAGACTGTCAATCTGTCCGTCTGTCACAAAAACTTTAACTTTGGTAGCATCAGAGATAAGGCTTTCATATCATATATGTGTATTGCTGTGACAATTTAAGACCTTTCTAAATACTATACACTATGATTTGTAATACCTCGTGACCCTAAAGTTTGACAGACTTCTCAAAAATTAATGTTATTTTTTCCTATAACTTTTGGTTGATAGGAGATACGGCTTTCATATTTGAATTGTGACAAGATACTAGTATTTCCAAGCATGTTATGATTTTTGGCCCCTTGAACTTCATGATTGACTTAATTTAAAAAATCAACTTTGGTTCTAACTAATGAATGACATATGATAGGACTAAGGGCGTTCATATTTGACACAATATGCCAAAAATAATACATCTCACCCACAAATACACCGAAAGCGGGGGACCACAATTCTTTGATTTTGCTTGTTTATCCTCAAAGCCAATCCGTTTTGTCCCCGCTTTCGCGATTTCAAGAGAGGAGACATCGAGTTTCATTCGTCTGTTAGTCTGTCACAAAAAACATTAACCTTGGTCTTAAGTTTTGAGTGAGAAGAGATGGGGCTTTCATGTTATACAAGTATATTACCTGTGACAAGGCCCTTCGAAATATATTGTGACATAGGACCCCGCGACCTTCACCTTCAGGTTTGAACTACTTTTCATGATTTAAAAATTTCTTAAAATTGGTCACAAGTTTTGAAAAGAGGAGATATACGGCCTTTTAATTAAACATGTACTTGACTGTGAAAAAACCTTTCTAAATAGGCTATATGATTTTTTACCTTGTGACCTAGAAGTTTGACCTAAAGTTCTTTTGATTGAGAAGAGACGAGACCTTTATATTACAAATGTGCGTTACCTGTGACAAGATCTTTCTGAGCATGCTATGATTTTTTAACCCTTTCCCTTCATGTCTGACCTAATTAAAAAAAAATGACAATGGTGATTAATTTTGAATGACATGATATGACGAACATATTTGACACAATACGTAATAAATAATGGCATCCTAACCATCAAGACACCAAAAGCAGCTAGGGGCAACATTCTTTGAATTTCATTGTTTTTTTCTTAATGCAGAATAAATTAATTGTAGTAGAATAGTGAGCTTGAATGCAAGAGTAACATAGGTCAATGTTAGACTTGTCGAAACCTGATCTTACATAAATTGATTTTTTTTGTTTTCTATTGATTATTGCTTCTTAACCTTTCAGAAGAACGTACCGGGAATTTTTTTTAAAGGGGGGGGGCACTTGTGTTTCGACTCAGCTTTCAGATGAAAAAAATAGACGATATTTAAAACCGATATTGTGGATCTAATTTATTTTTCCAGTAATGTGGATTTATCAACATGCCAATCGAGAATTAACTTTGTTTCATTAAATTCCGATTTCAATTTAAACTCATATAAGATAAGTTTTAAATTTTAATGTCGTAATTGTTATTCACACACTCTATAAAATGTACCCTTTGTGAACAAATGATGCTCCTATTTAAGCACCGTTATTTTCTTATGGAACTGCAAACTTTCAGTTCTGATTCTTTTTTCCTGATCATCAAAGAATGTACTCAGTTTTAAGAAGAGTTGCTAGCGCTAGATAAAGAGTTATTTGCTTTTCTTTGAGTTTTACTATCTTTAATGGAGACGTGCTTGGAGTCCCATGAACCTGCTTTGTCTCTGACTCCGTGAGTATTGGCGGTAAATTGCTCGCCACCTTCTCCTGCAGCATGCCATGGACTTTCTTTATCTTGCTTGGCTTCTTCTTGTATGGCTGTACCGGAAGTGTGGGTTTCTTGGTAACCTTATTGAACACTTCCAGAATTGCCGGTCCCTGTTCTTTCTTCCGGTTAAACCCCCTTAATCTGTCGCGTACGTTCGATCCAAATCGCCTCTCTTTCATTTCTCTCAGTGTGTCTGCAGAAAACATGTTGTCTATGTCGGTAAGGTTCACAAAGGACAAGGCATGGTACACTGCAACCTGTAATATTTTAAACAAAACGGCTTCATTACGAGATTATCATTTATAACTAGTAAGCAAAGGCATTGACATTGTAATGATTTTTACTGAACTCCAACAATAACTATTATTCCACCATCTTTTTTGAAAAAAAGATTGAAAAATTAACCTACTGATGAAGGTGTTTCAATTAATTTGGGATGAGGTTTTGGTAACTTGTGTCTAATTTTGCGCTTGTACGACTTTCCCAAAATATTACTAGTCTGCAGCCTGACTTCAGTTTTGGAATCTTCCTTTGGTTCCTCCTCTCGTGGGATGATTGGTTCGTATTGTGAAAGTAGCTTTTCCAGGCCTTCCTCTCTGATTCTCTGAATTGCAAGATTCCAACGGGGAAAGGTTCCGTTATTGAGGACACGAAACGTTCTGGCAGAAGCGACTCGCCGGATGTCTTTAGGGATACGAAAGCCTTCCGTGGATTGTTTCTTGGGTCTTTTATCAAGCGGACTCCAAATTTCACCAAATGTTCCAATGTACACACCACTCAAGGTCCAGACCCTCACTGAACAGTCTGAGCTCGCCGTCACGATGACTGATCTATCGTCTACATATTCTACACTGTTGATCGCTTTGGTATGTGCCCTGTAAATACAAATTTAATAAAAATAAAAAAAATTCTAGTTGAAAACTGAATTTCGGAAATTGTTGACAGTAAATTCGGTTGTTATCTTTGTGCTGCTTTTGTGCAACCTAATTTCAAACACTGCATGGTGACAGTTGGCATTTCGATTTTCTAAACTGGTATACTGTATACATTCTTTTGTTTAACCTCTGTCACAGTCAATACCTACCTGTAGGAGTTGACTAGCAATGGCCATTTTAAGGTTTTCTTGGGCTCTGTAATCATAGGTGGTGGACGTGTCCCAATGTTATGTGGCTTCATTCCTTTGGAGATAAAGTACTTGGGCATATCCTTTCCTCGCCATTCGAATCTAAGATATGTAAAGGTGTTCAACAGCCATTGCCACCGAGCAAGGCGCTCTTTACTAGTGTGTCTGTTAGAAACGCAGAATTCGGAGATGTCCCATGTTTTGATGTAGCCCAAAGTGTCTCCTGTGAAAAGGAAGTTGTTCTTTTCATCTGTAGCAAGTGCGTGCACACTTTCTCCAATATGATGCCCTGCATTAAACTGGCCCAACAAACCTCCTTCGTGATGCACAGACCAAAACCTGATCCAACCTTCTGCTCCACTCGTTACCAGCACGGCCGTATCTTTATTGTTGGCGTCTCTGGATTCCAAAAATATAATTTTTTCAATAGCTGCCTCGTATTTCTTACAAATGTCATCATACTCTTCGCGTTTTGTGTTCTCTGACTTCTTGACAGTTTCATAAGACGACAGCAAAGGATGTTCCACGGGAGACTCGGGAGATCTGGAAAACCTGGACTCAGGGCGTCCCGATGTAGACTCAGTTCTTATGATACCACCTCTTACTTTAGACAATAGTCCTAAACCAGTTCTAATTGTCTTGGTTGTTACAGCAGACTTCCAATCGGCTACGTCCAATGGCTGCATGGCTTCCGATTGCGGTGAATGGATTTCCTCGTTGACAGGTTCTTTGATCTCTTGTTTTTGTTCTTTTTTGTTCATATTTTCCATAATAGGAAGAATTCCCTTATTGACATTAAGGGTGCAGTAAACCTGACCAGTGTCTTTCGCCCATATTATCACATCTCCATCATACGACCCTGTTGCCACCAGATTTGGTTCCATAGAAGCAATACAAAGGATGTCGTCTTTGTGGCGATTCTTCCAGTTTTTGCGATAGTCCTCACTCGCCCCATCTATATAAATATGAACCAGTTGACACCAACCTGTCACATAAATTCTCTGTCTAGTACTGACTAGTCCCGTGATCTCTAATGCTTCAGGGGTTGTAAACTGTTGAAGACAGTTACCATTGTTGAAATTCCATATTTTCACGCTTCCGTCTCTTGCTCCAGTGATTAGTCGTCTGCCAGGTCCGTCAAACGTCATAGCCGTTATTTCTATGGGTATTTCGACGCCCCTTTCAACTCGCTTGTGGGCATTTACGAATTGAATAACTTTCTCTCCAGTATTCAAATCCCATACACTAACTACAGACTCACGACAGCAACTTACCACAAACTTGAACGTTTTGTTGTACATCGCTCCTTGAACTGCCTTCTCGTGAGACGTGATTTCAACACTTTTCTCGTCTTCCAAACTTCTCTCTAACATTGCTAGAGTGTTTGTAGCTAGTACTAACTTTTGTGTCACTGGATTGAAGCACATTGACGAGATGGGAAATGGACCCACTTTTATCACACGTCCGCTGAGCTGCTGAACACAGGTCTGGTCTTTCATATCAAACACACGCACGTTCCTTCCTTTGTCGATGCTCACTATCTGCCCTCTTGAAGAATTGATGACGATGTGTGTCACTGGCTTGCAGTGTCCTTTCAATACAACAACTGGTTTACTGTTGACGTATGGATTCCAGATCCTTATCAGATAGTCCATTCCGCCAGTTGCAATGATGTTATTTTCAGCACAATAGTCAAAGGTCAGTAATCCTTTATTGACTTTGAAGTAGGTGCTGAGTTTCTTCTTGTGGTTATAGTCTCCAATGTACATGGAAGTGTCATTTGACTGACAGCAGGAAGCAAACAGGTCTAGTTCTGGGATATACTTTATATTAGATACCCAGTTGTCGTGAATTTTTCCAATTTTGAATCCCTTGACTCCGAGATGAAATCCCCGCAATACTTCTGGTAAAGAGATTTTCTTATAGGCGGTCTGTTTCCCACCAACAGCTCCAAACAGACCCCCTTTCAATGCACACTCAAAGACTAGGACATAAACTGAGCCCGAGGTGTCTCCCCAGACCATCACTGATTTATTCAGGTCTTTTATATCCGCCCAGTAGTCCATACACGTGATACAGCTATCTATCCCTGTTATGTAGTATCGTTTTTTAAAGAGATTGGCCTGTATATCAAAAACCGAAATATCCCTATCCGTAGACGTTGCAGCTAACATACTGACGTTATATGCACACACAAAGTCAGTAAGCCAAGGTTGTGTGCTTCTATCAACATGAGGGTGAGTCATGTAACTCTTGATTTGCTTCATCTTTGGAGTCCAAAAGGTGACTATTCCTTCCCTGCTTAGCGATACATACCGAGCCGTATAATAATCGAGCGAACATTGGTTAGTGCTTGCTTTTTTGTGAACAGTTGGATAAATTGCCACTCTAACTATGGTCTCCCTATGTCGAGTGTTGATGTCCTTCGTTTCTGGGGGAAATGGTCTGTCGCGCAATCTCTCAATCATAAGAGTTCTCTCTTGATATTCTAATAGATAGTACGTAACATACTCTTCCCAATCTACACGACCGTCACAGTTTGCATCAACTTTCATGAAAAGCAATTCGATCTGATTATTTGTCATCATATAACCCACCGTCTTTTTCAGTGCTATTTTGAATTCATCTATATCGAGACCACCTCTTCCATCTTCCTCTGCAACTTGGAATATTGCCTGTAGCATGGCATACCTTTCGTCGGCAGCCTCTTTTTCTGGATTAAACTCCTGCTGAGCCTTTTCACTTCGACATCTGGAAACCGCTCTTGTGTTGCTGGTGATCTGCGATCTGTCTCCAAATGAAGACGTATTTCTGTAGTCATCATTTGAGTCAGGACCCAATTGATATTTGGAACCATTCTCTCTGAGAGAAGGCCGATGCGTAGCTGTTTCCATTATTTTATCCTACATATATCGTCATTATAATAAGTCATGTAGTAATTTTTCATATTGAAATTGCCGTGTTGACAACATAACGTCGATGACGTCACAAACGGATATTATGGCGTTTTCTAACGTCAAATGTAACGTGACATTAGATCTACAAAGTCAGTACAGAAGATAATGTAACTTTACTAATCTATAGTTATATTTTTGGATGAATTTTAGAAATATTAGTCCTATATGGAGAGGATCAGAAATCTTACCAGGGCCTATATCAAAATTTCATTTTTTTTAATGCATTGTACCATTTAAACATTTTGTAAATACCAATGTTGGGTGCAATTTTTTATCCTAATGAAGAATAATGAAAGAAACAGTCACGAAAATTAAATAGAAACGGCGATCCATCACCACATACTTTTAATGCAAGTCTTGAAACAAACTATAATTAACAAGGACATAAGGGGCCATAATTACACAAAATTAACATGATGTGTGTGGCCTTCTTAGAAACGCCATAACATTGTGGTGAGCGATCAAAATAAAACGAGGGAACGATGATCATAATGTTGAACTGTATGTATAACATTTGTAATTATAAACAAGAACAAAAGATGTAATATTTATCCATTGATAATTTACTGCATATTGCGCTGAAGCATTGCACGAAAGATATTCTTATGTGACACAATTTTATGCTTGCTACTTGCAGTTTGAATTTCCTCTGTCGCTGCATATTTTTACGTGCCTTGTTATTTGCTTTCTACTCATAATAGTTCACAATATAAATTAAACGAATTAGATCACTTTACACGATAGAAATGAGTGGTTTATTATTTTTCATATTGGATGTTATTATTTTTATAGAATATATTTCTCTGTAGTATGGATAAAACTTGAGGTAATGAAATCAAAATTTTGACTTAACTCTGTTCTCACATTATTAACAAAATACGAGCTTGAAGTGGGGTGCCTGAAATTGAGTTAGGTACCTTATCGAAAAATAAGTAGGGGTGCCCCATATATGAAATAAGTGCCTATGGTAGATTACCTGTGTAGTTTCATTGAATCTAGCCCAAACCTCTGTACATAGAGTCCATTCCATACATAATGAAAGAAATATAAAATAAATTCTGCCCACCAATTTCATCTAAACCAAAAAGAATTGGATGATAATATTGAATTTTTTTATTATGGCACCAGCAGTTTCTGATTCTCTTAAAAAAATTCTTGGCATGCCATCAAAAGTAAGGATGTATTAAAAATACAGCATTTGATCTTGAATCTTACTTTATGCTCAATTGCATCATTGACAGAAATAAAGAATGAAATTATTTATTTTGTAATGAAGAATAAGAAAAATAATTCAGACCAAAAAAATAATCAGTAGAGAATCCATACTGGAAAACAGTTACATGACATGTCAGTTTATTAACAATTTTTAATTAATGTACTTGGTCCATACAATGTATGTTACAAGATAATGACACTTTTAATTGTTTTACAGATTATCATGATGCCCAGTAAATAGATTATGAGTGATGATGAATTTCTTAGAAGAAAAATCAGCATTTCCTCGGACAGAGAACTAGACAATCTACATTTAATTCCGAGCCTTGAGAGCTCTCATACCAGCAGACACATGGATTTCCAGAATCAAAGACCTGGCCTCTCAGATCCACCACACCGAAGCTTCCATAGGTCTCAGGATGATTCCATGGGAAGCACCCGCAGGACTTGGACTGAAGAAAGTGAGTACCGTAGAAACCCAGAGGAGTCAGATGAGGTACTGACGCCAGTAAAAAAGTTAAGGTACAAAGATTCAGCAGAACTGATGGAGATGGGTAGCGAGAAACCCCCGAGGGGCCCGGCACGGGAGTACAGTGACCTACATTTGGAGAGTAATTTGAGGACTCCTAGGTATGGAACACATACAAGTTACAGTGACATGATGGACAGTGTTCATGAACAGGACCCATTCCACGGGGACTATAAACCCTCAGGGAAAACCAAAAAGTCAAAGAGCAAAAAACACAAGAAGGATAAGGATAAATCTCAAGAGGAGGATCTAAGTCTCTCTGTGAAAGACCCACTGTCAAAATCCTCCAGAAAACAATCAAAGAAAGGAAGGAAGTCCGAGGTCACTGACAGTACAGGTACCTACACCATTCAGGGAATAACAAACAAATCCTTCAGGGACTCGGGGCCTGTTGCAGATACAAGTTCAGTGAAAAGTAATGGAACATACACACTGAAACAGGAGGATAATGTTGATGGATTGAGGCTGTCTAAGAAAGGTTCAGTTGGATTTTCCAGAAAGAGAAGAACTAGACGATCAACGGTCAAACTGGGGGCATCCAGACTTAATCAGGTACTGTAACATCTAATACATGTAATATGTCATAGATCTCTGTACTTTCTCTGTTACAATATTTGTTTGAAAATGAACCATTGATCTTGCTTTATTTCTTCTGTACAATTATAGAGGTCATTCAGGGAGTTTGTTATGAGGAACAGAATAATGATCAGAGTTCCATTACCAGTAGATGAATTGGAGTAAGTACAGACTTTTTATGTTTATTAAAGGATTTCTTGAATCATGTTTGTGTAAGATTACAGGTTAATTAAACACTTTAGATGTGACATTGTGCGTACTCTACAGCTGAAGGAAAAAAATATATATTGTTTTCTGGTTCTAAATGTTTACTTTATATTTTATAGAACTACTTTACGAAAACAACATACTCATCTTCATAAGCCAACAAAACAGGTTTGGCATATTCAAACCCACACCAAACCAGAGCCTACAGATTCATTTGGATATATTAATTTCCAAGGATATGGAAACGAGATTGAAGCATCTCCCGTAAGCGAAAACATTGTTTTGGCATTTATCACAATATGTCAGTGTTATTAAAAGGTGTAAATTAAATAAAACATAATGGTACACTTATCAATGTTTACTTTCTGTCTGTCTTAATTCAGAGTTCCTGTACCTTCTATAGTACTTTACGCTAAGTCAGAACTGTACAGATGATTTCAGTCTAATGGTGGTCTATTATTAGTTGGAATATTCAGGATAACTAGACTTTATCAATATTTGCATTAGTAATTTATGTTTACCTTTGAAGATAAACATTATCAAAAGGGTATATATGATAAAGATTAAATTAAAATTCAATACATTTTCTGTGCTGAAATTTAAATATCTGAACTATGTTAAATGGCAATCTTTGGCATTTAAGTCATTTAATTTGTGCATGTTAGTTCAGAAGTTAAAGCTTGAGAAAGTTTACTCATGTACTACATGTAGTTGATAGATTATATTATTTTGTTTCTTCTTTACATCACATCAAGGCTGTCATAAATTGAAATCTCCTAATTCAAGTAAAATATTTGTAGCTTTATATTTACATCAATAAAAACAATTCTTTTCCTATGAATATCTTACGCAAATTGGAAACATCTTTTTCCATTAAAAAAGGGGAAATTATATAATGGAAAAATAGCTTTTATTACTGACAAAGTAAAGGATTTATAGGCATAACTGTAATCAAAGGCTTTGTCTATCATCTATTATTCTAAAGATTTTTCTAATTACATGTAATATGTAATTTTTTAAAAAAAAATATATATATATATTATCATAGATATATTTCACATAATCAAACCTATGTTTTGATAAATCATATCAACCATACCTATTGATTGAGTAAAACTATTTCTGAATATACTCCAAAAAATGAAATTATTTATAAATATTTATGAAGTTTATGGCTGAAGTATTATGCAGAATTTAATACCTCTATAAAAATTATTTTTTTAAATTTCAATTGTAGTACCTTCGCTGTGAACCCGACACTAAACCCGAAATTATCTGGGATATGATGATTAACCAGTGGCACCTGGAGCCACCACAGCTGATTATCTCTGTCACAGGTGGTGCCCAGCGATTCGACCTGAAGCGCAGAATGCAAGAGACTTTCAAACGAGGTCTGATGAATGCAGCAACATCAACTTGTAAGTCATCGCTAGTCATAAATTGCCGATGTTGAAAAAATTGTCAACTCAAATACATTACCAGGTATATACAAAAAAAAGCTTGTTCAAATTAGAAAAAAAACACTTTTCTTTTTTAGGTGCTTGGATCGTGACAGGTGGTACTAGAACAGGGGTGATGGAGTTTGTGGGTGATGCAGTCAAAGATCACATCATCACCACCGGGCGTAAAAATGATGTAGTAGTCCTGGGGATAGCTACGTGGGGTTGTGTCGCCAACAGGCAAGCCTTAGATGGAGAGGAGGTAGGAGTTAATGGTGGAGCCTGAAGCCCACAATTTATTATTTGATATATATGTGAAATATTCTGTACACATTTCTTTTCATGGATAATGCAAAAAATAAAATTATTATTTAATTTCTTTTTGATATACAAGTCAGAATATCAATGTTAAATAGTTTAAAGACCCTACAGTGGATAAGGTAAGGTTGTGATGGCAAAATGACCAAACCAATTTTTAATACGTATGTGGAAACATTTCTGTGTTGAACACATTGAACTTATTATAGTAAAGAATTTGCTTAATTATAGTAATACTAATGGAAAAGAGCAGCTAGTTTAATTGTTTATTTTTTAAGTTAATAAAAGGGTTGGAAAGAAAGCACTTGTTTTTGCAGAAAAAAGTTTTGAATTGGCCAAAAGTTTAAGAAATGAGAAGTTTTCATTTCTTTTGGGATATGGTGTTAAGATTTTCAATACAGCCTTCTTAATACATGTATCAACCCACAAAAACTATGATAGAGCATTTCAGAAAAGTGTTCTCTTCATAATATTTAAACATACTATTACAAATGAAAATTAGACCTTGTTTTACTCTGGGTTATGTTCATCAAAAAGGATCCCATAAAAGTGTTTTTTATCTCCTTTTATTTCAAATAGAAAGTTTTGCTTTTGATAGATGTACGAGGGTTGATCCAAAAGTAACGTCACAATGTCCATATCTTTCATATTTGGCATCATATGATACAATATACCAAAAGATGCACAAATACAAATGTAATTAACATTGAAATTTTCATTTAAAGATGTTTATTTGAATTTATTTTATAGATTTTTAAAATTTAGAGCATGGGGGTGTCGCCGCGTCAAAACTGAACATCACATTTTAAAATGTCCTTTTTCTTAGAAAGAAAAAGACAGACACTAAAAAGATTCTAAAAAAGCACCTAATCTCCTATTTTTTTAAAAGACACAATTCATGTCATTTTCTAGTCTTTAATTGGAAATTTAATAATGGCATTGGTATTTGTGATCATAAACATTGTCGTTCTACTCTGTTGCATTCAACAAAGGAATTGTCGAAATGAGAAAAAAACAGCTTGATGAGTTGTAATGCATTTTTGCTTCAAAATATGGGAATCATCACTAGCGACAGTTACATTGATTAATCAGACTCACAGAATAAAGAATGTAAATAAAAGAGACTTCTTTATAGATAGTTTCAGCAATTTTGGGCGGGTGATGGGTCATTGAATGACCAGCAGATGACAAGGAGACTGAAAAATGAAAAAAAAAGTTGTGACATTACTTTTGGATCAACCCTCATAGTTTTCTTTTTGGTTATGGATGGATATTAATGAATTTTAAAGCATACATTGTTTAAAAAAAGTTTGGCTGTTGGAGATTATGTGTTGATTTTGAAATTAAACCCCATAATTTTACTAAAGATAACAAATTTTGTGTGCATATAATTAACAAATTCTGAATAATCTTTTGATGAAATCTATTTAAAAAGTCTTGTTTTGATATCTATTATAAATAATATTAGATATATATAAATGAAACTTATATATAGACATACAAAATTCTATGAGTTGGGAGGTATCACAAGACTTGCAAGAGTAGCATATCCCATTATTATATGATTTCCTAAATTCAGAAAATAATCTCTGTATTAAGTATAAATAAATTTGCAATTCCTACTTTAAATTTAAGTACAATGAAAAAAACTCTTTAATAGGGACTAAAGACTGGCCTTTTCCCAGCTGTATACTCTAAAACAGATGTTATGGAAGCCCGATTGATGAATCCAAAGAACATTCCTTTAGACGAGAATCACTCCCACTTCCTCCTTATAGACGATGGATCGGAGAATAAATTCGGGGCAGAGATTGACTTCAGAACCAGACTGGAGAAGTACATCTCTGAGCAGCATGTGGACCCATATGACAAAGAATCTTGTAAGCGTTGATTGTTAGAACTCTTGCTCAGAATACAGGATTTAGAAAACAAAATTGACTTTAAACCATGTTTATTTTAACAAAAAAAAGTGGTTTTAGTTCCATCTTACTTGAGCACCATTGAAATGTTAACCAAACCTCATAAAAAGTAGTTATTCTTTATGAAGTCCATTACCATACCTTATCTTTAAAAAAAATAATCATAGAACATTTTCTAAATACATGTTTATTTTTAAATTGATACTGGTTACCTATTAAGAGATATGTCTGTTGAAGTATTTTAAGAAAATCATCAATAAACAAAAGTATTTTTGTATTTCAGCTCTAACCATCCCAGTTATTTCTATAATTGTTGAGGGAGGGATAAACTCAATGAAGACGGTGTGGCAGGCTGTAACTAGAGGGATCCCTGTCCTTGTCCTACAGTCATCAGGGAGGGCCGCCGATTATATAGCACACGGCTATAACATAACAGCCAGCAAGCTCAGGTTAATCATAGTGATTATATAGCACACAGTTATAATATAACAGCCAGCAAGCTCAGGTGAATCATAGCAATTATATAGCACACGGTTATAACATAACAGCCAGCAAGCTCAGGTGAATCATAGCGATTATATAGCACACGGTTATAACATAACAGCCAGCAAGCTCAGGTTAATCATTGCAATTATATAGCACACAGTTATAATATAACAGCCAGCAAGCTCAGGTTAATCATAGCGGTTATATAGCACACGGCAATAACATAACAGTTAGCAAGCTCAGGCTAATCATAGTGATTATATAGCACACGACTATAATATAACAGCCAGCAAGCTCAGGTTAATCATAGTGATTATATAGCACACAGCTGTGATAATATAACAGCCAATAAGCTTAAGTTAATCATCATAGCCAAAATTACTGCTAGATGGCTTCAGAGTTTAGCATTTAATCCTACAACATTTAACACTGCTATAAGATTTTAGCCAACAAATGCATTTCAGATTGAAAATAGATAATTTAATTGCTTTTTTGGCATGAGATAATGGTTGAAAGCAAATGGCTGAAATATCAAAGCAATGAAAAACTTTGGTTATAGCTAGTGTGGGTCACCCTTATCCACAAATCTATAGATCCCCATGAACAATTATTTTGTCCTTATATTTATTCAGGGAATCTTCTGAATACTGTAGATTCCTAAATATACGAGGGTTGATCCAAAAGTTCGTGGAATTTCTTCAGATTTTATTTATTTTTCAGTGGAATTGGTTGAAAATTACAAATGAAAATATAGACACTTGATGAATATTTTAAATTAAAAAACATTTTAAATATCTTTGATTGTAACTTTATGGCAGTTGCCATAGAAACGGTTGTTTGGAAATGCGGGGGAGACATCAACGCGTTTATTATCATTTAAATTCTTAATTCATGAAATACGAATTAAACCGCCCTATGTGATATATAAAAGGAAAATTGTTTCATTATTACGATTGCTTGATCTTTTATAAACCTTTGTGTGAGAGTTTTACTGATTTTACTGGATATTTAGTTTATAAGTTGATGATATATTGCTCATCACGTCAAGTCACACGTTTTGTGAAAATCCCGGGATCACTCGATCTTAAACGCGTATATTATTGACGTAGGCTTGGGAAAAATGCATTTAAATACTGGTTTTCCAGTGGCATAAGAAATTTAAGTAAAATAGAACTTCCATGGACGTTGATAAAAGGTGTGGTCGCTTTTTAGAGGCTCTGTTTAAGTACGTATCCCCCCCAGACAAATTAAAAGCGTCAATGGACGTTGTCGGCTGCCGTTCTGATCTTGACATTGCTACTGAAATTGGAACATCATATGGAAAAATGAGTAGTGTTTTGAAATATGAGTGAAAAATGAAGATAAGTTGGTGGGAGAGGATACCCAGGTTTTTCTTGAGAAAAAAAATGGAGAAAAAGACAGCATTTTGTAGAATTACGTATTATAATTGGACATTTGGGGGATGCTTTTATAACGTGACGTGACATATCTAACGACGTTATGTCGAAGTCTCCCCCGCGTTTCCCAACTATCCATTTTCAGAAAGCTCGTGTGACCTTATTGGTGATTGGAAAGTGGTGAAATTTTCCAAAATTGTTGCATTATGACTCTATATTATGAATATGCCTGTTGATTGATTTCATCAAATCACGATAAAATTTTAGAAAGAAATTCCACGAACTTTTGGATAAACCCTCGTACACTTAGAATTAACACTGAAAAGTATTCTGGTCCATCGGCCTTCTGATTACAAAGTATGTATAATTTTTTTCCCCCATTTTACCATTAGTGAAGAGAAAAGCTACTTTCCCAAAGATTTTGATGAAGAAATGGAGAACCTAGCAAACATAATATTTGAATGGAAAGAGAAAGACATGCCAAGAAAACCTGCTTTGATAGCTAACTGTTTAAAACAGCTGAGAGAAGCTCTGGAGAACAGGGAAATGGTGAGTGAAAGGAAGTGCTGATAAATCTGTTCTGATGTGTTTTATTTTCATCAAACTTTTATTGAATTATGTAGATTTCTATGCCCTGTTCACACGAAGAGTTTAATTCGCAAAAAATTAATGCGATGTAAACTAATGCGAATCAAAATAATGCGAATTGAATTGTGTTCACACGACAGCTAATACGAAGTAAACTAATGCGAATTAAAATTCTACTTCTACAGCCAGACTATTATGACGTCATTTGCAAATCACGTCACCTTAGGCAGGAGCAGATACATTTGACATAATGTTACAGTGTCTGTACACACATTTTAGTGATTAACACAATTTTCCTTAGTTTTTCACTCAAAGATAGCACAAATACTTCAAGCTGACCCCGGACATGTGGCATTTGACCTAATTTTGCCATTACGCGTGCCTCAAAATTTAATTTGAATTATCTTCGCTTAGCGTTCACACGGAGCTAATGCGAAGTAATTTGATGCGCAGTAAACTAATTCGAATTAAACAAATTCGCATTAAATTCTCCGTGTGAACGCTAAGCGAAGCTAATTCACAGTAACTTTACTTTTAATTCTAATTAAACACTCCGTGTGAACAGGCCACTAGTGAAAAAAAAAACCAAGACCAAATAAATGATGAACACAGTATCAAATATATACCATTTACTGTAACTTTCCTTAGTTCTGAAACCTTGAAATACAGCATGTTTTATATACTGTAAATCACCATTTATTTATGAGAACTTTATTTTTGCACAATTACGTTAGACGTTGTGCTCATGAAAATTTCATTCTCAGTATATTTGAATTCCTAAAGATTAAAAGGAGTAATAATCATAATTCACGAATATTTTGTCGTGCTAATATTCAAAGAGTCAATGACTATCTCGAGAAAATAAGGTGTGACAAAAATTTTGTGATCTTACAGTACAGTAATTTCTGCAAATGTCTCTCTCTCTAAATTTACTGATTGATTGACTGATACATTGAAATATCTCTTCAGTTGACTGTCTTTGATCTGAATGACTATGAAACAAAAGATTTTGACCGAGCCATCTTGTATGCCCTGTTGAAAGGTGAGTGAATGAAAGTCTGTTTATACGTAAACATATGTACACATGTACTGCTTACACAAAAAAGATTTCAATGTCATAAAAACTTAATTATTTATAATGTTGTAAAGTTCCGAAATAAACTTTTTGTAGCAAACAGATCCAACACCAATGCCCAGCTTAGTTTGGCTTTGGCCTGGAATCGATCAGACATAGCTAAAAATGAGATCTTCACGGCTTCTAACAAGACAAATTACCAGGTAAAGATATTTTATCTGTAATTAAATATGTTTAAAAGAAACTGAAGAAAAATGAGATATTCAGCCTTTACAGGATTTGATCACGTGAACGACCCACTTCAATTCCCATTGAAGTTTATAAAACTTATTTATTTCTTAATTGTAATTTACCAGTATGTCAAATGTTCGAAGAAAAGGAAAGATATAAATTTAAATGAGAGAAACCATCCCTCCATTTACTAATTCACATGTAAAATAAAAACTGTATATGAAAGTGACAATACTGTCAGCCAATATTGACTCAGTTAGAAACAGAAGTTTTGGGTTATTTATGTAAACTCAATTTGATTCTGTGTACATTTTACTAGCCAACAGTGTTGCTGTGAAGTTTTGATTATTAATGCCTACCTTATCTATTTAAGACCTGTATTTGTAACAAGCCATATCTATATAAAACTTTGTAGTTAATATGTTATTTAGATTGAAAAACAATAATTATTCTGTATTTCAGAAGGTATTTCAGAGTTGGTATAATTTTTTTTTTAGTAACATTCACTTTTTCATGGTTTGAATTGAACACGTAAAACAATTCCAGCATTTAAGAAATATTAAGGAAACACATCTCATTTCCTCAGTTTTAAGAAATAACTGCTTGAAGTTTGAGATGATGTGATCCCAATAAAACCCATCCACAGTAACATCAACTTTGTTATTTAACAGAAAAAATCACAAAATTCATGATTTTCTGCAGTGATTATGAATTAGTCACTCAGATTCAATATTTTTTACCATAATATTTTGAACCTTGGGTTCAATATTTTAAAGGGGGGTTCAATATCAGGGGTATTTCATCAGTGATATTTTGAATCCGGTTCAAAATATTGTGGGGTTAAATATATTATATGACACCTCTAGTACTATTATTCTTATAAAAATAACACTGGCAGGTATGTATAATTTCAGAGTAAGTCATCAAAAATGTACAAAGTGAGTCCCTACACTAGCATATTACATGTATTGTCATGTTGTACATAGTCTGACTGTGTACTATAAACCAACTTTAATTCAAAACATCATTTATTTGTGTTTCTTCATTTTGGAATCCATCCGATACTACTACTTCTTGAAACTGAGGCAACAAGAAATATAATGTATTCATGAGTTAAAAAGAATCTTGAAGCGTGCAAATATTGCTTGCTTGAGAATAAAAGTTGGTTTACAGTATTTTATAGACTCATTGCAAACCTTTAGTCCTTATTCCTCATTATTGTATCTCAGTTATAAGATTAAGTGTTTGTAAGATCTGTATTTTCAAGAGGTAGCAGTGACATTCCTCCCAAATAACTGTTAGATGGCTTCTAGTACATGTATTCATGACAAAATCAGAGTAAACTTACTAAAAAAAATTAACACAGTCAACATTCAAGTTTGTTTATATAAATGTCCGTCGGCTAGGTTACCTGGCACAACTTTACAAAATACTGTTAAAACTGAAATTTTAGGGAGGGTTTAATTTTGGCATTTTAAGAAAGGCTTTTGAATATCACTACCATTTTATTGTGTAGGGGTTGTTATAGCCATTTCTCTTAAGGGGGCCGACTATAGTTTCCATTGCGCAATATTTCGCGCATCACAGTAAAATGAAGCGTATTTACTGTTTGAATTCACTTTTTTCCCTTAATTATTAAAATTAAACAAAATTAAGAAATTATAGATATAAAAATGTAATTACAATTTGATATAACTGATTTTTTTAACCGATTTTGCAATTGATAGGTAGGTTGACGTCGTTGCAGTGTGTTTTTGACGTTATGATAATCTGTAGCTCTTAAAGAAAGGAGTAATAAAGATATTATTAAAGAAAAAGTAATAAACTTTCGCTATAGAAATTTGAGAATATCTCCAATATTTTTATTATGTTTTCATGTGAATCCATTGTGTACGTTATATATTGTAATACTCTATAAAAATAGTAAAATTTGCTAATTTTTTGCATTTTGAGATGCCCCCTCTGGTAACAAGACGATAGAATTGTGTGTTTCTTTCATATATTGTATAATATTGTATTACTCATCAAATATTATAGTTTGAACAAAATGTCTATTGTAGTATTTGTATAATTTGCTTTAAAACATTTTTGTTATGTAATCCTTTGTGTTTTTAGTACATTATATGGCATAATAGATTAGGATATTTAAAATCTGTACATTAAGTCACCTGTAACCGTACATTAAGTTGACAAAACTCTCAATTCTTAACTTAATCGACAGCGTTTTGTCAACTTAATGTACAATTAAAGGTAACTTAATGTACAGGTTTTAAATGTTGAAAACAATACATAATTAAGTAGGCAATTAAATTTTTAATTTAATGCACAATCATGCATAAATATCAAACAATTGTACGTGAAATGTTCAACAGTATATCATCTTTGGAAATGACAAATCCAATGCAAAGAAGACACGTGTAAATCCTGATGCTTAGTAACTCTAGAACATCCACATCCAGAAGTTTCTTTATTAAAAAACAAACGTCTCATCCTCTTCACAAAAAATGAATGCTGGACGTGGTAGATCCATTCCATGAATGTTTAGAATATATCCAACAGCAATTTAAATTTAAAAGATAAAGGCTTATTTCCAGATGAAATGATAATCTCACTAGATGCACTGCAGGTGGAATCATTTTTGGGACAGAGATCACAAATTTCATCTTTTCATACACTTGCTATCATCAGAATCCCTCTTATTTCCATGAATTATTCCAATTACTCTCTGCTGCTATTTATTGTTGGTTCAATTGTAGGATCAAACTGTAATACATTTGTGGCCCATTTTTTCTGCTATAAACTGTTTCCTCAAACTTCATACAAGGGGGTCGCCGTAGTTGTTCTCAAAGAATGTTTCGTATCACAGTGTCCCTTAAATCCTGATTGTTGAAAAAGATTTGCAATAGCTTTTGTCAAAACTTGAACACCAACTTCAGAATCTGCAAAACTACAAGCTTCTGCTTGTGTCAACCTACTGTAGAGTATTTACCACTCTTTGGCCCGTATTTTGGAGAAATATGTATTTTTTTTCTCCATCCGATGAGGACATCTTCACTCATGAAGCTTTACATGGGAAGTGGTCAGAAATCAAGTGAGCTAACATCTAAATCTAAATTTACCTGGCACTGTCCATTAAGTTAAACAATACAGCTATTGTTTTCATCCCTCACTCTCTGGACAATCAAGTGTGTTACGTAATCATAGGAAATACATAACCATCACCTGGGACAGTTTATTAAGTTAACAATAGAGAAAATGTTTTAAGTAGGATAAAGTCCTCAAACTGTCCATTCTGTGAGAGAAAAAATAAACAGTTCTTTCTCTCACAGAATAGTTTTCGGACTTTCTCCTTTACTTAAAGTGCTAAAATTGACATTTTCCTATATAATCCTATAGTGAATGTACCTGTATTTTGAGACGGTCCCTCAAAAATACCTGGACGGTAGATTTCCCCCAAACTTTGCATATACACTGAAGTTAATGTAAGTTATATATGGTATAAAAATGAAGAGTTTCGCTATTGTAGTTTTCACACAATAAAACTATAGTCGGCCCCCTTAACATTATAAAACTGCTAAAATTGCTTCTTGCTAAAATATTACATGCAGACTTTTCTAAAAATTATTCAGTAAACTTGCATCTCACAAAAACTCCACTTATATAGTATATATTTTTTCTAAAAAATGCTGTTGCTCAATTAATTAAAATTTATAAAGGAGCAATACATAAATTGTATTAAAGCAATGATGAAATATATTAGTCTAAGACAGCAATGTTGAGAACGTTTCTTTGTCTGATTAGGATGACATTAATCTTTCCTATTAGTTATTGAATGTTACTCAGATGAGCAGTGTAGACTATGGACCCCTTGTTTGTCTATTATGGTTTTAGATTATGCAATATTGCACCAAATCCATTATAAGATTTATATGATTTCTTTGAACATGTAGGATTTCAAATGCCCCATAAACAAAGGTTTGAAATCATAATTATAGTGTTAAAGTTCTCTTAATTCCTTTAGTAATTGACTACAATTGAAATGAGTTTTAAAGAAATAATTTAACAAATTTTAGATTAATTTTAGTCTTGGATATTACTGTAATTTTTAAAAGTATTTTAAATTAAGTTTTGATGGTCTGCAATATACAAATATTGTCATGCATTTTTGTACTTTTTATGTACTTCAGATATACTAGAACATACAATTTTTTCTTCTTTTTTTTTTGCTAGATAAATGTTACTTTTGCCAGCTTATGATGTTGGTGTGCTTATAAGACATTTTTGTATTCTTTAACTCCAAGAATTTGCATGTTTATTGTACATACTGACAACTTGTATCTTTAGTCAAACGTTATCCTGTTTTTTTTGTTTTTGTTTTAGATATAAAATCAAAATCATATTGACAAAACCCTTTAAAATACTTTTATTTTAAAAATTGCTCCCTTACAAAATGGCTGTCTTTACAGGAGCTGAAGTTAGATGATGCCATGATGACAGCCCTTATACAGGACCGACTAGAATTTGTCAAACTCTTCCTAGAAAACGGAATTGATCTGACTCAATTCCTCGACATCAGAAATCTGTGGAACCTCTACTCTAATGTAAGACTTCATTTATCTATCTGTTTGTCTGTTTAAATCCATCCATGGTAAAACTTTTTTACCATTATATAGATATTTTAAGTCATTGCAAGTACTTAAGACTTTGGTTCTTCTCAATGATCAGATTTGCTATGTGCTTTGATTTTTAGTGTTTCAATGACAAAACAGATGGAGCTGCACAATTGTTGATGAACAGAATAAACTATCTTAGGGTAAGTCTAACTCCTGTAATGTCTATAAGTATACGACTAGTTACTAATATCTGTAAAGCCAAACAGTATGTTGAAAAGTAAGAAATGTTATAGGTTATTTTATCCACTTGTCTAGGATGAATCTAACAATACTATCCATTACTGACCCACTTGTATTACTCACTAGGAGCTGATGATTGGTGAATTTAAAAAAGAATTCTAACTTGCTTCCAGAAGAACTTTTAACCAGATTTATTTATTACTTTCATTTTGAGATACCAAATTTTATATTAGGCAGTCTGTTTTATACCTCAATAAAAAGTTTGTTGGGTGAGGGGAAGGGGTCAGATGAAAATGAATAACCCAGGCCTATTTTTTACTAGTCTGCCATTCTTGTCTCAATGCAGCTGTATGCATACTTTAGTCCTCAAGAAGAAAAAAAAGATGCTGCTTATATTTGCCACCAACATTGGTTTTAGGAGAATTGAAGATAATGTGGATATACTAGTATGCTAATGAATCAAGTTTGTGATTCATGGCCAAGTTGCTTACCTGTAGAATGTAGACAGTTAACATATTGTTACGTTTCACGAAGTGTACCTGTGAAATTCGGGTTAACTCTTGTTTACAAGCTTGGAATATATGGAACTTGAACCCGATGTTTATAAACTCCGTAAATAATTGTCAATGAACAGTTAACGTAAGAAATGAACAATAATTGATTTAATGACTTTATTAATTTAACATGTATGATTTAATGACAAAGTGGTGTATTTTGTATGTTTTATATGGGTACAACGTTATTAATTTAGTAGGTAATTTTGTTGGTCAAAACCCGCTAACTTATTGATTGTATTGATTGTGACGTAATTTAGGTATCTGATTGTCTCTTACGTCATCATAACAACTTTTGTCTATATAAACCAGCTGTTTTGGGTTTAGACTTCAGAGCGACTCGGAGCACACAGCCTTCCCTGGTTTGGGAACGACTCCGTATACTTCGGTTATAAGACGGTACCAAGTCTATGTATACGAAACCATTAAGGGGACCAAGTTAGTAGGAACGTCCTGTATTGACCATCGGTTGGTCACCTTTTTGTTAACCAAATAACGTTGTACCAACCAAGTTACAGTGTACCATTTTGTGTGTTTATAAGTGGACCATTTGATCGTCTTAATAAATGTTATAAACTTTTAACAAGTGTTATTCCTAAGAAACATTGTTTTAAGTGACCAAAAGTTGGTCATTACGTAAACCAAAGAAGTGACCAAAAGTTGGTCATTGTGTCAACCAAATAAGTGACCAAAAGTTGGTCATTACGTCTACCAAAGAAGGGACCAAAAGTTGGTCATTAAGTCAACCAAATAAGTGACCAAAAGTTGGTCATTACGTCTACCAATCAAGTGACCAAAAATTGGTTATTAACCATTATATAAACTGTGACCAACGGAACCATCAAACCTCGACCAAGTGACCAGAAAACCAATAGCGGCCCACGAGTTTATTACACGATACCCTCGGTCTCGTTACAATATGTTCTGGAACCTGGACCAAGGTCGTTAAGAAAATCACAAGGAACACAGATGTAAATTCTCCTTATTTCTAAAACTTTGTAATCCAGAGACCTTAGAAGCTCATATATTACACAAAGGAATGGTCAGACCCTGTTCTTATATGCTTCATCTCCCTACCCTGTTTTAGTGCACACAGTAGGGTATACATACAAGTCTGGATAGAACTACTCTGTTTTGACCATATTTAAGCCTTCTTACACTGTAAATGCTTTTAGCTCACCTGATTTGAAAGCTCAAGTGAGCTTTTCTGATGACAATTTGTCTGTAGTCCATCTGTCCGTCTGTCTGTCAGTTTGTAAACTTTTCACATTTTCGACTTCTTCTCCTGGACCACTGGGCAAATTTCACCAAACATGCCACAAAGCATTCTTTGGTAAAGGGAATTTAAGTTTGTTCAAATGAAGGGCCACACCCTCATTCCATGGGAGATAATTAAGAAATAGTGAAAATTTGGTGGCATGTTTTAAAAATATCAAGAACCACTGGGTCAGGAAAGATAAACTAATATGGAAGCATCCTCAGGTAGTGTAGATTCAAGTTTGTTCAAATCATGACCCCCTGGGCTAGGGTGGACCAAAATGAAAGTTCAAACTTGTAGAAAAAAAGCCACAGTAAGTCAAAGAAATATGGAGATATTCTTAGTGTAGATTCATGTTAATTCAAATCATACCCCCTTTTTAGGGGTAGGTTGGGACCACTTATGCATTTAAGCTTTTCAGTATTGGATTGATTTCTGCTTTTTTCTAGCCACAGTGCTCAGGTGAGCCATGTTGGCCATGGGCCTCTTGTTCATGATAGTATTATAACTTCAAATTATATGAATCAGAGAAAAATATGTATTTGTTCTACTTTTCTTAGGGAGTAGTAAAGGTATACCTTCTGAATGTGCTTGCATGTTGATCTCCTCTTCAGGAATGGGTTAATTATTTAAAAAATTAAGTCTTTTTCTCAAATAGTAAGTAGTAATTGCTTATTGATTATTTAATATTTTTCTACAATATTCTTTTAATAATTTTAAGCAAGTTAGCATTTTTGAAGAGGAGGCATTTTTGTTTAAAAAAAAAAATAACACTTCATGCCTTTGTTTATTTCAAAGTAAGCCATTCCAATTTCTTCTTTATTTATCCACCCTAAATTCAAGAATCTTTTCATCTTGGAAAAACAAATGCAAAAGTTTTTTACACAATCCTAAAATTTCTCATATCACCATCTGAGAATTGCCCTCGCATTGTAACTTAATTAAACTACTAGTTAAGTGATACAAAAAAGAAATTCCAAAACTGCATAAAAAATAAAAGAAAGAGAGATGCTGATCTAAAAACTTTAAAAAAGTAAATTGCATTTCAAAGATTTGTATTTATTGATTTTAATTTGTGTTTGTTTTCAGTTTGATAACCTCAAAACCAATCTGTCTGCGGATGATAAACATAGAAAAAACTTGGAATGGCCTAGAATGTCCTATGTTTTTTATAATTTAATCTCTTGATATTTTTTAGGTCACCTGAGTAAACTCAGGTGACCTATTGCTATCCGTTTTTGTCCGTCGTCGTCCGTCGTCCGTCGTGCGTTGTGCGTCGTGCGTCGTGCGTTAACATTTAAACATTTTCAGCTTCTTCTCTGAAACCACTGAACCAATTTCAACCAAATTTGGCATATAGCATCTATGGGTGAAGGGGAACAAAAATTATGAATTTCATGGTCCCCGCCCCCCTGGGGCCTGGGGGGTGGGGCAAAAACCACTTAAAATAGTGCAATGTTTAAAAATCTTCTTCTTTACTCCCGGACATCAAGCAGTCAAACTGTTGGTATGATTGTAATCAGCATTAAGTCCTCTACCAAAATTGTGAAATTCATGGCCCCAGGGTCAGGGGTTCTGGTGTTAGGGCGGGGCTCTATTGATTATATAGTGAAAATGCAGTAAGTCTTTAAAAATCTTCTTCTCTGCTCCTGGGTATTAGATAAACTAACTTAGTAAATAGTTATATAGTTATGTTGAGCAAGAGTGCCTCTTTCAAATTTGTGAATTTTATGGCCCCAGGGTCAGGGGTTCTGGTGTTAGGGTGGGGCTCTATTGATTATATAGTGCAAATGCATTATTTCTTTGAAAATCTTCTTCTCTGTTCCTGAGTATTAAATAAACTAATTAAGCACATAGTTATGATGAGCAAGAGTGTCTCTTCATAAATTGTGAATTTTATGGCCCCAGGGTCAGGGGTTCTGGTGTTAGGGCGGGGCTCTATATTGATTATATAATAAAATGCATTAAATCTTTGAAAATCTTCTTCTCTGCTCCTAGGTATTAAATACACTAATTCAGTAAATAATTATGATGAGCAAAAGTGCCTCTACCAAAATTGTGAAACTCATGGCCCCAGGGTCAGGGGTTCTGGTGTTAGGGCAGGGCTCTATTGTTTATATAGTGAAAATGTATTAAATCTTTGAAAATCTTCTTCTCTGCTCCTAGGTTTTAAATAAACTAACTAAGTAAATAGTTATGATGAACAAGAGTGCCTCTACCAAAATTGTGAAACTCATGGCCCCAGGGTCAGGGGTTCTGGTGTTAGGGCGGGGCTCTATTGATTATATAGTGAATATGCATTAAATCTTTGAAAATCTTCTTCTCTGCTCCTAGGTTTTAAATAAACTAACTAAGTACATAGTTATGATGAGCAAGAGTGCCTCTTCCAAAATTGTGAATGCCTTAGCATCTAGCTTAAAACATGAAACAAATTCAATCATTTGAAAGTTGTTGCATGATGCTCAGGTGACCTATAAGGCCCGTGGGCCTCTTGTTTAGTTGAGTATTTTGATTTTTGTTAATATTTACTAAGCAAGTTCAGGCTATTTTGTTATAAAAGTCAAGAGTGAAAAAAAGAAAAGAAAATATGATGCTTGAATAACCTGTATTTGATTCACTGCAAAAAGTTTTACTATTTGAAAGCTTTCAGTATTACACACATTCAAATTTAACACTCTCTGTAAATAATTCCAATTCTTTTGATAATTACTGAGCAAGTTACATCCTACTGAGATAAAATATTAAAACCTGGAGTTTAATATAGCTATTATATTTCCTTTAATTGTTCAAAGACCCAAGAGTTTTGGAGTTTCAATTTTTTTCAGGTCATGAAAATGAAAGTACATCTATTCTAACATATTTATAATATGGTGTACTATCTTTACAAATACATGTATACAATATATGTAAATTTTGTGTCTATTTCTTACACAGGAAGAAACAAGACCTTTCAGTTAAAACTGAAAGGCGGCTTTCAGTAACTTTTCAGTGGCCATTCAGCCACTGAATGGCACATACATTTCAGTGACCTTTCAGTTGCCTTTCAGTCACATTTCAGATACCTTTCAGTCACTATTCAGCGAACATATTTCCGTCAACTTTCAGTGGCCTTTCCATCAACTTTCAGTGACCTTTCCGTCGTCTTTCAGTGACCTTTCCGTCGACTTTCATTGACCTTTCCGTCGACTTTCAGTGACCTTTCTGTCGTCTTTCAGTGACCATTCCGTCGACTTTCAGTGACCTTTCTGTCGTCTTTCGGTGACCTTTCCGCCACCTTTCAGTGATATTTAAGTCTCAATTTAGCAATATTTTCACTTGCGTATTATTTTATAATCAGATATTTTTCCCTAACAAGGAAGCAATATTTTGAAGAAAGATTTATTTTTCAATCTTAATTGTGGTTTTTTTTTTACTTATCGTGATCAAATTTGGGTACATTAAAATACATCTCAGTAATTGTTATAATTTCATAAAATATGTGAGACTTATTCAAAATGATTTTTAATTTTCTAGTTACATTTAGAAAACAAAAATTCTTCAAGTGATTAAACATGATGATCGATAACCGATTCAAAATTTAAATATATGCATAACATTCTATTGTGCTTATACGTGTATTTTTTCATGAAAATATATAGTTTTGATTGATAAGACAGAATTTATATTATTTAAACCATTTCTGGAAGATCGCAAGTATTACTGATCAATTTCGTTTCTTAGTTATTTCATTGTCAAAACTGAAGGATATTTAGTTTTTGAAACTTGAGACACTATTTTAAATTCATTTTTAATTACAAGAATAAATAAATCATTTATACATGCCTCTTGTAGAAAAAAATAATAGTAGATTTTAGCTTTCTAAATGATACTGATTTAATAAAATCATTCTACTAAGTTTCTAGATAGAGAATTTACAACGATCTTAAATCTTTGACACAGGAACAGGTGCCCATCTCTGATAATTGTCATCATCCCGATAGAAGATGTGTAATTAATAAGTCTGTCCCCAAAATCCGCGCAACTAACATAGAATATACAAAAGATATACAAGATATATACACATCGCAGCTCCTCGATACAACAGGTGAACTGATTGTTCCATCGATTTCTATAAATTAATTGATTTTAAATCATCATGACACAACAAGAAGTCGTAGCGTAATCGATAAGGTCGCGGACACTTACGCAGGAGACCCGGGTGCGATTCTTGGCATGGGAGTAATTTTTTTCTTGTATTAATTTTTTCCTATTTTTTTTTATTCGGAATTAGATACATTTAATGCTAATATACCAGGAAAAAGTGAAATAAAATTTTAAGATAAAAACATAAGCCGATTATTCAATAAAAAGATTCAACTGAATGATCACGGAAAGGTCACTGAAATGTATGTGCCATTCAGTCGACTGAATGGTAACTGAATGATCACGGAAAGGTCATGGGAAAGGGTCTTTTCAGTGACCTTTCAGTGACCATTCAGTGGCCATTCAGCCACCATTCAGTCGACTGAATGGTGGATTTTCATCCTGTGTTAATTGTAAGAGCATTGTGAGTAATTAATCTCTGAAATGATAGTGTTGTGACCCAGATGTCTATAATTTATGTCCCGTTGAAAATTATTTTGACTTTCAATTTGAATTTTACTTACAGCAAACCTGGGGTGCATATTTGTGCTGTAAGCAAACAGAAGATATTGGGGTAGAACCAGATTTACTGAATTACATAGGGAAAGTCATAGTTCATCTCCTTGGTGATGAGGCCATGAATCTTTATGCAGGTGCTGGAAAAAGCTTATGAATTCTCTAAATCATTTTACTGAAAATTATGAATTCTGTAGTATATGTAGAAGAAATTGTCAGCATAACTATAATTAATAATGATGAAACTAATTTGTTATGTTAATTGGATACATGTATTGTGTAGAGCTATACATATGTGGCATAATATGACCTACCATGTTTTGTTTATACAGGAAATCAGTATGATGTTCACAATGAAGAGGTTGTGTTTGGATACATTCCCAAAGCAGAGAATGCTTGTGAAGAGTACTGTAAGTTCATGATTACATTATATTTGGTACTCTGAGTTCATAATTACATTACATTTGACACAATGAGTTCATGATTACATTACATTTGGTACTCTAGTGTATGATTACATCACATTTGGAACTCTGAGTTTATGATTACATTAGATTTGATACTATGAGTTCATGATTACATTACATTTGGTACTCTGAGTTCATAATTACATTACATTTGATACTATGAGTTCATGATTACATTATATTTGATCATATGAGTTCATGATTACATTACCATTGATACAATGAGTTCATGATAACATTACATTTGGGTACTATGAGTTAATGATTACATTACATTTAATACTTTGAATTCATAATTACATTACATTTAATCATATGAGTTCACGATTACATTACATTTGATACAATGAGTTGATGATTACATTACATTTGGTACTCTGAGTTTATGATTACATTACCATTGATACTATGAGTTCATGGTAACATTACATTTGGTACTCTTGAGTTTATGATTACATTACATATGGTACTCTTGAGTTTATGATTACATTACATTTGGTACTCTAGTGTATGATTACATTGCATTTGGTACTCGCAAGTGAGTTAAGGCTACATATGGAGGTTTATATGCAAAATATCCAATTAAATTCCATAATTGCTCTACCTACCGCACAGAAAATGCTAAGACTTGTTTTCAATTACATTCTTGGTACCCACGACATGGGATAGCCAGTACACATTATGACGTCATATTATGACATCATCGACCTCTACTACACAAGCTTATAAGAAACATCAACAAAATCGCTTCCGCGCCAGGGCATACCTTTCTTTGTTTAATAGAAACAAGGTATAAAAAGACGCAGGATATTCAAAGGATTTAAGATATTGCTGCACAAATGTGGGCACTGCAATTGTTCAGTTACTATTTGTGCAGTTTTAACTTTAAACAGGGTAAAAATTCACAGTCCAGTGTAATTTTCCTAAAATTTTTATCGATTGAGAAATTGCACAGGATTTGTGCAGCAGTTTTATTTATTTTAAGAATATTCTCCTTAATATTATACATTGTTTATTTTAAATTAAATAGGATATGCCCTTGCGCCGACGTGATTTTGTTGATGTGATTCATTACCTTGAATGGGAGAGAATAATGACGTCATAATATGACATCATAATGTGCACTTGCATTAATAAACTGTGGGTACTTATTATATATAAGAAAATCTATTTGAACTTTCTCTGTTCACAGAATATACAATTTATGAATTTTTATTAGCTCATTTGCATAGAAATATTCATATTTAGCCTTAACTCACTTGTGCTGTTGAGTTTATGATTACATTCGATTTGATACTATGAGTTCATGATTACATTTATGATTACATTACATTTGGTACTCCTGAGTTTATGATTACATTCGATTTGATACTATGAGTTCATGATTACATTTATGATTACATTACATTTGGTACTCCTGAGTTTATGATTACATTTCATTTGTTACTCTAGTGTATGATTACATTGCGTTTGGTACTGTTGAGTTTATGATTACATTAGATTTGATACTATGAGTTCATGATTACATTACATATGGTACTCTCGAGTTTATGATTACATTACATTTGGTACTCTTGAGTTTATGATTACATTACATTTGGTACTCTGAGTTTATGATTCCATTGAAACTAGAAGTTTGTGAATACAATACCTTTGGTACTCTGATTTCACTATTACATTACAGTTGAAATTATGAATTAGTGATTACATTACATTTGGCACTCTTGAGTTCATGATTACATTACATTTGATACTATGAGTTAAGAAATGATTACATTACGTATGATATTGTGATTTTATGATTACATTACACTTGGTACCTTTAGTTCACAATTACATTCAAGTAGAAGGAGTGGGCTTACTATTATGTTTCAGGTAGTACTATAATTCATGATAACCCAGAATTCAAAATTGGATTACAGTTGGCACTTTGAATTCACAATTATATCATTTCAGTTGATACCATAAGTTCTCATGTTACACTTGATACCAAGAGTTCATTACTAAAGTATAGTTAGTACAATGAGTTCACAACTACATTAAATTTTGTACTTTGAATATATATTTACATTGCATTTACAACTTTATTTGTGTCACATTTATTTACATTACAAATAGTTCTCTGAGTTTTAGTATATGCGGACAAATATGTCATGCTTCTTTCTTTGAGTTCACAATTACATTATAGGTGTGGAGGAAAGTAAGAGGTACAGCAAAGAACTAATTACATCTCCTTTGTCTAAATCACTGCAACGAATTTAATGAGAATTCCATAATGACCATATGGTCTTGATTACATAGTACAATTGTGCACCTCCTATTTACATTTTGCTCAAACAGATATTTGGACTTTTTCGTAGCAAAACATGGACTTTTCCATTATACTGGTATGGGGACAGGGAAATCATTTTGGACCTTCTAATTTTTAGCTCACCTGAGCCGAAGGCTCAAGTGAGCTTTTCTGATCACATTTTGTCCGTCGTCCGTCCGTCCGTCCAGCTGTCCGTCTGTCTGTCTGTCCGTCTGTAAACTTTTCACATTTTCGACTTCTTCTCAAGAACCACTGGGCCAATTTTGACCAAACTTGGTACAAAGCATTCTTGGGTAAAGTGGAATTTAAATTGTTAAAATGAAGGGACATATCCCTTCGCAAGGGGAGATAATCAAGAAAAGAGAAAAATAGGGTGGGGTCATTAAAAAATCTTCTTCTCAGAACCACTGGGCCAGTAAAGCTGAAACTTATGTGGAAGCATCCTGGGGTATATATTAAATTGTTCAAATCATGAACCCCGGGGGAAGGGCGGGGCCACAATAGGGAATCAAAGTTTTCCATAGAAATAAATAGGAAAAATCTTTGAAAATCTTCTTCTCAAGAACCACTGGGCCAGAAAAGCTGTACGGAAGCATCCTGGTATAATGTAGATTCTAAATTGTTCAAATCATTGGGGAACAAAGTTTTACATAGAAATATATAGGAAAAATCTTTGAAAATCTTCTTCTCAAGAACCACTGGGCCAGAAAAGCTGAAACTTATGTGGAAGCATCCTGGTATAATGTAGATTCTAAATTGTTCAATTAATGACCCCCGGGGGATGGGTGGAGCCACAATGGGGAATCACAGTTTTACATAGAAATATATAGGAAAAATCTTTGAAAATCTTCTTCTCAAGAACCACTGGGCCAGAAAAGCTGAAACTTATGAGGAAGCATCCTGGTATAATGTAGATTCTAAATTGTTCAATTAATGACCCCCGGGGGATGGGTGGAGCCACAATGGGGAATCAAAGTTTTATATAGAAATATATAGGAAAAATCTTTGAAATTTTTCTTCTTAAGAACCACTGGGCCAGAAAAAGTGAAGCTTTTGTGGAAGCATCCTGGGGTAGTGTAAATTCTAAATTGTAGGAATCATGACCCCCGGGGTAAGGGCGGGGCCATTATAGGGAATCAAAGTTTTACATAGAAATATATAGGAAAAATCTTTGAAAATCTTCTTCTCAAGAACCACTGGGCCAGAAAAAGTGAAGCTTATGTGGAAGCATCCTGGTATAATGTAGATTCTTAATTGTTCAAATCATGACCCCCGGGGGATGGGTGGAGCCACAATGGGGAATCAAAGTTTTATTAAGAAATATAAAGGAAAAATCTTTGAAAATCTTCTTCTCAAGAACCACTGGGCCAGAAAAGCTGAAACTTATGTGGAAGCATCCTGGTATAGTGTAGATTCTACATTGTTCAAATCATGACCCCCAGGGAAAGGGCGGGGCCACAATGGGGTATCAAATTTTTACATAGAAATATATAGGAAAAATCTTTGAAAATCTTCTTCTCAAGAACCACTGGGCCAGAAAAGCTGAAACTTATGTGAAAGCATCCTGGTATAATGTAGATTCTAAATTGTTCAATTAATTGGAGCCACAATGGGGAATCAAAGTTTTATATAGAAATATATAGGAAAAATCTTTGAAATTTTTCTTCTTAAGAACCACTGGGCCAGAAAAAGTGAAGCTTATGTGGAAGCATTCTGGATTAGTGTAAATTCTAAATTGTAGGAATCATGACCCTCGGGGGAAGGGCGGGGCCATTATAGGGAATCAAAGTTTTACATAGAAATATATAGGAAAAATCTTTGAAAATCTTCTTCTCGGGAACCACTGGGCCAAAAAGCTGAAACATATGTGCCCATGGAAGGATCATGTGGGTGTGTAGATTTCAAAATGTCTAAATTATGATCAGTGGGGTAGGGTGGGGATGCATTATGTATAACAAGGGTGAAATCTGGTAAAGAACAGAATGGTCAAAGCTTCTCAGGTGAGCGATGTGGCCCATGGGCCTCTTGTTAGTAGTTTGATTTGTTTTGTGATTTACAGTGAGTGGTCCCTCTAGTTTTCAGTAGTTTGATTTGTTTTGTGATTTACAGTGAGTGGTCCCTCTAGTTTTTAGTAGTTTGATTTGTTTTGTGATTTACAGTGAGTGGTCCCTCTAGTTTTTAGTAGTTTGATTAATGTTTTGTGATTTACAGTGAGTGGTAAGAATCTGAGTAAGAAAAAGTCCAGGATCTTCCAAGAGTTCCAGTTTAAGAACCCCGCTAGAGACCTGTTTATCTGGGCTGTTCTGATGAACCGAATGAGTCTGGCAAAGCTTTTCTGGAAGATCGGAAAAGATCACATAGGTAAATTTTCTTTTATGATGTAAAAATGATGCTTACTTTAGTAAATGTTTTTACTTAAGTACTAAATACACCTTATCGTTTAATTAAACATTTCATTTGAGTGAAATTATCAAAAATCCTGTCTGCTAAATTGAATGGGTTTTGTTTGAAAATAATGCATTATTTTTAGGTCACCCTAGTTGCTCAGGTGCATCGTGCATCTGAGTCACTCAGATGCGTTGTGCATTGTGTGTCGTGTGTTAACATTTGGACATTTTCAGCTTCTTTTCTGAAACTACTCAACCGATTTTGGCATATAGCATCTATGGGTGAAGGGGAACACATTTTTTTTTAATTCCATGGTCCCTCCCCCCCCCACCAGCCTGAGGGGTGGGTCTAAAACTATTCAACTTTTTTAATAATGTATTCTTTGAAAAATTTTCCTATTTACTCCTGGACATCAAGCAGTTTTGACAAACTGTTTGCATGATTATGATAAGCATTGTCTTCTGCCAAAATTGTGAAATGGTCTGGATTTGAGTTTTATGCAAAAATTTTACCTATTTCAGGGTGGGCTTTGTTTGCTAGCTGTCTGGTTTTGAGTTTTTATGTATTATTTTTACCTTTTTCAGGGTCTGCTCTGTTTGCTAGCTGTCTGTTGAAGGAGCTATCTAAAGTTGCTGATGATGAAGAAGAAGTGGAACTCAGTGTCTCTCTGGAGCATAACTCCATGTAAGTTTTAGTTACTGTACCTTCTCTTTTGCACACATTTTTAATTGGTGGAAGAAAGTGAGCAATTAATAGCAACTCTGTTTTATCATTGCCCAAAAATTCCATGCTCATCATTTGAAGTGAAGTGAGGAGTATTATTTATATATGAATAAACAGATTTATCCTAAAGGGTATAAAATGATAGTTTTTCATTGGGGGTATGACAATTTTGTCTATACTTTCAGGGAGTTTGAGAAACTAGCCTCAGAAATCTTAGGAATTTGTTCCATCCAGAACCGTGATCTAGCTCACCAACTCCTTGTAAGAGAACTGAGCGAGTTTGGAAACACGACCCTGTTTTGTTTGGCTGATGAGAATGTTCTTATGGATTTCATGGGCCAGACATGTTGTCAGACCAAGCTCAATGCCATCTGGAAGGGTCGCATGGCTCTCTACACTTCAAGCATAAAGGTAATGTGTAATAAAAGGACACATATTATTACATTTAATAAATTCTGTAGTTTATTAGTGTAGCTTGATATATTTACTTCCTTATAATGTTGTTTGTACATATTCTGGAAATTACTGATGTGTACATAAACATATGATAAATTGCCACATTCAAAATTTAGTGCAATCACTGCATAGAGAGTTATTGGCATAATCATGAATTATATAATTAGTGCTGTATACATCTGTGCCATATGATGATTTATTTTAATTAATGGTATTCATGAATTAGACCATTCTTGACTGCTTTTAATCTGCTAAAATATGAATCCTGTTATCTTATGTATACATACACAGTGTCACAGTATATTTTTTTTATTACTTGATATTTTACATTTAACATGTCTATAATCAGCAGAATGATGTTTTTCTTGGTTAATGGTGTGATATTTTTTATTTATCAGATTGTAGCTTCAATATGCCTTCCATTCCTGATTCCTGCCATTAAGTTTGTGGACAAGAAAAGAATGGTCCATGAAGATGAATATGATGACTTGGCACCACTTCATCCCACCACTAAAGAGATGATCACAGAACAGGAGGCACCACTCAGCAATAGAGAGGCTTCAGAAGGGTCACCAGGGGGTACTGGTGGAAAAGTGGCCCCCGTCCCAGAATCCAAAACAAAAATACTCAAACGAAAGTTTAAAACTGTGAGCTTGTTTGGTGGTAGTAAGGAAGGCGGGGAGGATATCAATTTGTTCCGGGCCATTTACTACTTCTACACAGCACCAGTCACTAAATTCACTACAGCAATGGTAAGATTTACTACTCCAATGGTTAGAATTATCGCAAAATTCTCTACAGGAATAGTAAGATTTATTGATTTTTTCATCACCTGAGTCACTCATTTAGATGATTGGATAGTTGTTAGTTATAAAAGTAAACAATGTGGTGATGAAATGATAAGATAAAGCCATTATATGTTAGTGTTCTGTGTGTTACAGTTTGCCAATATCTTGTTCCTGGGGCTGTTCTCTTTGTTTGTGTTGACGGACCTGTACCCTATCAGTGTCAGTGCCCCCTCCATCCCAGAGTACCTCACCTGGGCCTACACAGTCACCAGTGCTATAGAAGAAGGCAGACAGGTATAGGAACTAGGACTTCAGAGTCCAGATAGCTTATTAGTATTTTTATAATGTGGAAGAAATTAAAACATCTCAATTAAATGTCCTTAAAATTTACACGTACCTTTAAACCATAGACATATTCATGATATTTGATATGAAATAAGAAGTAAAATTCTATTACATGTATATTTCATAATGTTTCACCTCTCTTGCAGGTTTTAACCAGGGACCAGCGGTCGCTTCTGTATAAAATCAGGAGTTGGTACGGCAGTGTGTGGAACCGTTTCGACTTCATCATGTACATAACCTTCCTGACCTCTGTAATCCTGAGGTTTTCCCTGGATGGGGAGGACTTTATGTGGGCTCGTATGTTGTACAGTCTTACTCTGGCCATGTACTTTATTCGCTTCATGCACTACTTCTATGCAGAGAAAAATATTGGACCCAAAGTCATCATGATATCTAGAATGGTAAGATTTCTCTAGCCTTGTTTAGGATATCCATATTGGATAATTTTCTCTTAATGATAATAACATACTGTACCTTCTTTTTTTATGCCCCCGCTCCGAAGGAGAGGGGGGTATACTGTTTTACCTTGTGTGTCTGTCTGTCTGTCCGTCTAGCTGTCTGTGCTGTCTGTCTGTCCATAACAAATTTTTCATCGCAGTTTTCTCAGCAACTACTCATTGCAGATGCTTGAAATTTTAACACAATCCTTTCTGAGACGTGCCATACGGTAGGATACATTTTTGTTCAAATCCGATGTCAACTTCCTGTTTGTCCGTGCATCTGTCCGTTTCATACATAACAAATTTTCGTCACAGTTTTCTCAGCAATTGCTCATTGCAGATGCTTGAAATTTTAACACAATCTTCTCTGAGGCATGTCATACGGTAGGATACATTTTTGTTTAAATCCGATGTCAACTTCCCGTTTGTCTGTGCGTCTGTCCGTTTCATACATAACAAATTTTCGTCACAGTTTTCTCAGCAACTGCTCATCGCAGATGCTTGAAATTTTAACACAATTTTCTCTGAGGCATGCCATACGGTGGGATACATTTTTGGTCAAATCTGATGTCAACTTCCAGTTTGTTTTTGCGTCCGTCCGTTTCATACATAACAAATATTTTGTTGCAGTTTTCTCATCAACTAATCATAGCAGATGCTTGAAATTTTAGTACACTCTTTGTCAAGGCATGCCATATGGTGGGATTAATTTTGAAATGAATCTGATGTCATCTTCCTGTTTGTCTGTGCATCTGTCCGTAATGGAACCTGTATTTTTATTTATGCGCCCGAATTTTTTCGGGGCGCATATTGTTTTTGTCCTGTCTGTTTGTCTGTTTATCTGTTTGTCTGTTTGTCTGTTTGTCTGTTGTCAACTTTAACCTTCGCCAAAACTTTTGAACCGTAAGAGATAGAGACTTCATATTTAGTATGCATACTCCTCTAATAAAGTTCTTTCAAATGACATCAAGGTCAATGACATAACAAGACTTCATATTTGGTATGCATACTCCTCTAATAAAGTTCTTTCAAAAGGTAATCATAGCAGATGCTTGAAATTTTATTACCGACTTTGTTGAGGCATGCCATATGGTGGGAATAATTTTGATATGAATCTGATGTCATCTTCCTGTTTGTCTGTGCATCTGTCCGTAATGGAACCTGTATTTTTATATATAAATATAAATGGAGATAATTTCAAAATCATATAAACAGGGTTCTTGGAAAGAAAATATGGTTTTAAAATAGATGCTATAAAAATTACAGTGTGGAATTTTTTCCCTTAAATATTGCTGTATTTTCAGGGGCATGCTTTATCTGTGGGTATTGGAAACTTTTTAGATAATCAGATAATTGATGTGCACTTATTTATTTGACAAACCTGCTGATTATTATGTACTTGTTTAGTTGACAGATCTGATGTTTTTCCTGTTAATCTTGTTGGTATTTATCCTGAGTTTCGGTGTTGCATACCATGCCAACCTGTATCCTAACTCCCCTCAAGAGTGGGTCCTCCTGAAAGATGTGGTGTATCACCCATACTGGCAGATGTATGGAGAACTGTTCCTAGAAAACAAAGAAGGTAAAAGGCTGAATTGAATAATGACAGACTCAATTTTGCTCAGTCCATTTACAGAGCCTGTGTAGACTACTAACCTGCTAATCTGTCTGTCTTTTTTTCAAAATGCTACTTCTCCTACAGTTTTAATCTGATTTCAGTATAACATGGCACACAAGTAGACTACACTAAGTTATATTAGTTTTTGATTTCAATGGATGATGTTGCCATGGTTACTGAAAATAGAAATTTCTTTGAAATATTTTCAAAATGCCACTTTTCAGTCTGATTTCAATATAACTTGGCACACAAGTAGACTAAAGTATGATACATAATTCTATATGTCAATTTTTAGCTCACCTCAACGAAGTTGGGGGAGCTTATGTAATACACTCGGTGTTGGTGTCGGCGTCCCAGGTTAGGGTAAAGTTTTTTGGAGCAGTTTTCTTTTTAAGTACTTCTATGTCCTATATTGCTTAGACATGTATGGAGGATACTTCTGGTGTGTGTCATTGTACCAGTCAAAGTTTCAGATGCTGCAATTTCAGCAAAGGAATGACCAGGTTTATGTTTTTGGTCAAATTTTGGAGCAGGTTAACATTTTTGGTGCAGTTTTTGGTCTAGGTCTCATTTCCAAGGAACTATAAGCCCTATGTTGACCAAACTTGCACGGATGATACATCTAAAGATGCACATTGCCAGGCTTGCTTCAGATGCTGAATCTGACTTACATTTTTCGGTTGAGTGAACAGGTTAATGCTTTTGGTGCAGGTCTCATTTCCAAGTAACTATAAGCCCTATGTTTACCAAACTTTCATGGATGATACATCTAAGGATGCACATTACCAGGCTTGCTTCAGATGCTGAATCTGACCTACATTTTCTGGTTGAGTGAACATACTAAAAGTTTTTGATGCAGGTCTCATTTCCAAGTTACAATGAGCCTTATAATGACTATACTTGCATGGATGATATATCTTAGGATGCATACTACCAGACCTGCTTTGGATGCTGAATCTGACCTACATTTTTTTCTGGATGAGTGAAGAAGTTAAATTTTTATGCAGGTTTCATTTCTAAGTAACTATTAGCCCTATGTTGTGCAAACTTGCATGGATGATACATCTTAGGATGCACACTAATGGACTTGCTTCAGATGCTGAATTTGACATACATTTTCCAGATAATGGACCTTGTAAAAATTATGGGTGCAGGTCTATTATCAAAAAACGTTAAGGCTTATATAAACCAACTTGCACAAATGATGCATCAAGGGATGAAAATGCTCAAACTTGCTTCAGATGCTGGATTTAAATCACATTTTCGTGATGAAGAACTAGTTTGTAGTTTTTATATAGGTACATTCCAAAGTATCAGATCAAAATTGCATAAATTTTGCATTTTTGGATGTACACTTTTTGTTGGTTAATTGTGTGACTTTGCCTTACTTAAAGACAACATTCGTTGAGGTGAGCTCTGTAATCTCTACCTATGTTTGCTTTCAATGAACAATGTTGCCATGGTTACTAAAAATCGAAATTTCTTTTAATTATTTTCAAAATGCTACTCCGACGAAGTTTTGGTCTGATTGCAATAAATCTTGCCAAGTAAAAGACTAAACCAATGATGATTTTTAAAAAAGATTATTGTTGTTGCAAAGTTTCAAGTTCAAATGCTACTTATATCTTCCTCTTTTATACAAGTATAAACCAGTAGCTTTGGTCTCATTAGAGACTTCTGGTTAATGTGTGACCTTTTGATTGTAGGAGCTGACCCCTCAGCAGAAGCTGGGACCTGTACTAACAATGAGACACTCTGGAGGTCAGGGGACATGGATCGTTGTCCAGAGAAGAATGCCCTTGTCGTGTTGTTGATGGTCATCTACATGCTGTTGACCAACATACTTCTAGTCAACCTGTTGATTGCTATGTTTAGGTTAGATTGAAAATCCACAAATACAGTTCTATTCAGTTTGTTTATTAACTGATTACGGGTCTTCAAGGGGCAACAAGAAAGAAACAGTGTATATACACAAAAAAAAGAAAGAAACAGTGTCTATACACAAAAAAGAAAGAAACAGTGTATATAAATACACAAAAAAAAGAAAGAAACAGTGTATATACACAAAAAAGTATACAAAACAATTTTTATGAAGAAAATGAGGATAATACTTTTTGCTCTATGGTTTAATTACCATTAATACATAATTTAGAAAAAAATCTTTATATAAGACACATAAAGTTACTTCATCTCTTTATGAATTTTATTTGTATTTTGTTTTGCTCAGTGACACCTTTCAGAAGGTTCAGGACAACTCGGAGAAGGTATGGCGGTACCACAGGTACTCCCTGGTGTACGAGTTTTATGAGCGTCCGGCTCTGTTTCCCCCGCTCATCATCTTCAATCACGTGTTCCGTGTAATCAGGTGGTTCATCAACAAATGTAACAACAGATGTTGTCAGAACGGAATCCGCACCAGAAACAGCTTCAGTAAGTTACCATTGTCACGTGTCATGGGATTTCTTCTTGTTCAATGCATTTTTTGCCCTCACTATTAATATAAAAGGATTACATTCACAATAAAATTGTGTGAAGAAGTCGGAGTGTGTATTTGGGTGGGAACGGATGGGGATGGGACTCCACTGATTGAAATAAAACAAAAAAGTATTAATTCATTACTGGAAATATATTTATAACATTGTAATGCTTATTTTACTCAGGTCTATTTGCCAAAGGTCAGCTATATGTGTGCTATTTATATTTTTACCTCCACTGGATTTAATGCATGAATAAGTAGATATATAACTTGATTTATATGTTATAGTCAGTAATTATAATGGAGTTGCCAGATGTTCTATATGTCTGTCTGTAGACAATTTTTGTAGACAGTCTAGAAATTGTTTAAGATAAATAAAATGGTTAAACTGCAAGGAAGATGAGCAGGGTTAAGGTAGGCATGACTATGAAAAGGTCATTTTGATGGAAATGAATTTATTGCATACAAAATATTACTCTGGTACATTTTAGCCACAATTTTGAATGGACAAAAAAATGTAGATTGTTAATAAGAAAAGTTTGCTTTTGACTGGAGAGTATGTTTTTAACCCAACAGGAGATCATATGGGCAAGGTCAAGTTTGATGAGTGTTTCCTCTCTATTGAAAAATTATGGAACTTTAGCTGACTAAAACTTGCCTGAGAGTTGATTATGATAATACAGCAAAACTCGTTTAGTACGAACACGGATATTGCGAATTTACGGATATAGCAAAGTTTTCTTGGATTCCCAGCTTTATAAATTTAATGAATTTCCTATACGGTTATAACGAATTACGGATGTAGCGAAGTAATTTCATAAGTCCCTGTGACTTCTTTATAACCGAATTTTGCTGTATATGTCATGTTCCTGAAAAAAAGGGTCATTTAGACAGTGTCACGGTCAAAGAGTTCAGAAGTATACAATTTTGAAGGTTTGGAAAATTATAAATTCTAAAAGACATCGCAGACACAGTTGTATCTGGAGAAGTATCAGTAGGTTGTAATTCATGACTAGGAGTCTTTGAGTAATGATTGTGTGAATAAGTTCATGATCAGATTTTTCCAAGTATTATTAATGGAAGGTCAGGAGGACAAGGGAATTGGCTATTATATTTGATATTTAGTTGTCCTTGGTGGGGGAGGGGGGTGGGGGTGGGGGGTCAGAACAATTTTCGTTTATAATATGATGTCAGCACATTTTTTTCTTTAAATTCCAATAATGTAATTTTCACTTATGTAACAAAGGGTATACAATCCCATTGCACTGTTAAATTGTCCTGACACCTTCAGTGTGTTTTAAATTGATGACACTTACGTAGAACTTTGTTTTGCTTACTTGGTGTTTCCTGTAATTCCTCACTGACCTCAAGAAAAATTAATTATAATGAAAAGATTTAAAATGATTTAAAATGAAAAGTCTGCTATTGTGTGAAGTGACAAAGTAGTTGATACCTTTTAATCACAGAAGTTTTACTTTTAATATTGAATACTGTAGATTCCTTATTTTTCACGAGTGCCTATCGCGAATGGGCTCTTCAACATCAAATCGCGAGAATAATAATTCATGAATGGACGATTGGTCAAGAGATTTTATATAGATTTCAGCAACAAAAAAATAAAGGAATTTTATTTCATGTGTGGTGTTTTTCGCGAAATTATGCGATAATTAATTCCACGAGTATATTTAGGAATCTACAGTATAGCAAATTTACTGTTTATATAGTGTCACATTTAGAAGAATTCTGATGAACATTATTATCGAAATGTATTAAAATATCTTTAAAATATCTGTATTGAGCTGATGTTCTGTCTGGAATGCTGTCATGTGTGTTACATTGTGTTACAGAGTTGAAGCTTAGTGAGAAGGACTTGATCAGGCTGTCTCTGTTTGAACGAGGAGCAATGGAGGAACATCAGCATTCAGTGTTCTCTCTAGAGAATGACAAGATTGACAAGAAAATAGAGACCACCTCAGAAAGGTAAGAAAGTAGAGATTACATTAGAAAGGTAGGGAAAAAAAGAGACCATGTCAGAAAGGTAAGAAAATAGATAATCTCAGGGGAAAGCAAAAAAACAGACCACCTCAGAAAGGTAAGAAAATAGAAACAACACCAAACAGGTTGGAAAATAGAGACCATGTCCGAAAGGTAAGAAAATAGAGACCACATCAGACAGCTTAGAAAGCAAGACCACGATAGGAAATTTTATTGCAAACATGTCTAAAGTAAAAAGTCCTGTTAAAACTAATTTATTTGTCAACAAGATATTTTTTTAGAAACTGATAAAGGTTTGTGTTAATTTCAGGCTTGACAGAGTAATAGAAGAACTTGACAACATAAAAGACAATGTGATGGCCAAGGAGAAGATGATGGGAGGAGACTCTCCCGCCACAGCTAGATCCACCACTATGTCCAACATAGACCCAGAAATCTACTCATCCAGGTAATTAGAACATATATGGTTAGGTTCTGACAACCAAGTTAAAGCCTTTTATGTAATAGCTCAACTTTTAATTCTTGTACATATATTAATAAAGAAAAGAGGATGTTTTATCAGCTATATTTTTATAATAATACAAATTACCAGTACATTAACCATTTTAGTAGTGATATTGACACCATTATTTCAGTAGTTGAAAAGTATTCTACTTTTAAGCAATCGGCACAGATGGTTTTAATATCTTGTTCTGACACTTACTGATGGATGAAAAAAGTGTTATTCATAGTCGATATAAATAAATAAGAAATCTTAAAAAGATATTTTTTTATTTCCATTGACAGGAAAACTCACTCCCAGTTGGAGGTGGAAGTGGACCAGTTATCAAATTTTGTTCGGGAAAACATGCATGATCTGAATGCTTCAATAAGACGACTGGAAAAACTCATATTAGCCTCCACAAAACAGAAGCAACAAGCTCTGGACATTTCACATATACAGTCAACAGAAAGTTAAAAGATTAATTTATCATCTCATTTGGGCATTAGCATTTGTGAAAAATGGTCGTTATCTGATAGGCCTATGTTGGGTTGTAAATATACCCTCCATATGAATGAAGGATCAATATCTTTTTTAGCTCACCTGAGCCGAAGGCTCAAGTGAGCTATTCTGATCAAAATTTGTCCGTCGTCTGTCGTTGTCGTTGGCGTTGTTGTTGTTGTTGTTGTCGTCGTTGTAAACTTTTCACATTTTCGACTTCTTCTCAAGAACCGCTGGACCAATTTCAACCAAACTTGCTACAAAGTATCCTTGGGTGAAGGGGATTCAAGTTTGTTCAAATGAAGGGCCACGCCCTTTTCCAAGGGGAGATAATCATGAATTTGTTAAAAATTAATGGCATTTTTAAAAAATCTTCTTCTCCAGAACGGGTGTTGCTAAAACGCGGAACGGAAAATGGAACGGAAAACGGAACGGAACGGAAAACGGAAAGTATTATTAATAATTTTGGATTAAAACACTAAAAATACATAAAATCTAATCATAAACGATATATCTTATACATATTCAATTCCCCACTATTAAATACAAGTTGATTTATTCATGATTAGTCTCTTAATTACGAAAATCGCTGATATAGCATGCAGTGACCTAGAGTCGAATTTGAAAACGGGGTGGGAGGTTAAACTTGCTTGAAAAGTATTTGACAAGCAAAAAACAAAAAAAGCAAAAAAAAAAAAAAAAAAAAAAAGATGACAATTGTTTGTTTCGGGAGGGAGGGGGGGGTACTACATTATATTGATTACATTAACAAAACAACGTTAACAATGGTAGGGTGTCAATGAACATTTCAATAGTAAAAAGGTTATGATTGGAAAAAGTTGGGGGGGGGGATATTTGATATCTAGTCTAGATATCGAACCATGGAAAGAGAAATACTGTAAAAAAAAAATTATGAAGATTACGTTTAAGGCAAACCTTACCGGCAAGCTTGAATAAACACCTTTCATGTAACACTGGTTGTTAAAATTGAATAAATAGAGTCGCTTTCTATAAACTAGTATTTAAATTCTGTATAGATAAATTTCGAAAACTTTCCTTTGATAGATTTAATGGAGCATCTTTACATTCAAACATTCAACGAAGTTAAAGTTTGTTTGTATGCGATGTTTGTGTGTGGGGGATGGGGTGAGTTTCAATTTTTTTCCCGCTCATCGGAAAGGTCTGAGAAGTTGCAAAAGGTCCGCTCCCCTTTTTGTGTCCAAAATATATACAAGTTTTAATAAATTGATTTTTAATGTGGTTCTGGTCCCCTATCAATACCCAAACTGTCCCTGCCCCTTTCAAGATTCCTGGATTTGCTACTGCTTGCATAATCTGAATGACAAAACTAGTTATTTTTGTCTTTACAAACATTGGCGTCGGAAGCAAATTGAAAGGAGGGGGGGGGGGTTAAGTGGAAAAGAAAAAATTGACAATCCATAAAAGGAAAATATGTCCTTTGCCCAAACACGAGAAATCCTTTTTCGTTGGGAAGTGGGGAGGGGGGGTGTCGAACTGCTTTCAAATTGTTTCCAGACACTACCACTTAACCTTCCTTGGCTTAATCTGCGGCGTTCCTGTTGAAAGTGGGGAGGGGGTGGATGGGCTAAGCCTACATGTACGCTCCAATATGCATTGCCTATACCAGTGCTATCTTTGCAAAAAAAAAGTGTGTTCGTGACTTGGGGGGGGGGGGGGGCTTAATCATGCCCCCCCCCCCCCCCCCCCCCCCCCCCCCGGCCCCCAGTTCTGACGCCTATGACAAATATATGCATGTACATACTAGTACTTTTTTCCTTCTCCCTATTTTAAGGAATATCTCTTTTAGAAATGAACTTTCTTTTAAAAAAGAATTTGTTTGAAACGCTCAGATGAATACTCAGGACTTTGAATCTAGTTAGTATGTACTTTATAGACAGATCTTCGCTTTACACCAGTTCTCAGCAGAGGGTGTGTATGATTCATGAATATATATAATAGTTTACAATAAATTTTATTAGGTATGGCTTTTGCATCAAGAATATTGCTTTTATATCTGATTTATATATCGAATCTATGTTATTTGTTTGACATAAATCTTCCGTTTTCCGTTCCGTTCCGTTTTCCGTTCCGTTTTCCATTCCGCGTTTTAGCAACACCCCTCCAGAACCGCTGGGCCAGGAAAGATGAAACTCATATGAAAGCATCCTCAGGTAGTGTAGATTCAAGTTTGTTCAAATCATGCCCCCCGGGGCAAGGGTGGGGCCAAAATGGCCGACCCAAGTTTTACATAGGAATATATAGGAAAAATCTTTAAAAATCTTGTTCTCCAGAACCACTGGGCCAGGAAAGATTAAACTCATGTGGAATCATCCTCAGGTAGTGTAGATTCAAGTTTGTTCAAATCATGCCCCCCGGGGCAAGGATGGGGCCAAAATGGCTGACCCAAGTTTTACATAGGGATATATAGGGAAACCTTTTAAAATCTTTTTTTCAAGTACTTCAAAACTATGATTAGTGATATTTATAAGGAATCATCCTCAGGTAGTGTAGATTCTAGTTTGTTCAAATAATGAACGCCTGGGGGGGGGAATAAATTCAAGCCTGATGTGCTCAGGTGAGCGCTGTGGCCCCAGGGCCTCTTGTTATATTTGTTATATTAAATACTGCTAATTTGTTAAATCAAATACTGATTAATTTATTAACTCTGAGGTACAGTATAAGCATTATTTTTAATGAGGATTTAATTTTGGCATTATTGGGGTGAGGATGCTGAGATCGCTAAAATTGAATATTTCTAAAAATTAATTGTGTTTTATTTGTAATGGTTTTTTAGTAAGCATTTTGAAAATTGTTTAAATTGCATCTTGCTAAAAATAAATTTCCAAATATTCTAGACAAATCGCTAATTTTGCCTATCACTAATATTTTTACTTGTACTGTTTTTAAATTTGGGGGGAAAACCTTTTTTTTTTCATTTGTATTTATTTTGATGAAATTTTTTACAACTAAGTAAGGTTGAATTTTAATATTTACTGAAATGAGAAATGTAGTTCATCTTGCAATACATATCTGTATTTTTTAATGCCAAACTTTTGGTGCCTTTATAACAAAGAGAATAAGACTGAGCAAGAGAGATCTGAGGGAAATGATTTTTTGTGTCTGAGAGAGAGAGAGAGAGAGAGAGAGAGAGTAAATTGTTTTTTCCCATGACTGTGTACACCAGGGTGGTGTTTTGAAAATGATATTGAACCACTATGCTCAGTTTTTCAACTTTATTGGTTATACATAACTGTGATATATTTTTGTTTTACTTCTTTTTTTTTCAAAACTATACATGTTTATATAAATTTCCCATTATGATACATGTAAAAAATCTCATTTTAATCTTGTAGCAGGTTTTGAGAATCTATGTAATTTTTTATAAAAATGTACAACTTCATTGATGTTTCATACAGAGACATGTTAGTAGCATGTTAGAAGGAATCATAACATAGAGCAGTCGGAGATTATAAATATAGGATCTCCCATGATTTGTAGTTGGATATGACTTTTATCCAACGAGTTGTGTGATTTTTATCCCCGAGCCTTGGCGACGGGATAAAAACACACAACGAGTTGGATAAAAATCATATTCAACTACAAAACATGGGAGATTCTTTTTATCCCATGTTTAATACTTCACAACCGATGTTTAACACTGTTTTATATAGGACTCTGCTATATTTTACTTCCTCACGCTAACGCAAAAACCATTGTGACGTCATAACTGTGGGATATGAAAACGATATCCCATGAGCTATATCCACGGGATAAAGGTGTAAACATGGGATAAATTGTCATACATACATGTATTTATAAATGAACATGGAAAATATAGAAATTCTGGTATATTTAGTCTTTAAAAATATAATGAATTGGTTGAGGTACATGTATTTGAAATGGAAAATTTGCTTATTTATTATTACTTGTATTGTTGGTTTATTAGCACTGACAGGGAAGAAGTAGAAATTTGATATTAGGAAGCTTACACCATTAGCGGATACTTGTAGAATGACAGATATCCTTTAGAAACTTTAAAAGATGCTTAAGGAAAAAATATGCGGAGTAGTACTCTGATCAGATGTGTTTATATCGACATCCTAACTCACATTTTGAAGCATTTACCATATACCTCGTGTAGGGAATGTATGTAGTCATACATTTTATATTAATTATTAATCGTCCAACTTTAAACATCTGAGATTTCACATCACAATGATTCTCACTTTATCTCACTTGTTATTTATTGGAAATTGGTTGTTGTTTTAATTTTATACATTGCAGAATGTGTTTCTGATGCATGTATAAATTTATACATTTGTAAATTTGCAGCAATGTAAATACAGTGTATCTATTATCCGTCCCTATTTGTATTAATTAACAACTGAATATTTTGTAGTAAAATTTTATGTTTATTTATTGTAATTCTGTATTAATCTATATTGATGTTTAGTGATACCTTATTGTTAATATTCACTAAATAATGTACTTTTAATTTATACTAAATGCAATATATCAACGAAAAATATTGTTTGAATTGTTTTCATTATTGAATAAGGAAAAGTGGTTTATTTCGGAAGGGTAGATAGAATTCCATTTGATTGTGATGCATAGAAAAGATCCTATATATGGCTAGGAAAAACGTATGTAATTAATTTGCTCACAAGTGAAGTCCTTAAATAAAGCAATAATCTCACTCTATACAATGATCTGTTAGTAACAAGCACAGATCATAAAACTTTCTTTTCTCAACTTTTTTTGTCAAATGGCAGAAATTTTAAATCAGGCGCAGTTTTATGCACCTGGATCACCTGGATTGATAGATCCGGGGTGTATATTGTTTTTATCCTGTCTGCTCATCTGTTTGTCTGTTGTCAACTTTAACTTTCACCATAAATTTTGAACCATAAGAGATAGAGAATTCATATTTGGTATGCATACTCCACTAATTAAGTTCCTTCAAATTACACCAAGGTCAATGAACTTGTGACCTTGACTGTTACCTATATGCTAAACACAGGTAATCAGAGATTACAGAGCTCACCTCAACGAATGTTGTCTTTAAGTAATTAACCAACAAAAAGTGTACATTCAAAAATGCAAAATTTATCCAATGTTGTTCTGATACTTTGGAAAAGACCTATATAAAAACTTCAAACTAGTTCTTCATCACGAAAATGTGATTAAAATCCAGCATCTGAAGCAAGTTTGAGAGTTCTCATCCCTTGATGCATCATTTGGGCAAGTTTGGTTTATATAAGCCTTATAGTTT